GAGCCCATGCTCCCTCGCCATTCTTGAGAGCTTACTGAGACTTTGTCTATTGTCATTATGATGTCACATGCTTCGTTCTAGAGAGATTGAGCCATAGACTGATATTGTCCCAGTTGGATACAGGGACGTACAATGCCTCATCTCCTACTAGACACCACGAGTTAATCACATCTGCCTACCTAGGCACAACTCCTCTTTATATCGCACAGCTTGATACTCTTGCTACTTCTGACCTATGACTGCGATGTTTTATTACGACTCTAGTCATTGTATCTGGCATCTCATGGGATGCTAGAACTACGGATCGTGACAATACTAAATGCCTCATATGGCTATTCGGCGTCACCCAACACGCTCTAGGGTCAGACGTATCAACCGATATACAGATCGATGTCGCAACTACAAGCTTCACAGCTCGCGCGCGCAAAACGGTACGGCCTCATATTGCCAAGTCTAGTCACGTGGCACGAAATGCCTAAACTATCTCCAGCATTACACCACCATCGGTCATTGTAACCATCAAATGGCCCGTCAGCATATCGATTGATGCACACAAGCTGACTAGGTGGACAGACAAGGATATGTTACATTAGAGAAGTAATTTCCTTTCTCATATCATACAGGGTAACGTTACCTCGTGAAAACACAGCATCCCGTCGCACCCAATCCCTTCCAACAGTGCCCAGCCAAAATGACCAAGCCACCGGAACACGATATGCAACAATCACACCGTAGCGCGACGCCCATGTTCCCCAGAAATCCCCACAAAAGCACCCAACACGTTTTGTCGGCCCTATTTTCTCCCCCAGATTCCAGCGACCAGGGCACACTAAAGTCCCGAGGTTCGCCAATTAACGTGTCCGTGCGCGTGATGCGCGGATTCGCGTGATGCGCGGGGAACACCATATCCACTACTTCAAAAATGAAGCTATTAAGCCACGTATATAAGCTGTTATTATACGAATTTATAGAGGGGGAGTAATTAGATGCTTGCGATCAACTTGTACTATCTATATTTTGATGGGAGGTTGACGTTGCGGCCACGTGATGTGAGCTTTGATTGATGTTGATGTTGATTATGGTTTAACGCCCTATCTGTAACCTCCCATAGGGTATTCGGGCGGGTCCCGCCGTGGTCTTATAGTGCTGTCGCACTTGCCTCGTGGAACCTATTCCTAGGTGTTTTGTATCTAAGGGGAGTGATGTCCTGCCTATATACATGTTCGTGAAAAGGACTCCCGCCATTTGAAGCCGTTTTCCTACAATATTCTAGTATTTCGTGGCTTGCGCCTTTGATCGATGCAGTACAATGACTGCTTTTTAGAGAGAGAAACGAAAAAGTAACAAGAGGCAGTTTGAGATATAATGAAAAGTTTGAAAGAGAGCGTGTGGGTTGTGGCATCTATGCGGCGTTCTGCCGCGAATCCTACACTGAATAATGCCAAGGAATTCAGCGGGTCTTTGTGAAATTCAAAAATAGAAATCACTCGTTATAGAAGGAGTTCGTTACCTTAACGAAGGTCTCGAACTCTTGTGGCTGGTCTATTAATTGCGCGAGGTACGCTAGGCCTTCCTGTCTTGTGCGAGGGGGCACGATGGGGCGTAGAGGCCACTTCTTGAAGTGTGTTGTGGCTCTCTTGCAGAACACTAGGTGTTCTGGCGTCTTGGGCCTGCCGCATAGGCATTTCGAGGTATCCTCGTGGTTGAATTTTCGGTGGTACCATTCAAAGTCGCCATGCGTTGAGCGTATCATAAGGACTTTCGCGAGTATCCTTCGGGGTAGCCATAGCGCTGCGGGCGTGCGCCTAGTATCGTATGGCAGCTGCCATTGCGTGTACCATGCTGATAGCCTACTGCTCTTATCCTGCCACCAAGTGTCCCTTGTATGTTCGAGGAGGCGGCGGCCTACTGTTCGTATACCGGATCTTGTGGGGGAGGCGGCCATGCCGTATGGCTGGTGCGGGTCTTTGGCCTCGCTGTCAGCCAGCTGGTCGGCGAGCTCGTTTCCAACAATCTTCATGTGTCCCGGCGCCCACCGCGTTTTCACGTTGTAGGCCTCCATAGCTCCATGGATTTGGAGGAACGCCCATTGGGAGGAGGTAGGGGCGGTTCCGCGTATGCCCCATATTACCGAAGTGCTGTCTATGCAAAGTACGATCTCCCTCTGGCTAGGCAGTGAGAGTTGTAGTGCGTGTTTGAGTCCTCTGCACGCGCCTATAGCCTCCGCATCGAAGACGTGGCTAAGGGCATTTAGTGAGCCTTGTCCAGTCGCCACGGCGGCCTGGCCCTGGTATATAGCGTACCCGTAAGTGACCACCCTTGTACCGTTGATTTGTTGTTCAGACCCGTCTGAGAAGACAGTGATTGTCTCTTGTCCAAGAGACTCCCACCAGATGGTGAAATTCTGGGCAGCAATGTCCTTTCCTTGCCCTTGCGTTGGATCCTGCCTCGACCCGTCTGAAAAGTGAGGGCTGGCTAGGACGTTTCGGGGTGTGGCGGGTAGCAGTTGTGCTACGCGCTGAACCTTCGATCTTGGTATCCGTCGGTTGCCCGCTGCGCGTCCTCGTATGACTAGTGGCAGTGTAGTTCTATTAGTAAGTGGGTGCTTGTCGTCTATCGTGCGTAGGTGAACTGCAAAGCGGAGCTTGGCCTCCTCTAGCGCCACCTGTGCCGACGGCATCGCAGCTTCTCTTAGCAGTACTGCGTTTGGTGTTGTCCTCCACGCAGGGATGTGAGCTTTGATGGAGGAGCTGGAGGCTCTTCTTGAACTTGAGCACCAGCGCGAGCAGCCTCAACGCGTTTTTGACGCTTGTTGTTCGATGAGGTAGCTGCTGAAGCTCTCCTCTTTCCCTTTTGGGGTAGTTGTATAGCTTTAGCAGCGTCTCTCTCCTCCTTCTGGCGCGCGCGTTCAGCTGCTTTCTCAGCTCGCTCAAGCTCCCTCATCTCCTTGAGTCTCTGCCTCTCCACACGCCTCTCCTCGAGCTCATCTTGACGCTGCAGTCGAGCCTCCTCGCGCTGCTTCTTGGACCGTGCTTTTTGGAGTTTCTCCTCCGTCTCATCTCGCTCCCGTACTGCTTCTCTAGCTCGAGCCTCACGCAGCTTGCGAGGAGACCAGAAGACAGAGCCACCGTGATACTCCTGGCGCTGTTGAAGGTCAAGAGCTTTGCCCTTCTTCCTGTGCTTCTTTTTATGTTGAAGAGCCTCCTTTAAGCCCTCGTTCTCATGCTTTAAAAGCTCATACTGCACAGAGAGATGGTGAACGCTTGAGCGCAGCTTTCTTGCCTCATACTGATGGCTATCATTAACAGCAGCTCGTACTAGCCGATCGAGCTTTCTCCAGTCATGATCAGAGAGCCCTGACGATGAGCTTCTCTCAGCTTCTGGCGTGCTAGCAAATCTACGAAGGATAACGTTGGCATCCATCGGCCAGATCCCAGTGGCTTCGAAGGCCTTCAATATGAGGCTCTCTGTGAAGGAGGATATCCAGGCGCTCCAGAAGAGCGGGAAGAAGTCCCCTTTCTTGATTGGAATAAGGCCTTGAGCCTTATGGAGATGGTTAGTGAGCTCGTTAGAGTAGGCTTGAGAGAGTGGCTTGAACAGCACTACATCTAGCGGCTGGAGCGTATGGGTCGAATGGGGAGGAAGGATCATGAGGAGGATCCTATGGCGATCGCAGTACTTAATAAACTCCATCGTGAGGTGAGATCCATGGCCATCAAGGATGAGCAATCTCCATCTACCTGATCGTTGCTTTGTAGAGCGATCAAACACCTGCTCCAGCCAAGCTAGGCCTACGTTATCATTTGACCAGCCTGTTGGAGATGATGAGACAAAGACCTCATGTTCTCCTGCCTTGATATCTTCTACCCAACTCGATCGTATAGCTCCATTTTTAGCTGCGTAGATAAGGGCTGGAGGCAGCGAGCTCCCATCAGCGCAGCAGCAGGCCAGGACTGTCAGAAACTCGCGTGATCCATCCTGGAGAGATGCTCGAACCTCCTTCTTCTCCCATTGACGCCTGCTGAATATCCTCTTACTTCTGCCTATCAAGCCAATTAAGAAGCCCTTCTCATCCATATTGTATATATCTCGAGCCTCTAGGTGATATTCGGTGATCTTTCGATGCAGCAGCTCGAAGTAGAGTCTATACTTTGACTCAGAATCAGCCAGGTGGCGCGTACGATCCATGGCGCTGGTCCACTTTGAGATGAGATGGATCTCGTGTCGGTTGATGAAGCGAGTAACCCAGCTCTCGCTGAGCTGCTGATGGGCTACTTCTGATGAGAAATTCCTGATCATCTCTCGTGTAGGAGGAATGCCTCGCTTTGTGAGCTTTTCGATATATCTCACAAGCTCTAGCTCTTGTTGTGGGTTGAGTTTCTGCTGGTTGAAGTTCTTGTCTCTTTCTGAGCTTGTCTGGCCCTGGTGCCTTCGGGTCAACGTAGATCTCACAACACCATGCTTAGCAGCAATTTTAGTATACGAGAACTGTTCTCCTGGCTCTAGATTTTCAATATCTTCAATCGCAGCTTGAATTGGGTCCATATTGGTGGAGTTAACGTGTGTTGAAGGTGAAGGGGTTTGACGTGTTTTGGTGTTCCCCGCGCATCACGCGAATCCGCGCATCACGCGCACGGACACGTTACCCATCTTGCGGCACCAGATCAACTACCGAAAAGTCTTGGATATTGCTGCACTTTGTACCAGTCCACCCGTTTATTACGAGAAGATCGGCAGGCCAAGCTCAGTGGCTGGCTCCGCTTGGGGTCGAAATGTTGGCCAGGGTGATACATGGTGCGGGGAAAGGTCTTGGGACATTCCTACGCCAATACCATGCCAAGCGGGTAATTGGAAGGGGTATGTGGGAAAGTATGCCGTCTTATGCTTTTTTGGAGAGAGCTGGAGGATTGTTCAAATACTCGGTGTACCTACGCTTAATGCTGTGATTTTTGCATGTTCTAACTTTTTTGTTGAAACTTTCTTCTTCTCTACGAAGAGCCATGGAGTCAAAACGCCAACACATGCCGGAGCCAATCAACGAAAAGCCCGAGATCTTGGCGCACACGGAGGACAAGAGTGAGCTTGGTGATGATAAGCATGCTGCGTCGGTGGATTATACGGGCGCGGAGAGGAAGACGGATCCTGCTGAGATCGCGCTGGTGAGGAAGATTGATTGCAGACTTATGGTATGCGTTTCTGCATGTTGAGAGAGTGATCCAAGAGCTGATGCACTGCGACGTTAGCCGATATTATGTGTAATGTACTTTTTGAACTACGTTGATCGAAATGCAATTGCGCAAGCGCGGTTGAATGGACTGGAAGATGATTTGGGGATGAGTGGTGTGGAGTTTAACACCTGTGTTAGCATGTCAGTATTGCCCTTCTTTCCCCTCGATAGTACCATCGTCCTATGAAGCCCATAATTTTAGAAGCAAGACTATTTACAACGGCGTCGTTGTTATTGCACTTTCATGCGGCCAATTGCTAATCATATCACAGTCTCTTCGTCGGCTATGTCCTCATGCAAATCCCATCCAACATGCTCATCACGCGCATCAAGCCAGGCATATACATGAGCTCCTGGATGTTTGTATGGGCGATCGTGTCAGCGTGCACGGCGTTGGTACAGAACTTCGGTGGACTGGTCGCTTGCCGGTTCTTCTTGGGCATCACAGAGGCACCCTTCTACCCGGGTGCAACATACATGCTGTCAATATTCTACACTCGCAAGGAAGTCGCCACGCGTATTGCTCTGCTGTATTGCGCGCAAATTCTCGCGACCGGATTCAGTGGGTTGATCGCTGCCGCCGTTTTCGAAATGGATGGCCTACGTGGACTTGCTGGGTGGCGGTGGTTGTTCATCATGTCAGTCGCCTCTGTCTCTCCATCTCTTTTAGACGTATGCTAACATCTCCCAGTGAAGGTGCAGCTACCGCTCTGGTTGCCGTCGTTGGATTCTTCATGTTGCCCAACACACCACTAACGACGCGCTGGCTTACACCACCCGAGCGCGAACTTGCACATGCCCGCATGGAGCGCGATAGAGTTGGTGACTCTATGGAGCCTGTCAGTATGATGGAGGGTCTGAGGCAGGCGTGTCGCGACAAGAGAACATGGCTATTCTGCCTCATGCAGAACTTCCATCTGAGTGCTTGCTCGTTCAACTCTTTCTTCCCAACGTAAGTCAATGTACCTTCCAACGTGGTTTAAAGAAGCATATTTGCTGATGTGTAGCTCATAGAGTTGTCAAGACCCTCGGATTCAGCACTACGATAACTCTCGTTTTGACTTGCCCACCATTCCTTCTCGCAGGCGCGGCGGGTATCGCTACAGGCTGGAGTTCGGGACGCATGCATGAGCGCACTTGGCACATCACCGCTGGACTGCTCGTTGCTGTTGTTGGTTTCGTCATCGCAGCTAGTACTTTGAACACAGCCGGTCGGTACGTTGCGTGCTTCATCTTCCCTATGGGAGCCTATTCCGTCAACTCAGTCATTATTGGATGGGCATCTTCGACACTCGGTCAAACTAAGGAGAAGAAAGCCGTAAGTTCAACTTTTCGAACACTTTATTGTTTGATGCAGGTGCTGATCGTGTGATAGGTCGTTCTTGCAATGACAAATGTCGGGGGTCAGGTGTGTTGGTTCCCACCCAGATTCTATTTCGTGAACTCACAAGTCCCAACAGATTGGTTACATCTACGGCGCGTACCTCTGGCCAGATAGCGACGAACCTCGATACGGAATTGGTTTTGGTGCATCCGCAGGGTTTGCACTGCTGTCGATCGCTTGTGCTTGGGTTATTCGCATGATGCTTATCAAGGAGAATCAGAGGTTGAAGGCTTCTACGAATGAGCGCATTAACCTGTACGGATACTGAGCCGTAAGATTATACTGCAGGGTAGCATTGAATGTGTCAGTGTACCGACGTTGTGAAGAATGGGCTTATTTTGCATCTTTATGAAAGCGTAAGAGATAAGGAAAAGTGGTAGAAAACCCGGTAGAGCTGTGGCAAAACTTGGCAGAGCTCTCAAAATCGTATAATCATAAACCTGGGTGTCATAAGATACTTGACTTGTGTACAAAGGCCACTATAGTCGCCAGGCACGCCTCGTAGTTTACTCACACTGTCAAGTACTTTATGACACCTAGATGATGTCGGGGCCATTCGCAACAAGGAAAATCCATGACTGTTCAAGCAGGTGGGGTAGATGACGCTGTTGCGGTAGTTAACTAGTGGGGCCGCTAGCAGAACGTGGAAGCAACCTCAGCTAGCCCACGGACACTACTACGACGTCTCGTTGTACCAAAGTTGCGTCACAAATACATAAGAACCAGACAGAGCTCAGATCTTCTGCTTCACAATCAACCACGTACGAGGCGTCTGCACATTTTCACGATTAAATCTCACTGTTGTGACAGAGGGGCTTTAGAGACCGGGCGACACTATCGATATTGGATTAGTGGTACGTGATTACATACCAAAGCCGCAAAAGAACATAAGGGAGAAAGAGGCTGAACACGAAAGTATGAGCGAGTTTGAAGCTTCAGATGAAGAGTATGACATCATTGCGGATTTGGAAGCCAAGCAGATCGAACAAGAGGAACGAGTGCAGAGGGTCCGCAGGTCCCTAGGAAATAATAGTCGAGTCGCCTTGGGTAGTCTTCATGGAGATTGGACTCTCTACTCTTCGCAATACCTAGCGGCGCTTGTCGAATTACCGGATTCCGAAATCGAATATGACTGGACGGCTGGAGAAATCAAAATTGAAGCCGCGGAGAATTACGGGGAACCTGTAGTCAATGATACCTATGTTACGATCACATCGATAGAGACGGAAGAAGATCTGGGTATATACCTCTTAAAGCCCCGGTTTGCGTCCACAGATTCTATCACGGAGACGGTCGCCAACAATGGCACTGATCAAACGTTCCACTGCGAAATTATGTTTCTAGGACTAGAACTTCTGGAACTGCGCATTCCAAGAAGAGCTGTTTCGAGCGACTTCAATGCAGACGAGATTTACTACGTTGCTGTCTTAAACTAGGTGGCAGAAGAGTATAATGATATGGAGGACTACTACGGACAAGGAGGTTACGGCCAACCATTCGAGGGCTATCATCTTTCAAGTTTCGAACTTGCGTATGTGGCTGCAGCCTACTCTGAGTACATGTGAATAAATTCACACAGCGATTAACGAGCGGAAGACCAGAAGCAGGGTTGGATTGAAGATGGGAGCATGTGGACTGTCTCTACATTGCACTTGCTATGATATGTATCGCCAACTAGAATGCGTAGTTTCGCAACGCTACAGCGTCGATCACATCTATTATCAAGCTCTAATGTGTGTTGGGGCTTACCATCACACTTCCCTTAGTTTTGTCAATAGTTCATCTGCACAATTGATGATCTCCAGCCCGTGTTGTTCAAATACGAGGCTGAACACTAAAGCGGCAACATTGCGGAGAAATTCTGTACCTTGCGTATCCGCGAGAGGGTATGTTTCTACGCGAGCAGAGCTGACGTGAGCCACTGAATGCGCATCGAATCATGTCTGAATGGATGACGCAGTCCCATGTTTGCTTCGATGCACCAAGATGGTTAGCCCCAGAAAAGATCGATAGTAAGAAGTAAGACCGGAAAGCTTTCCATGCATGGCGAACGGCCCAGGTTTGACTCAAAGCGAAAAATTGCGTTCAACCGCGCTGAAGTGATCAGGATAGATATTGAAGAGGTTGGGGACCTACCGAACGTTTGACAGCCCAACCTGCTGGAAACGGGAACGGAGATCATGCCTCGTTCCATAGATGTTCTCCGAAAGGGATCATTGGGATGATACGGATGATGTGCGAGATATATCAGATGTTGTTTATTCTGATTCGGTTGCGCGCCGTATATGCCGTACCTATATGGTTACTTTTAGATTCTACCGGGGTCAGACCGGGGTAGCGTCAGATGAAACGGAGAAAGCGACGCGTCGCGATGGCAGAATTACTGCCAGGAACACATTTATAAGACACGTTCGCTCGTCGTTACCAGAATCAAATCTCATTCCGCATACACGAAAATATACAAGAGCTTCTGAGCTTGTCTAGATCAGCATGGAGATTTTGAAGGAGTTTTGCAACGGCCTATCAGGTACACTATATCTATCTACTGCTATGAACAAGGCTTACTGTCATGATAGACGATGCTATTGAATACTACCACCCGGACCCAAAGGGATACCCTTCACATAGGTTCAAGGGTCCCTATTACGAGGAGAAAGACTCGGACGATGAGATGGAAGACTCAGATGACGAGGAAGAAGACTCGGAAGACGAAGAGATTGAGGAGGCCAGAGCCTTGCAAGCCAAATACGAAGAAAGAGCACAGAGTATCCGCACGTCCATTTCGCCAGACAAACGAGTCCGTTTGGGCGATCTCCGCAGACACTGGACACTGTTCTCATCGCAGGCTCTTGAGGCGTATGCCGCGATACCTAAAGGACACTATGTCGACGAGGATTGGACGGCTGGGGAACTTACGATTCAAAATCCCGATCCGGAGGAATACCCTCTGCCTTACGACGTAGAATTTAGTCTGACGGGAACTGAACCCGATTCTTTATACATGTCCCTAAACATACCCAAGTTTCGGTCTGCCACTTCTGTCGAGAGGATTGGAGTCGGCGATGACGGGAGAGTTTACCAGTTTTCAGTCACGTTCCTGGACAAATATCACATCGATTTGCATGCGCCCCGCAGCATATTTCCGGACGGTATCACTTCACCTGACCTCTACTATGTTGCTATTCGAGACTTCAGTATGGCAGATGAGTTTGACCCTGACGATGATCCCACAAACCATGAGGGCTATGAGAAAATTCATGAGTTCTGGAAGCGCTTGTATGCTGAGTATGAAGCTAACGGTGGAGTCCGAGACATCAGTATGGCAAAAGAGTCTGACTATGGCGATAATACCACAAAGGATATGAGTTATGAGGAACTCGTTGAGTACTGGAACAACTTGGAGGCTGGGTACGCAGCTTACTGTCGAGACCATGCGGACTCCGACGCCGATTCGGAGAAAAGCTGAATGACAGAAGATGAGTGGGCAGACGAAGAGTAATGGTGGACTGGTTTTACATTTTATTTGCTATTATCCTTGCTATCAGCTGTAATTGTATGTCACTACGCTGCGCTAATCTCCAATGGCCGCGCACAATAATCTTATCTCCTACAACGATGAATTGATCATCTCTCTACGTACTCCTGAAGGTTCCTCTAATTTCCCCAAGAAACCAAGCATCGTTCTAGACTCCAATCACCACATAAACACACTGACCCATCAAACACGCCCTTCCGGAACAGTGTACAGCTCATCTGAACTTTACCGCACACATCAGTTGAGAAGCTCTCTCGCAAAACAACACAGTCAATATGCCGCGCATCACCAACGCTTCCAGTACCAGCAAATCGGTCAATTTCAACACCCAAAAAGCACCAAACCCGCCATCACGGTCGCGCGACGCGTTCCGTGCTTACCTGTGGGGTCTGCAACACCAACAACCAGCACAAGTTGAACATCCATCGCCTTCTCAATCCACCTCACCACCTCCCCATTTCCCATTCCAAAAACATAGATATGTTTGTCTTCATAGCTGAAGGCACTGTAACGTGAACATTCAAGAGTATCTACTCAGACCGGGGTTGCGGAACTCATCACGGTGCCATGTGCGGTCAGGGTCCTGTAGCAACGATTGTTGTGGTTTTGGAAATTATGGGGAAAGAGAGGATAGGGTTGGGGTTAATGGGAGGACGGGCGCGGGGTATTTCAATTTATTGCCGGAGCTCCATCTTGGTAGGAGGCGGGAGGCGCAGGTTGGAAGGGAAAAGATGATGGGGGTAGTGAGGACACTTAGTGAGTAGTCGTGTTTGGATGGAGATTGGGCAGGTTAGCAGGGTAAATCCGAATCAAGCAATTTAACCCATCTCTTCCATGCCAGAAAAGAAACAGAAGGAAGAAATTGACGCAAAAGAATCGAGGATGAAAATGACTTGATGATTTCTAATCAACACCCTACAACTTTTAACAAAACACCAACCACACTTAATGCACCTTCGGCGCCTCCCCCCTCTCCAACGCCTCCACCAAAGCCCTCGGTCCCACATACCCCCTATTCCTTATCCACACATACCAGCCGCCCAGCAAGATCGTAACCCCACCCACCAACGCACTCGTATAATTCATCGTCGTAGTATTAAACGGCACCGCAAACGGGAAGCAATAAATCGGTATCCAAACAACCATGTACGAACACGCCAGAATGGCAACTGTGTAGAAGACCGGGTCTGGCATGGTAAACGGACCCTTTGTGACGTGGCGGCGGCGCGAAAGGATGTTGGGGAGGATGAAGGCGAGGTAGGATAGCGAGCTTAGGACGATAAAGGAGCCTACGAAGGCGGAGAAGGCGGTCGAGGAGCCGATGTATATGCATCCTAGTATTGTGTTGATGATACCGCAGGCGAGAGTTGCGTTCCATGGGTTTCCCCATTTGGGATCTACGCGGCCGACCCATTTGGGCCAGGGAGTGGCGTCGTCGCGGCCGAGAGTCCACAGCATACGGCCGCTGGTGATGTAGCAGCCGATGTTTGTGCACAAGGTTGGGAAGAAGATGACGAGCAAGAGGCCGAGGGAGCCGCCGTGCGAGTTTGTGGCTTGGCGGTAGAGTTCGGCGAGAGGGAAGGGCCAGGGGTTTGCGAAGAGGGTGGAGAGGTCGTTGACCGAGTAGAAGATTGTGATGAGGTAGAGTAAGGCGGTTGTGAAGCCGACGGCGTATTGGGCGAGGATCGCGAGGGGGATGTTGCGGCGGGGGGATGGGAGTTCTTCGGCAAGGTGGGATACGCAGTCACTAGGGTATTGTTAGTTTGTTGTTGGCGTTGATGAAGGGCAGTTTGAACTCACGGTGTGCCTACGCCAAAAGCGCCGTTCAACATGCCTGCGCAAAATACGAAGCCATTGCTACTCCAGCCTGTTTGGTTCTGCCAATCTCGGAATACGAATTCTGTGCTTGCGTAGCCCTTGCCGGTCCTACTGGGCATGATTGCGCACACCATGATTGTAATAAAGACGCCGAGCAGGATGAAGAATAGGCCGATATTTGTGAGTTTGGGGAGCGTACGGTTGGCGAACATGACAATAAAGCACGAAATCCAGGTGATGAGGAGGTATGCGATGAAGACGTGCCAGCGCTCGAAGGCGTAGCCGGGGTGGAAGAGTCCGTACATGGATACGACTTGGTTGGCGAGGATGGAGGAGATGGATGCCGTGCCGAAGATCCAGCCCAATGAGTTCCACCTATTGAGTGTTAGTCTTTGGTTCAATTTTCATCATCTCTTGCTAATTCTTGAATAGCACATAGGAATGTACTTACCAACCAGCATAGAATCCGACAATCTTTCCAAATCTTGCGCCAGCTGTCACGCTAGCCCAGTGATACACACCAGCTGATGAAGGGATGGAAGATGCCATTTCAGCAATACACGCCGCAATCATAAAGTAGCACATTGACACAGCAATAAACTCATAGATGACACCCGCAGGACCGCCATTGTAAAGCGCGATAGCCTAAACGAGTTAGCATAGCGCCACTATTGTCCCAAGAGACAGTAACCTACAATTGAACCGCCCAGAGCAGCCCAAACATTCCCCGTCGTGATACCAATCGCGCAAAGGTTCAAAAGACTAAAATTACGTTCCAACTCTTGTTTGTGACCAGAAGCGTTCAGCTCCTCGCTCACCTCCCCTATCGACGCATCCACCTCTTCCGGTCTCACTTGACCGAGCTCTACCTTTTTTTCGTCCATCTTGAGGTATGTAAGTGGTATAGGCAGGGAGCCAGCCACTGGACTATAACTTCAAAGCTATCCGTAGATGACGCACGGCAAGAGGAAATGATGTGAATATAAAGTGCCGATAAGCGTTGCACACGACGTCAATGCACTCGTATGTCTAGACCCTGCCGAGAGAGAGACATAAACTGCCGAGCAAATGGGGGAAGGTGGAGTGGAGTGCCGATCGGTATAGTAGATCTAACGTTCTCCCAAGTCGGCTGTCAAGGTCCCTGCAAAGATAAGAGAAAGGAGGGTGCGGAAGAATAAAAGTACAAGAAACGACGAGATCAGGGACCTAAGCAATACAATCATATATGGGACGAAAGGGAAAAATTTATACACGTATCTCTCTTATTCAACTCCCACTATCACCTTTGAGCGCCTCTGGCCGCCTCTATCTTCTACTCGACAGCATCACTGCCGGCTTCACGTAAGTACGTGTGCTAAGCGATGGGGACGGGATCCCCGGGAAGCAACGTGCGGGAATCAGCCATCTCCGCAGTGGCACCGTGGAAGTGGGCGATAAGAGAGTACGTCAAGCGATGTCTAGGGTGAAGATGATAACATCCCGGTACGTGATGCTCGAACAGGCAAGTTTGCACCAATAAGCGGAATTGGTGGTGCGATAGGCGAACGGCTGCTTTGAGTGCGGAGACATTTAGAGTAACACGGTGGCGTAACATAAGATAAGTAAATTCTTGGACTGCAGGATGTTATTGAGGAGTAGTGGTCCACAAACGTACTCTAGACCATTGGCAATGTTAGTGTAGTTTTCTCGTATGATGGCGCTATCTTTACAATGCCGTGATGTGGTTCCGAGTAGCATGGCGCCGGCCTCGCGGTTTACGAGCCGCTGGGCGCTAGAAGGTGGCGCTATCCGCCACGCGTCTCAGAACACTCGACACAATACATGGTAATGCAAGCGTATAGGTTTATCTGCCAAATTGCAACAGATACCACCCAAGGTTAATGCTTCTCACCGAGGGGATAATGAATACCAAGAAAAAAAAAGTAAAGTAAATAGCCGTGGGGGGAAAAGTATATGACAAGACATAATGACATGCGCATTCTTGAATAGTGTACACAAAGTAAACGCACCTGCAACTCCGAGCCCGTGTCGCCTTATGAAGGACTAGTAATTACCATCTAATGTCCTCGTCAAGCGTGAGCAACCCAAATTCTAATGACATAGCACGTTCCAACTCATCCCACGTATCGAATAAAGGCAGGTCTAGGTGCGCATCTCGGTGTCCTCGCCGTCGTCAATATCGCCAATCTTGCGCTTGCTGGGCGTAGCGCTGCCCTCGTCGTCGGCATCGTCGCCTTCAGTCCATTCCGTCACCTCCCATTCGACTTGCACGCCACTCTCAGTGTGTCCACCTCGCTGCTGCTTGAAGCGTCCAAGCCGAGTGTTGCGCACAATCTCTTCGAACCAAGGAGCGCCTCGCGATTGCGGTCCCGAGCGAGCGACGGTGGTGCGTGCAGGATGCGATGGTGAGGGGCCAGCGGCAGTGGATTCGTCGTCGCTGCTCTCGCTGCTGCTGGGCAGGTAACCAAGCTCTCCTAGCAACTCCTGGTCCTCGTCCAGCAGACTGCCGACGGTTAAGGAAATGTGCTCAGCCTCATCTCGAGTTCGCTCATTCCACGATGAGAGCTGTGTGCCGCAGTATCCACAGAATTGGCGACGAGTATGCGATGTAAATGGGGAGACGAAGCTGCGCTTGATGCTCAGTCGCGTCTCGTCGGGGAACTGGGCGAACGTGGCTGATGTGTACCATGGTAGAGGTACGCGGAACCAGAGAGTGAGGGGGTTTGCTGAGTGATGCCCTATCTACAAGTTAGCATCCAGTACCTTGTTGGAATGCGCTGCTAGCTCCTATGCCGCACCACAAAAAGAACATGAACTTACGCGATGCCGAAGTGTTGTCGTATCTCAGTTCAGCCAGTTGGGCCTGTTGTGTCGGAATCTCAATCACATAGCGGTTTCGTCCGCAGGCGCAACTTCCATGCAGTGTTTGGGTTGCCATTCCGTAGTTCGTTTGTGCTTCCGAAGCACGAATTGGTTTGTTGGTTGTGTTTTAGATGTGGCGTGTGTCAGTGCAGGCAATAGGCAACGTGCCTTTACCAGCCAGCGGGCGATTGATGTCTTTAGTGTTTGCGGGGGAAGCGTGGAAAGAAATCGAAGCCGAAATTACACGCCCGTTGCGGCTTCCCCAACTGTTGTGCAACACGGTCTGTGCTGTGATTGGTCAAAACGTCAGCCCTGTGAGATGGCAACCACGCCTGACACAACTATCGCATCACCTTGACAACAGAGACGCAAAAGAAACTCTCAATATCTGGCAAATTTCCATGTCGCGCGTAATGGGGATATTCACGCGCCTTTATTTCGAAGAGTACGAGTCCTGCGTGATACTGAAACTCGCGATCTCTGACCATTGTGATCCAACATCGCGTCATGTGTGGGGAAGCTGAACATTCGAGCACCACCCAGCATCTTCGCGACGACCCAAACTGGCGCACGTCCTCACACAGAGCAAAAGACAAAGAGATTAGCACAGTTGCAGTCAATCAAAACTTCTCTTTCGATTCGCTTGGCTGATTGATCTTCATCGTGTATGCATGCGTTGTCCAAGGCACGCATACTTGAGTAACAGACCAATCCACGTTCATGCGCCCTTGTCCTTCCCTTCCTTCATCGCAGCAACGCTCTCGTTGACCTTCTGCACTGCCTCCCGTCCACCAGCCCAACATTTTCTTTTTCCAACGTCAAACACGCGATGAATATGGGGGCTCCATATCCCGTCCATGAGCAAATTACAAAACTTCCTTTCCTTGAACCAAAACAGCCATCCCTTCCATCCGTAGCCCAGATACTCGTTAACACCGGTGCCGGCTAGATCGTCCATGGCTCTGACCCACGTCCCAGGATCATATGTTCCGGGCGACACATTATGGCGATGCTGCGCTTGGCTTATAAGCCAGTTGTGATGGTCTGTGACTGCAGTTTGCATGTCGATGGCATCTGGAAGACGCGACTTGCCAGCCCATACTTGCGCTATTGCCATGGACGCCATGTCGAAAAGCTGGAAACCACTGACAGCACTAAACACATTCCCAAGGAACGCGAGGCTATCCGGTTTTTTCACAGAGAAGACATTGTAGTAAAGGTTGAAAAGCGACTTGTTGTTCGACCCGCCCGCTTTCAACCATCCTTTGGGGCGACATGACGGGTCAAAGCTGGGGTCCATGATACTGAAATCGCTCTGGTAACCCGTACACCATACGATGACATCGACGTCGATTTTCCTCCCGTCTTCAAGCTCCACTGCGGTGTGATTGAGGATACGCTTGACACCTGCAACGGACTCGATACTGCCGTTCTCTAGACAAGGAACGAGAGTGTCAGATATGATGAAGTTGCTAGGAGGCTCGAAGCGCCATTCTGGACGGATGTTAAAGCTTTTGTCTTGCATTCTTTTCAACATCATGTCGAATAACTTTTCCCCTAAGCGAGGGATGAATTTGGCAATGAGACTCTGGATAGTAAGAAGTCGGATACTATGCGTGTGATCTACAGGCACACCGTCGATGTTTCGCGGAAGCTACAGCTATGAGTCAGTCCAGTGTGTCTCAGGGTCCATCCGTTTCAGAGGATACATACGATTCGCGATCCGTGTCGATGTGCCATATACACCTTGTCTGCGACACCGACTAGCTGAGTCGCTGTATCCGTCGCGCTATTACTGAAGCCCACGACCATGACTTTCTTCCCTTCGTACTCTCTCGGTCTCTTGAACGCCTGCGAATGTATATTCACCCCAGCGAACTTTTCGATCCCTTCGACATTAGGCATATTCGCCTTCCCAATCATACCACCAATAGCTACAACGACCTTGTCAAAATACACCTTCTTCTCGTCTGCAAACACAACAGCCCATTTCTGGTGTTCTTCATCAAACGTAATTTGCTTGATAGAAGTGTTGAGTCGAAGGTACGGCTCAAGTTCGAAATGCTTCATGTAGCTTATCAGGTACTCCTGGACCTGTGCGGCTGTGGGATGAGAAGCCATATCTTCCGGGAACGGATAGTCTGTAAAGCATGCTCGTTCTTTTGATATGTTGACTACTGTGGTTTCCAGGACTGATGTGTGTTCATTTGCTGAGTATTGCCATAGGCCGCCGATGTAGCTATTGCGATCGAAGCCGGTAACGATGAATCCTTCATCCCTCAGGTTCTTTAGCGCTACGAGACCGGCGGGCCCTTTACAAATCAGCTCGTTTTTTCTTCGGAATTACACGGGGAATGCTCACCTAAGCCTATCACGGCTACAGTAGTGTCTTCGGTCATGATGTCGGCTGGGAGGAGACTTTGTGTAATACGCCGCTACCCAAGCTATTTCCATGTAATGCTCATACCCAAAACTCTTGCCTCGGGTCGTAAAGATAGGGCGATGAAGATACCCTCAAGGTTTGAAGTGACCATCTTACGCCCGTACTTAAATGGGGCGCCTAGAAGGGATTGACTACTTGGGCCTGGTGGGCAAGCACTGACCCGTTTCCACATGGTGTGATTCACCCATATCTTTATCCTTCACCAATGGCTATTTCCCGTCATTGTTTCCAACAGAGCAATGTCTAGTACTGTCAAAATTTCCCTGACCATCCAAGTGGGTCAGCCAATTATCTCCAGCTGCGTTATACGGAATCTTTTAACAAGGAAGCCTTCTCTGATTTCTAATACCCTCGGATATGTTCACAGGTACGAAGGGTATGTGCACAGCATCGTCCTAATCGGGTCTGCTTCGCGATCAGCTCAATTGTGGGCGAAGCAGAGCCACACCGCCCACCAAGCTCAACGCTTAGTGTGGCGTTGCCCCACTTCACAGCCCACCTTCCAGGCGAAACCTCTCGCATGTGCTGTCAGATCAACGTGACATGCCCGACCCATCGTAAGGAGTGGATAGACGGCCCCCAAGGCTAGACATTACGCGCGGTCCTGAAATTGCGATTGGTTGTTGAGGTAAGATGGCAAGGCAGCAGCTTTCCAGCTGGTGCAGCCTACTGCAAAGTAACAAGACTACTGCAGAGCAGAATACATTGACATAAGCTTTCGGCTCCACCATCTCCAGATAACCAGTTCTCCAAGTCCTCCTGACATCTTTCTCATCTTCCTACAACGTGAATTCGATAGTTGGGAGTTCTACTGCCTGCTTACTCCACACATCATCATGGCTGGTCCACCTTCATACCCCGCCAATACAAACTTCAACGCTCACCATCCATCGCCTCCATCTACGTCATCGCATTCGAACATCCCTTTCACACCCAGTGCCACATCAGTCGCAGATTCATCCGATAATGAGCTGGAACTGACGCCTGTCCACAGTCCTGGAGGCCCACAATACGATGATTTGCCACCTTCGTACGATGAAGCCCAGCATCAGGCTGTTCACGATACGCGCAATGGCATAGCACCTATAGACCCAAACCAGATCGAAGCTCACCGAATCACGAGTAATGAAGGGCCTGATGAAGCTGAGGTTTGGGAATATCGGGTAAAGGGAGAGCAGACGGATCCGGCGAGCGAACGGGAACAAGCTCCAGACTATGCCAACTATAGGAACGACAAGGCCACCAGTGTCCCAGTTCAACAACATGGAGCTTCTTCTTCTTCTTCTTCAAGTTCAGGTTCTGATCTAGCTGCTGTTATGCTCAGCCAGGCACTGGAGTTTACGCGTAGCGAGCCAAACGCTGATGCGCAGTATGCGCCACATTTGAATCGGCCCATTGCGATACCCGAGAACAGAGAGCCCGGGCAATCTTCAAACGAACACAAGCAATTCTTATGTGCATATGCGGAAGTCCTGCGAGGACATTCTGTCAGGCCTGCTGAGTTTGCTGACTTCTTGTATGGTCTTAATGTCCTAGCTACAGCAACGAATGCGACAGCCCAGGACTTACTCGACGACTTTTCTGACAAAGGCGCACCATCGAGGATTGTACAGGATTACATACGAGGGGCAAATGAGGCCTTCTTTGCGCCGCGAGGCCTCACCGTCTCATTCCGCAGCGAACCTGTGCTTCTCGATTCCTTGCCCATCCCAGCGGGCAGACGAGCTGCCATCCTCGCCGATTTCCTGGAAGTGACTCGGGGTGCTGAGTGGCGCGCAAAACAACTATATCCCTGGATTGAGGCTCTTCATGCTAATGTGGATGGTATCACGACCCCGAGTGAGCGTGTACTCAGGTTGCACGAGACTGGCGTGCGTTACGCAAGTCAGAGAACACAATCAGACCCACCTAGTCACAACGATGACGACGACTACCCAGTTGAGAAGTTGCACATATACCATTCGGAAGAGGATGAAGACCCGCCACACTCTATACCTGGACCTTCAGAGGAAACGCGCCACGGTTCTGGCCACCGTGGACGAGACCATCATCATCATCATCCTCGAGGTCAACAAGGAGGTCACTGGTCGCCATTTGGCATGCCAGGTCATGGACCCTTTGGTGCACCCGGAAGAGGACCTTTCGGCCCTCCTGGTAATGGGTCCTTTGGTCCTGGTCGAGGACCATTCGGCAGGCGTGGCCGTGGCTATGCTGGCTGTCGTGGTCCAGCAGGTCCCTTCCAACAGACAGATCCTTGGCGTGGCAATGAGTGGGCTGAGGTGGGCAAAGAACTTGGAAAGATTGGCGAGCAATTTGGAAAATCGATGGGTAATTGGGGCATTGAATTTGGAAAGCGTGCCAATTCTTGGGGTCTGGATGTAGGGAAGATGGCCAGCGGAAGTGGTTCGCAACAACGAGGTGCACCTGGACCGGCATATGAGCAAGTACATGACGACCTACCGCCGTCGTATGACTCTCCTCCTGGCCAACAGTCTGGTGTCTTTCACGGAGATCGGAAAGTTGATCCCGATTCTTCTACCTCGACGGCAGAAAAGGGCAAGAGTAAGGAAAAAGACTTGGCCATGGACGACGATTCCGACACTTCATCAATCTCATCTGATACATCCGACTCCTCCGATTCAGACTCTGACTCCGACTCCGACATCCCCGACACAGATGCCATCTTCGCCACCCGCCTTCGCACCATCAACGCCGAAGCCACCGCCGCCACCCGAAAAGGCAAAAAGAGCGCCTCGGAAATCTCCCGCGAGCGCGCCCTTGCCATTGAGAAAGCGGAAACCGAAAAAGAAAACACAGATCTCAAAATCGCAAGTAGGATCTCGAAACGTGCTGCAACCCGCGATCTAAAGCAACGCCGTCGCGAGCTAAAGCGCCAACACAAGCAGAAGAAGCGCGAGCTGCGTGCTGTGCATGATAGGAAGGGGAAGGGGAAAGCGAGAAAGAGCAGGGAGTGGAAGGAGGCGAAGAAGGAATTCAAGGAGAAGAAGAAGGAGCTTAAGAGGGAGAGGATGGCTGTTAGGAGACAGTGGCGTGAGGGTAGGAATGAGAGAGTTAGGGGTGGACAAGATGTGAGGGTGGAGGAGGAGGTTCAGCCATATCCTCGTGACTGTGGAGATGGAGAGACTCAGGATACGATGGTTTGGTTGGTGATTGAGAATCTGGGACCTTGAGCTAGCTAGCCAGTCAACTCGGATTGCTCAATTTGAGGGAGGAGACAAAGCGATAGATATGGTGTACGTCTTTACATGAGCTACATACCACAACAATTAAATAAGTAAAACGGCGAAGGAACACTTGTGATAATGACTAAACTGGAGTCGATGACATAGTTCGTCCTTATCTGAACCCAGACCTAACAGCCATACTTTTTAGGGTGCAGGTGCATGTGCTCAGGGTCCTGACAAAGCCCTCAGACACAGGTCGGGATAGCGACGCAAACAGATGGGCTTCTTTTCCAGTTTCCCTTGTGTTCCCTCACTGCTCAGGCATGCCGTTGGCGGTGGCGGTTTCGTACAATGACGTCGCTATGCGCTCCTCCGCGGAGCCTCTTACCAACAAACGAACTCACCACCGGGGCAACAGTAGTTCCAGACTTACCTATAGGATCTCATGCTAATATCATCTTTTATATTCACATATTCCTAGGCAATATCTTTGCGACAATACCAACTGCTAACACAGCAACCAGCAACTCCGCAGAACTCACCGAGCAGCATGACAACCATTAATCCTAAGAAAGAGTTCGTTCAAATCGATGAGTTAGACATAGGACTTGAAAGATCACAAATCACCAGTCAAGGCCAGATCGAGCTCCCTGAAAGGAGATCAACGAGCAGCAGCAGCGACTTCGACGGTGTTCAGCCTGATACTCAATCATCTACTCACCAGCTACTAAACAAAGTAAAGCGGAAGAAACGTCATGCCACCATCAAGATCAGAGAAGCACTTCACATTGCAAAGCCCGCAGATGATGCCAAGAAACTGGAACCGGAAGCGTTGGTACTTGCTGATACAGCCGCGGTTGGAGAGTCGAATTCTCGACTTGATGATAAGTCGACTGCGCCAGAGAAACATGGTGTTAAGGATGTCTTAAGGTATCCGATTGATACTGTGAAGAAGATGGGATGGTCTCGGGGTACGTCGGTTGCGTTCTACTGAGCAATCAGTGCAATCACTAAGCACACGAAGAGCATTCTACATGTTCATGTTGTTAACTCTGACGGCTAAAACATACATCTAGGCAACCAAGAGCTGGCAGATAACATAGCAGTTTCAGAAATGCCACATGGCCAGGAGGTTGACTTGGTCCAGGCGGCGACCACCGCATCCCAAGCTCAAACAGAAGAGGGGAAGCAGCAAGCCAAAGAAACGCTTTCCGAAATGTTAAGACAGCGACAAAACACCTACGTCCGCTGGTCTCTCGACCGACATGTCACCAAACTCCGCGTCCTACCACGAAACACAATAAAGCTCAAACCGCGCTCAGACTTCACCACCACAGACAGCCAAGGAACCACGACCATCGACTGGAAAAACTACACCACCCACCTCCTAGACTACTACGCCCACCAATACGGTGGCCAATACATCGGCTCCAGCTCGTCCCCACCAATCCCCTCCAAAGAAACAATAATGCCCAACCTCGAGCGCCTCATCGTCGCCACCTCGCCCTTTCAAGAATTCCTCATGACAACCCGCCGCGTCTACCTCTGGCAACATCCCCGCGAAACAGCAAAATACCTCGTCATCTACTCCACACTATGGTATCTCGACCTCCTCCTGCCTGGCGTTCTCTCAGCCATCTTGTATCTGGTGGCTCAACGCCGCTGGCACACGCAAACAATGCACGATCTCCGCGACGATATCCAACACCGAGAAAACACACACCGCACCGCCCTCTCCCTGACCGAGTTTATAGAAAAACGCGGCAACACAAACTGGGCCCACGACCTGTTACAAGAAATCGGCCCTTGGCTCATGATCCAACTCGCCGATTTGGCAAATTTCTTCGAAACCGTGCGGAACTTTTACGAGTGGCGGAAACCTTTGCGGACGTTTTCTGTGCTCGTGATGCTGGCTTTGGGTATCTTGGCTACGGTGTTGGTGCCACTGGGGGTGCTGGTCAAGACGGCGACGGCGATGGGGGGCGTGGCGTTTTTTGGGTTGTTTCCAGTTGGGGTGAATTTTCAGGAGTACAGGTTGTTGGTTTCGCCGGTGAAGAGGCTGTTGTGGAATGTTCCGACGCATGCGGAGTGGGCGGTGAGGTTTGTGCAGGCGGAGGGGGTGAGGGTGTTGGTGGATTGGGAACAGGAACAACGGCGGTGTGAGCAGGATGAGCAGAAGGAGTCTGCTACATCTACCAAACCTGACACTAGGGATTTCGCGTCGTACCCAGCACACTTCCAAAAGACAGCAGGATGTCTCATTATCAGCGCAATGGGCATACGTTTCCAAACCACACACTCACCACACGTCGTCCTCTTTGCCCTGCCTTACGACAAGCTTTGTAACCTGGAGAAGCAGAACCGGCATGTGGAGAAAGTGGCGAAGATACTAAAGGCATACGAGAAAGATCTCAGGCTGGTGGATGAAGAGGGTAGGGAGTGGGTGGTGCAGGGCATGGAGAAGAGAGATGAGGTTTTTAGCCAGATTGTGGGGTTTAGTCGGAAGGAGTGGCAGGTTGTGTGGTAGGGGTAGGGGTGGGGTTTGGAGTAGTGGTATGGTGATGGACTTGATAGGGTGGTTTGCGAGTAAAAGTGCTTCGAACCTAAATTTCTTTCTATTGGTGTCTTGTTGGTTTAGGTGAGATTTGTTTCTTTCATTTGCTGCTCTGCACGAGTATAGCTAGTGGAAATACAGATTCAAGTGATATTCTTCACAATTACAGCTGAGGAAAATAGTGCTCTCGATGAAATCCATAAAAGCCATTTTTCGGTCTTCAATGTTCCGACAGAGCAACGAATCTAGTCTGGCGAGAGATCTCTACCTTACCCTTGTTGCCTCCTATTGCATTCCTTGAGCTCAAACTCGTTGGTAGGTAGTTTTCAGAGCTGCATCTAGCATACACAGAGGCCCCTTTGCATAAATAATTTAGACCCATATCCACCCCCTACTCATTGTACACCGTCACCACAATGCCCTCACTCTCTATACAGAACGGGAAGAAAATACCCAGAAAGATCGCAAAACATATTATCTAGTGCAACGTCTCACAGGACTAACAGTAGCAATCCCATCACACCTAATCTAACAGGCCAAACACGACATAAAACCCACCGCGCACCATGCAGTAGCAAACACAGAGTACATACGCAAACACCGAGTTACCCACCACGCTACGCTGTACAGTATCCCCACACAAACAACGCCGCCCCAACAAGCCCAGCAGCCAACAGCCAGTGACATACTCCCCTCACCCAATAGGTAAGCAGGCCCCCCCACCGCCCCTACCCATCCCTTTTCGCACCCGCCTTACCCCCTGACCCCTAAATCCCCATCTCCAATCCAGAATCCAAAAATATCCACCGCTCGCACGTGCAAAAAACCTTTCCCCTCTAGAAGGCCTGTCGTCATCTCCCTTCTCTAGCGCCCTTTGTGGGTACTAGCGGCTTGGCGATGGTTTGGTATGTCTGTGCTGATTGGCTGGTGGGATGTAGATCTGGGCTAGACGTTCCGAGGTAAGTATAGAAGGTTAGTGGTGAAAATGTGGTAGGCATAAAAGAAGGGTTTGTGCTGGGTTTGGATGAAGTGGATGAATGAAGCAAAGTGAATGTGATTGAGGATAAGTTAGGGTTCAGAGATTGAAGCGGTCAAAGAAAAGAGTGTTGGGAAAGAGAAATAGGTGTTGAGAAGAGTGTTCAACGGGTAGAGGACTAAACGATAAGGAAGAGCTCAAGAGAAAGAGAAAGAGAAAGAGAAAGAAAGAGACATGGATACCGTCGAGCGCGGAGCAATCGCAGCGGAGAAAGAAGACAAGAGGGACAGACATGGCAATCGCGATGTTGATGTTGAGAAGACTGCTGCTTCTGGTATTGGTGGTGGTGGTGGTGGTGGCGTCACAGGTACGTACCTCTATCTACACCTCCACCGTCTGATTCAACCTTCTAACATATGCATCTAGACACCCACCCATCGTCCGAAAAACCTGCTCTCCCGCCACTAAAAGGCCTCTCTTTCCTCGACCGCTTCCTAGTAGTATGGATCCTCCTTGCCATGGGCATCGGTATCGCCCTCGGAAACACCGTAGACTCTGTTGGACCCGCTCTGCAGAAGGGAGAGTTTGTTGGTGTTAGTATTCCGATTGGTATGTTATCCCTTCCCCGTCTATCACTTCCTCGCTAGTTAGAACGGCGGTTTCACACACACCTACACACACATATACAGAGAGAGAGGGATAGGGAGAGAGATACATCACTAACTCAACATGCCCACAGCAATCGGTTTACTAGTAATGATGTACCCCATCCTCTGCAAAGTACGCTACGAATCCCTCCACCTCCTCCTAAAATCACGCGCCCTCTGGATCCAAATCGGCGTCTCCTTTGTCCTCAACTGGATCATCGCACCACTATTCATGGTAGCCCTCGCCTGGGCCTTCCTGCCCGACCGCCAAGACCTACGCGAAGGCCTAATCTTCGTCGGCATCGCCAGATGCATCGCCATGGTACTTATATGGACGGATCTCGCCCAAGGCGACGGCGACTACTGCGCCGTACTGGTAGCCTTCAACTCGATATTGCAGATTGTCCTGTTTGCCCCCTTTGCCGTCTTCTACATCCAGGTGGTGAGTCACGGGGAGAAGACAACGGTGTCGTATCAGGGCGTGGCGCAGAGCGTGGGCGTGTTTTTGGGCATTCCGCTTGGCGCCGCCGTGATTACAAGGTTGGGGTTGAAGACACTGGTGGGCGAGGAACGGTATCAGCGCCGGTTTATCCGCTATATTGCCCCGTTCTCGCTCATTGGCCTGCTTTACACCATCATTGTCCTGTTTGCCAGCCAGGGCGCCCATGTTGTTGGGCAGATTACGGATGTGCTTCGCGTCTGCGCGCCGCTCTTGGTCTACTTCCTCGTCGTCTTCACGAGCACTGTCTGGTTCTGCTGGAAGATGGGGTTCGGTTATAAAGTTAGCTGCACGCAGAGCTTCACCGCTGCCAGCAATAACTTTGAGCTAGCCATCGCCGTCGTCGTGGCCGTGTATGGTGCAGGAAGTGGGCAGGCTTTGGCAAGTACAGTGGGCCCCTTGATAGAGGTTCCGGTACTTGTGCTCCTGGTTTATGTCCTCAAGTGGATACGAGAGAGGTGGCAATGGGTCTAGAAGGTGTGTCAGTGTAACGTTGAGTGGCAGCGTCGGTCGCCATTACGGCTAGTTACCGGGCCTTCCGGGTATAAGGAAGCTGATTTGAATTCGAAATTGAATCGCTCAAGCGCTTGTTCTGTTATATGATCGATGATGGTAGCATGTGAAGCTACTTCCCGACTAGTGTCGGGTCAACCGAGCAGTGCCTCGCCGAGTCCGGCATCTCCGTCGAGATTACAATTACAACAATAACCGGTCAAAGGGGAGAGCCTCCTAGGAACACCTCGTTGATGCCTGAACCATGATGATGGATTGACGGTGGTCCCTTAGCCCTGAAGCTTTGATCACGCGCTCCACACCATTTCACACGCTAGCGTACCAGGAACCAGAGTTTATTGTCATTACATGTGTCGTAAGCCCTCCTGAATCCTGCAAAAATCCTAATGTTCCCTGCCAGAATTTGGTGTCCCATGAGGCGTAGGCCCTGAGCTAGCGTGCGCGGAGAAGATACCGAAGACTCTTACAGTGCCTTCGCTAAACATACACCACTTCACTAGTCGCATGTCGCTTGAGTCAGCCCCTAACCACCTGACTAACTGGCTTACGTGGGCCAGGGTACCGCAAACCCCACACGGAGATACTGTCTGCTCACAGGCCACGCGGCTTCAGATGCCGGATCCTATTGAAGGCAAGAGTGAGCGAGTTGAACGGGCGGTAAGATGAAGACCATCTTATCGAGATAGCCACAGCCACCGGCTCATAGGGACATGTATCGATCGTGCATGATCGTACTCGCACGCAATGAAATGGCCAGATGTACACTCGTGTGCCCACAAGGGCTCGATCGGCAGTGCGAGCAATGGTCTGTACGTCGGCAGTCTTCTCCCGCTGCTATATTGAGCTCGCAATGGCGACATGCGCACTCCATTAGGGATCATACACAATGTTTGGTGTAGTCGTAGCTCGTGCTGCTACAGCACAAGGCTCATAGATGGTACCAAGTAGCTGGTGCTACGCCCGGCAGGTTGCGGAACCCTCGTTTTCATTTCATGCAGGGCTTCGGTGCCTACGCAATCCTTCATGTACCTCGCATTGCACAGGCTGATGTTGTGATTCGGTCGAGAAAGACTGTGTTGAGAGAAACAGCCATGCTTCAGGAAGCCATGCCTGTAAGCTGGTAGTATCGTACCCTGTGAACGTCAGTGCTCTCTGTGCTCGTGCTCCACAGCCTTATTATTTGCCAAGTCACACAGACGCAAACGTACTAGGCATATCGTACATGCATAAGGAAATGGATTTCAGACATGGTAGACGACCCAATGTGTGAATGCTGTCGGTGAAGGTGACATTGGCGACCGGGAAATGGTTACGGTTCCAGATGCGGTTGCGATGGGTCCTTGTACACTGCAGTACGACACATGGTATTTGGTGGCACAGAGGCGATTCCAGGTCTGGCGTTTATCGCAAATGCAGACAGCCTTGCAGTCAACAATGTCCTTGTGTGTGACAGTGTGCACCAGTGGAATTGTGTTGCCATGTGTAGGTGGCGCGTAGATTGGCTTGCCTGCAACGAGCGCGCTCGATGGTTCTCCGTGTTGGGACATGTCTAGACAAAGTCAGGCGTCCAGTCAGCCCCGTCAGGCTCGGCATGGTTGACAAAAAAGCTGTCGTAGGTAGGTAATATTAAAGTCAAATCCCGAGATTCGTTCCGCTTTGGGCGCGAAATTGGTCATGACGTACGTAGCAAAGTGTTTCGGCAGGCATTCGATGCATGTAGTCGGGGGGTTTGCAGGTCGGTCAGCACGTGTTCCCAGCTACGAGGGACATCTTGCACCAGGGCCAATTATGCTGGACTTGTGTTTTGTTTGGCTTCTGCCAGTCGCCGAGCCATCGGGCTTGAACGGCATGTTTGGTGACGGCACCACGCGTCTCTTAGCAGCAGTAATATAGCTGGAACACGTTGATGACGGCTGAAACGCGCCCTCTCTGGCGCTAGCATGGCGGCAGGGCCCAGGCTCGGTGGCCTTCTTGTCTCAGGAGTGTTGGATGTAAGCGCCGCACGCGCTTCCTTGTAGAGTTGACGGGCGATGTGCAGCGGGCCCCACGCAGCCGTCGCCAGCGCGTACCGGCATTCACCTTGTTTAGAGCTGTCAAATAGTCCAGGTGGCTCGCTAGAAAGCGCGGAGGCGCCACTGGAAGGTGTTTCGAAAGGGTGGGTGGACGGCGCTCGAGGGAACTGCTCGTGTTCATGCAGCTTGACGGGCGCCCAGTCCTACTTTTGCTTACCAGCCCTGCGGAGGACCCAGTAGACCGGTTCCGCCAGGCTAGCGACGACCACGACCATGTTTCAATCGGCCTGCTGTCTCGCGCTCCCCGCAGTCTTGTCGCCCTTGACATGCTATTTGGTCTGCGCCTGCTTGAGTGCGCGTGAACCTTGCAGCCGTCCCTTGCGACGTTGCATCGTTCTAGAGTTATGCTGATGTTGTGTCGTTAGCTGAAACCGCCCCTCTCCGCCGCCGCCGAGGTTTCTCGCTACCAAACCATCACGACGTCGACTTTGTAGGCGGGTAAAGGGCCTTTTGGCGGCAAATTGCTGGGTCCAGTTACGACGACAGCCGTCAACCCATGTGCAGACGGAGAAGCATCTGCAGAGTCGTCACTTGGGCAGTCAGACGTCGCTTCTAGCCGTACATGGTATATAGTTGGCGAGCCCAATGGCTTTGTCTGCCGCGCAGCTGACTAGATAGGAGCTAGATGCGAGCAACTACTCCCGGCGGTGAAGGGGGGGGAAATGCTTCTGAAATTACTGTTGACTCGATCTTGACCTGTCGTGTGCTGCCAACTGCACGGGACCATGACCAATGCCCGGTGGTCAACTCGCTACCAAGTCAGCGACAAGTCATCGGCATATAAAAGCGAAAAGGCGTTCCTGTATGTGCATGCGATCCTGACCTGGATCCGATTCGGGAAATGATCGGCGAGCATCCGGTAAAGCACAGATGACTAGCGCAGGCCCTGGTCCTGTATAAGGCGGGACGAGATTGGTATTGCTCAGCTCTTCCCAGTTGGCTTCATAGTGAAGCATGCCATGCACCGGTAGAAAAGGACGAGTAGTTGTCGACAGCTGCCGGGAACAGCAAACTCCTGTGCCGACGACGACGGGCGGGCGGGGGTTGCAGGCGTTGCGTAACCCTTTCTGTACCGAACAACCAAGTTCGGCAGCGGAACGGCGCGCGGCGCTGCAACAGCAAAGTGTGTCAACGACGCAAGTCGCGACCGTGCTCTGCAATGCATATCCAAAGCCTGGGACCGCTCCTGAGGCCGGGGCCTTTCAATGCTAGGCGCGTAGGCATTTTGAGCGTAAGAGAGGCGGTTTGAATGGAACAGGTGTGAAATCAGCATAGCCATTGACGTGCATGACAGTCTGCTGGGACAAAGCAATTCTTTTCCGTAACTACTGAGGCGACTGAAGTGCAGCCGGGGATGGCGGAGATTATCCTTTGCTCGTCGTATCACTCGGCTAACAGTCATCTCGGGCCATGGTGCAAAAGCGTCAGTTGAGCCGACTATATGGGAGGGCTGATGGTATACGCCCGTCGCCCGTCGCCATATACGCGTCCAGAAAGAGTCGGGGCACAGAAACGGTAGGGCGTGGTGGTGGGCTTGGTCGCCCATTCGCCGTGGCCGTGGCCGTGACCATGGCTATTCGCCGAAGCGGGGAGCATGGTACGGGATCCAGCTCTTGAACCACTCTATTGGGCGTCGAGGACCAACGCGAAGACGGTCCGGCGAAGCTTAGAAAGGCCGCCAGCCATGTCCTGGCTAGCCGGGTCGCCCATCTTCGTCGTCATATCTCCGTCGCGTCGAGGGGCACATTTCACGTCAAGTATCATATCAGAGGCAGCAGAAGCCTCAGAAGCCTCGTACTGTCGTCATGACGGATGGCACATGGCAAATGGCATAGGGCGCGTGTCATCGACGAGTATCAGACTCTTCTTCCCCCATGTCATGCGCCTCACTGTCACTTCGCAGCAGGGCCTGGCTTTCGCTGAGCGGTGTGGGCGTGGTGGTAAGGATGTGACGAACTTCGCAGCACCACCAAGTACCAAGCACAGCACCAGCACCAGCACCAGCACCAGCTCGGTTCCAGCGCTCATGGGCGCGCTGGACCGGGGGAGGGACCTCAGGGCAATGGGTGGACAGCCAGTCAGCGCACGGGTGCATTTCCGACAGACTGTTACCGCCATCATGGTAGCTGGAAAAGAACCATACTCTGTTGGGTCCAGCTCCGAGCGTGTCGCGGACTGCGGACGGTGCGAGTGCCATGGACAGGCCAACTAATTAATAGCTGTCTTGTTAATGGCCTGGGATGCAGATGGGTCCCAAGAGGTGCGCAGATGGGTGGACCCGCCTCGGACTGCCTCTTGCATTGATGCCGGGACGCCTGCTTGTGGTCGACCAGCCCCAGCGTCAGCCCTCATTGTCGCGCCTGCAGGGGTTTCGCTTTTAAATACCTCGCGCTTCTCTCTGGGCCTGATGACTGAGATGCCGGTCCTGCCACCTGAAGTTCACATATACACACGTCGCTGCTGCTGCTGCTGCTGCTACTGCTGCCCGCTCTAGCCCGCGACGACAACGCCGCCGCCGCCGCCTACACGCCAAATCCATCTTCACCCACCAGTACCAGTTCTCGCCCCCTAGAACAAAGTTATTACCCTGCCGGCTTCTTCTTCCGGCTGTATCATTCCGCCCAACGTCAACTTGCCTCGCGCCTTCGGGCCACCACGACCGCGAGTCTCTCCGTCTCAAGTCTCATGATCAGCGCAAAGTCGTCATCGGCACCACCAATTACCGATTAGTAGTCGCTGCGAGGCTGCCCAGCAAACTCCCACCGCTGCTCGTCCAAGGCTGCTCGCTCCAATGGTCACGATGACATCGAATGGGTGAGTGCACTACTCCTCCCCGCTCCGTGCGACGCGCCCAAGGCTGGTCGGCGGCAATGCGCCTGCAATGGCCCCCCCCCAGCAAACCTCAGACAGCTAACCTGCAGCTCCAGATTGCCCGTGCCCGCTCAAAACAGCAACTATTTGGAAAATGGCCGATGGTACCACGGCTTCCGGAGAGGCCTCTACATGTACCCATGCGACGAGGTAGGCAGCCGCGAGTTGTTGGCTCCTTCTGCGCTGACGCTAGAATACCACAGCCAGAAAAAGACCGCATGGACATTTACCACCAGTTCTTTGCCGTAGCACGAAGAGGCCAGCTGCACCAGGCCCCAGTACCCGTCGAGCCACATCTGCAGCCCCGCATCCTCGACGTTGGGTGTGGGACAGGCATCTGGGCAATTGACATGGCCGAGTAAGTTTATTCCTAATTCTGCCTCGTCAACCCACGGCTAACCGCGACTGTGCAGCAAATACCTAAACGCCGAGGTATGCTTTTCCCGCCCCGAAATTCAGACTTGTTTCTGCCTTGCGACCTCACGACTAACGCGACATGCGCGCAGGTTTTAGGATTAGATCTGGTCAACATCCAGCCCGAGAAGTATGCCTCCCTCCGCTGCCGCCTCTCTACCTGACACTGATTAGTCCCCGCAGAATCCCCCCGAACCTGCGATTCCGTGTACCACGCGACTATGAGAGCCCCTGGACGCTGGGCGAGGATTCTTGGGACCTAATTCACCTGCGCATGGCCTGTGGCAGCGTTACATCTTGGCCAGAACTCTACCAAAAGATATTTTCGTAGGTAGCAACCCCCCGCGCGCCCCGCTGTGCCAATGCTAACCTAGGCCTCGCAGGCACCTCAAGCCAGGCACTGGCTGGATAGAGCACATTGAAATCGACATGGAGCCGCGCTGCGACGACCGCACGCTTCCCCCCGACAGCATGCTCACGCAGTGGTACGGCTGGCTAGCTGATGCTACGCACCGAGTTTCGCGCCCAATCGCATACGAGCACCGCACCCGCCAGCTGCTGCAGTCTGCCGGCTTCATCGATATCCAGGAGACGGTTATTCGCGTCCCGTACAACACATGGCCCAATGACCCGCACCAAAAAGACATCGGCAGGTGGTACAATCTGGGCCTGACCGAGGGTCTGGAGGCGCTAACCTTTGCACCCCTCACCAGGGTCTACGGATGGGATCTCAACGCACATGTCAAACCATTGCTCGAGAACGTGCGGAGGGAGCTCTGCAACCGCAAAATTCATGCGTACAACAATATGTAAGTCAGGCCCCGGCCCCCGTGGTACCAATTATTCCATGTCAGGCTAGACGCTGATGCCTTGCTCCATAGCCACATTTGGACTGCTCGCCGCCCCCAGCAGTAGGCCCTCGCACCACACTTGTAGGACCCCGATGATCGATTGACGATGCTGTATCTGGCCTTTGTTTGCCTATTACAGCGCGCGCCACGCAGTAGCCAGCGAGGTCCCGCCGGCGAGTCTGCTGCATTGGGCATCCTCCGAAGCTCTGTCGAGCGCATCAACGCGCCAGCCCCGTCACACCTGGACCCTGGCGACACTTCCAGGAAGTTGTGCATTTCGCGGAACATCACTAGCCTCACTCTGCTATTGGTGAGCACCTCGACCTTGGTCGGGCATGACGGAGCAGGGGAATCCCCCACCGGCACACGTCCCGTGACGGTGTCGCTTTACACTTTATTCGCATCACCTTGCCCTTTACCTAATGGCGCATTTTGCGGTAGGGAAAATCTGGAGTTTTTTCGGCGACTACCCCTGTCCGGCGTTTACGGCACCTTGAAGAATATGATACCTCGGTTTTCCTGTGATAAAAACGAATTTCTATTTCCACTGTCACTGTTTCCTAAGCAGATCGCGGCTGTCTGAGCGCGTCCTTGTGCATGGCATCATTTTTGTGTTGCTGGCGACCACACGGTGTTGGTGTTGGTCCCTAGTGTTTTGTGTCTCGCGTGGGAGGCACATGCTATTGATTTAGCGAAAGCGACCAGGATGAACATGTCCCCATTTTCAAGGACAGCACGAGCAGTAAATAATAGGTGCCAATATATACCCCCACTTTCTTCCAACGCTCGTTCGCATGGGCCACTAGGTGCAATGTAACGGTGAGGCTGCTAACTTGGGCTGGGAGCACCTTGGGTCCAAGGTCAGACGGTCGTTTGGTCCAAACGCATCTACGTCACAATGGTGCCAGTGGCAAGTCCAATGTGGTGTACATGTAGGTACAGTATACCGGTCACGGTAGAGACGGAGGTGCGGTGCTGCAGTATGTATGTTCGCTGGGCGTCATGGTGTCGGCTGGCATGCTGTATATATCGATGCCACGCGTCGTTCCAGGTTGGTGGGTAGGTTCGCGTGCAAAGTCAGGCCAGAAATATGAAGGCAACATTGAAATGTGCAACTATCAAGGGCGGGCGATAGCAGCTTAGGCAGGCGAATATTGACGCCTAGCAATCGGCGCCTAAGTTTCAGTGTTGCATAGTTACCTTGCTCGCTGGCCCAGGGTGCCGGACCGATCCTTTTGGCAATTATAGCAAGCGAGCTGCAGCAGTGTGGCACACAAACATGCGCCGAGGTAAGTTGCCATGCACAATAGATCACGGCAGGGCTCACATCAAGGGCAAGATAAGATGCGTGTGCGCAATGCCGGCCGCACTGATACCAGATGAATGGTGAGATGTATGCGGGGGTGGCATGGGGGCGACAAGAAGGGAGTTGCTGGCAAGCTCAAGCTTGTGTTGGCATTGGTGATCCGACGAGCTGGGTCGGACGAGGGTTCTCCCGTATCCCGTGCCTTCCTCCCGTGGAACGAAGGAACAGCGGAGCGCGAGGACAGAACAGCTGGAACCAGAACCAGAACGGCGACGACGAGCAAAAAGAAGAAAAGTCAGCCCATGTGGTGGAGACTGGCGGGCCCGAGCGAGTGTGAGTGCATGCAACTTGTCTCGTCCATGCTGTATCGCAATCTTGTGCACCCACTCACGCGTCGCGTCTCGCGTTACCTGCTAACGGCTTATAGCCAACACATGGTCCCTTCGTCTGCCGTTGATATCGCCGGGCCTATCTCGGCCGCCCTCTTGACTAGTCCGCCTGTAATGCCTTCTCCTCGCGAACCATCGTCCACACCTTCTGACATACTGACACATTTTGCGACGCCTTCATTGCTGGGTCTATCTGCCCACTCCATCCTGCCTTATCCAAATGCATAGAGTCGGCCAGTAATAAGGCGTCGCCTCTCCGCCGCCTGCATGCTGCCTACACGACACTACGACACTACCTCTCCTTTCCAGCCTGCTTCTGCAACCACACGTCCTTTGCCATCCCGAGTCGAATACACCGCCATTGTCCCTCGCCGCCAGCACATCAACGCTATTGCATCCGAGGCTCCAGTCATGATGCATCCTCGCCCACCCGTCACAGTTACCGGCGGCGAGGTTCTGCCGCCCACGACTATTAACATGTGAGCCGACTGCGCCACTGCACTGCTCTTTTTACCACACCCCCGGATAATCCATGTCCGCGGCATGTCGGCCGAGTTCCGATGCTATGGCTACGTCAACGTGCGATGAAATCGGTTACCTGATCGTCGGGACCTTTCCCTGCCAGCATCTCATCGAGTCACCTCTCGCAGGCCGACGCTTCGCCACGCTTCGCCATATGCCGATGAGGCATATTGGCTTGGTACTTTGACGTGTTGGTGGCGTCTGCGCATCCGCCTATTCGGATCTCACCTGCAGCATCTCAGACTACCAAATGCGGCCATCTGTTCGCACCCCCATTCGGCACCTTGGGCTTTCCTGTCAGGGACCGCATCATCTAGCGTACGGAGCGGACCTCCCCAACCAACTTTTGCCCAGTAAGTCTCTCCGTCGAGTCTCTATTCGTCTACACCTGCATGATGACAAAGCTGGGGCCATAAGAGATCCTCTCCTATACGCTTCTCGGAGCGTTGTGGATCGCAGGATCTATGCTTTCCGAACCAGCAAATTTCCATCTTCTCAACCTGTCTGATACATATTACATGCACTTTTGCTAGTGCATTTTTTCCCCACAATTTCTGCAAATCCTATCGGACTTTTGTCAACGACTAACGATTGGTTAGGCTCAAACTTCCGTCCCGGACGATCAGCGCTTGCAGCCGGCCTTGGACTTGTGGGTTCATCGAACACTAGCGCCAAAAGGAGCCAGGAAACGGTTCATCGTTCACTAGATCTGAATGCTTTCTTGATTCAGTGCCTACTTGGACAGTGCGTGGAATGACTGGTATACGGTGTTTCCTGTCCATGTGGATCGTGATTATGCGCTTCGGTTGAGACGCACATAGGCCTCTGGCGCTTGACACTTATGCTTTTGCGGCATACCTCCATCTTGGGAGCCTTGGCAATATCAAATGACTGTAGATCATGGCAAGTACAGCGTCAATTATAGCCATGTCTACGTACGCCACGTATTTGAGGTCCACACATGCTTCCGCTGTGTTGGCCGTAGTTTCTTGTGACGGTTCTTGCGGTTCCTGACTCTGTACAATTTACCCCTTTCAATCTTCATGGAGAATGACGGGAGCAGGGTTGATGGTTGGTTGGTATCAATTGTCTTCACCCGCGGCATCGTTTGGATGTATCTTGGAAGCCATCGTGGCGCATGGCTGAACCATGGTGGCTTTCAATTGAAACTCAAGATGCCGTGCAGCAATTGCAGTTCCCTTTGGCCGTTACTAGCTTATACAATCATCGTTCATAACAAAGTGGTTGTCGCTCTCATCGTAGACTGTCGTTTGTGGCTCCTTAGAGAGGCGATGAGATTGGGCTTGTTGCTAGGTTCCCATATGTGGCTATAACACCACCTGCAAACACTGCAAGCATAGTCCAGGACAACTGTAAGAAAACCACAGTAAAGTTGACGTCAAGTCTTTCAATCAAAAGAAACTTCACGGGTTGTGTCGCTACGACCTAAATCAATCTTGACAAGCTAGCCGTCGTTCCTACAACCACACCCGGACGACCCTGCCGACGGAAAGACGGTAATAGAGCAGGTGCGACTATGTAGGTCTGCCACATCCACCACCGTGCTCTCACCTCCTCCCTCCCGTAAACAAACGTTACGTCAACTGTTATTCGGTACCATGCCTACCTCCTTCCGCACGACTTGAACATGCACTTCTGTCTTCTTCCAACATTACATGTCCTCCACCGCAACAGTCTACCCGCCAGTACTGAGCTCGCACCGTCCCCAAACCTCTCTCGAGTATTCTTTCAATCTCACAAGCTCCTCTACCAACGGAATACGACTAGTAGCAGGTCAACGATGACCAATGCGAACCCTGCACCAGTTGGGCAACCCCATTGGCGGCCCAGATACATGGCCCTCACAAAACATCGTATTATCGTGGCTTTGCTGCATATTTTGCACATCATCACAACTTTGGTCGTCCTCATCCTCGCTGTATACTTGCTTAAGCATTTCCCCCGCGGCGCCTTTGAGCCGAGGTTACAAGGTGTCAACACACCCCGGGCGATTCTATTGGTAGGTTAGCTTACCTACGTCAAGTGAATAATAGCTAACGATTCTTTAGTCTGCCATCGACTTACTCTTAATGCTGCCGATCCTGGGGGTCTCCCTGAGCAGACACAACAAAAACTTCCTGGGCTTCTTCACTTTCTTACTAGGCGTTGGCTGGGTTGTTCTGTTCGTCTACGTGCTGAAAGACTTTACATTTGGCAGATTTGGCTTGTGCGAGAGTCTGCCATATGCTTTGTTCAACGGTCGCCCGGACTATGCCAGATGCAAGATCAAGAGGGTATTCAGCGCTTTCATTGGCTTAGCTGCGTAAGTACCCCAGGTTTCCATCACCTCAAGCGCTGTTGCTAACGCGTGAACAGCGTTACGAATTTCCTCGCCACGATTTGTTACTGTATGTGGCGTGTTGCGGATGAGTACTAAACAGAGAGAATTACCAGTCGTTCTACCTAGTTCCTTTCCTAAGAGCAATTCTATCCTTTTACAAGTATAACTGTTCGTGGATGTTGAAGACGTTTTGTTTTTGATGTGATACTGCTGAGAGTGTCAGTCATGCCAGCCCGGGTATCATGAAGTACTTGACATGCCAGTAGAAGAGGCCACTATAGTCGTCATACATTTATATTGAGTGCTTATCTACACTATCTAGTGTTTACGATAACTAGGTGCCGGTACTTTTCTATCTTAGGGCCGGCAACATCTCCGGCTTCCCCGCACCCCGCTATAACAACACCCTACCAAGACCTTCACTTATACCGGCACCCAGGTGTCATTAAATACTAGAAATACCAGTGTAAAAGGCCACTGTAGTCGCAAGTCACGTCTGTTAGCTGCCTAACTACACTGTCCAAGATAACACACAGGTGCCGGTACTTCCATCCCGCCTTCCCCGCACCCGGCTATGCCGATATACAGGATATCGTCTTCCTTCGTGAAAAATTATCCGCGACATGACAAAAGCCGCCGCTGTCTCTGGCGATATGGACGCAATTGGTCGACATTACTCGGTGGTGACCCTCACTCCGATGAAGTCATCTAGTATATAGGTCGCATGGGCCTTTCATCATATACAACGACACATGTCTCTTCCCAAGTCATTTCTTCGAGATAAAGAAGCCATCTACCCAAACATCACATGACGCCCAATGCAAAACGACTCAAAATGTCACCATCCACAGATCGCAAACGAGCCGTGCGCATAGCCGGGTGCTCAGGTGGCTTCACCGACCGTTCAACAGCCATTGCGCGCATGGCAGCAGATCCAGATGTCGACGTCGTCATGGGTACTTCCCTTCCCCCCTTCACCCATCCACACACACACACATACATACAACCGGCCTAACACATAAACCCAGGCGACTGGCTCTCTGAAATGACGATGACGCTCCACGGCAGCGGCAAAGTAAAAAACAGCAGCAGCAGCACCACCACCACCACCACCACCACCACCACCACCAAATCCCCCGCCCTAGAAGAACGCATGAAAACAGCAATGTACGCAGAAACCTTCCTCCAATGCTTCGAGCCCGCCATCCCCCTCCTCGTACGCAACAAAACCAAACTCGCCGTAAACGCCGGCGCATCAGACACCCAACTCCTCGCCGAGGTTGTCGTGGATCTGTTACAGAAGAACGGGGCTGGTCACCTCAAAGTGGCGTGGATTGAAGGCGACGATGTAACCGGTCAGGTCAACAGGCTGATCAAAAAAGGGGAGAAGTTTGAGAGCTTGATGCATGGGAAGGCGCTCGAGGAGTGGGGTATGGAACCGGTTTGTGCGCAGGCTTATTTGGGGGGGTTGTGTATTGCGGAGGCGCTGAGGGAGGGGGCGGATGTTGTTATTGCAGGACGGGTGGCGGATGCTGCGCCGGTTATTGGGGCTGCGGCGTGAGTTTTTTTTTAACATCGTTTGCTTCAACAGCCAAGTTAACGGGGAGATTTCCTTTTGGAGTGGGGGCTGATATCCCGATGCAGATGGTGGCACGACTGGCGAAACGACCAATTCGACGAACTTGCCGGCGCACTCATTGCGGGCCATTTGATCGAATGCTCAAGCTACGTTTGTGGGGGGTACTACTCCATGTTCAAGGATTTGATGAAGAGTGGGAAACATATAAATATGGGGTTTCCCATTGCGGAGGTCGAGGCTGATGGGATTTTCAATATTGCAAAGGAGAAGGATAGTGGTGGTATGTAAACCCCCATTCCCCCTCCCATCTTTATCACTAACCCATGCCACCTCATCTACATAGGCTGTGTAACAGTAGGAACATGTACATCCCAACTCCTCTATGAAATCCAAGGCCCACTGTACTACAACTGCGACGTCACAGCCGACATCACTGACGTGCAAATGGAGCAAATCAGCGAAGACGTCGTGCGAGTGACAGGTATCAAAGGGCTGCCTCCGCCGCCGACTACGAAAATAGGAATTACGGCGCCGGCGGGGTGGCAGTGTGAGTGGCATATGTTTATGTGCGGGTTAGATATCGAAGAGAAGTGTAAGATGACCGAGGAACAGATTAGATATGGTATTTCCCCCTCTCCCTTCCCTTCCCTCTCCCTAACTAACCCACCCACCCAGCAATCGGCCCCAACACCACACGCTTCACAACCCTCCACTTCCACGCCAACGGCACCTCACCCCTCAACGCCCCCACCCAAGACGCCTCAACCGTCGACTTCCGCATATTCGCCCAAACCCACGACGCCACCCTCGTCCGTCCAGACGCCCCCCAAGCCTTCAACCGCTGGTGTCTAGAAGTCTTCCTGCAATGCTGTCCCGGCCTCTCGCTATCCAACGACCTCCGCCAAGTCGTGCCGAAACCGTACTACGAGTATTGGGTTACTTTACTCCCGCAAACGGAATTACCGCTACGCGTGCACGCGCTGTGGGAAGGGGGTAAGACGATGGATCTAGCGCCGCCGGCGGTGACGAAAATATACAGCAAACGGCAACCGTCCTACGAGACGAGTAACCCTGTTCCGCTGGGGCAGTTTGGAGAAACCGTTCATGCGCCCTTGGGGTATATTGTCGCGGGTCGCTCGGGGGATAAGGCGTCAGATTGTAATTGTGGGTTCTTTGTGAGACACGAGGATGAGTGGGATTGGTTGCGGAGTTTTATGACGGTTGAGAGGGTGAAGGCGTTGTTGGGCGAAAACGAGTATAAAGGTGGTGAGATTGAGAGGTTTGAGTTGAGTGGGATTCGGGCGGTGCATTTTTTGCTGAGGGATCATTTGGATCGGGGGTATAATGCTAGTAAGACGTATGATACGTTGGGCAAAAGTAAGTGGCATTGTCCCTGGTGGGTGTGTGGCTGTGAGTTTGCTAACGCGGGGTTGTAGATGCTATGGAGTATATGCGTGCGAAGACTGTGGATTTGCCAAAGAAGTTTTTGGAGAGGGGGAGGATTTAGACGGGGGGATCGTGTTGGAATCGATTACTTACTCTCTCTTTTTGAGATGAGAGTATACAGTTAAGATCCCACAATACATTACTCCAAGCCTTTTTCAGCGCGTACATGGCATTTCAAAAGCAAGTCATGAATTCAACTACTCTCAAGACTCTAGACCTGTTTGCACACCAGCGAAAAAGTATTACAGAAACGTCATGAGCGCTGTTCCCTCAGCGCATACCTGATGCAGCCCCAGTGCCATAAAACGCCATTCCAGTCATAGCAGTCTTGATCTGCTTGCACGTAGCCAGTACAGTACGGCCGTGAAAGAAAGCAGGATAAAAGAGTAAGCAGGGAAGTATGCTGTCAACTAATAGTCGTCTCACAGACATGAAAGATGCAACGCTTTTTCCATCATTATGCTCGGTCTTTTTCTGACGCCGAATGAATGTTATGTAGACGCCAGCATCCCGAGCAGAAACAGTGCACTCTAATCTCAACCTCCTTGCTTGAGCTTGAGGTTCATGACATATTGCATCAAGCTGCAGTCGTCACACTTGACTAATGACTGTAGTGCTTTGACCCTCGTGCGTAGCAGTTCGTTCTCGTCTGCCAGGTTCTTCTTGTCCTTTTCCATCTGCTTGATGTAGGCAGTCGCCGAGGCTAGGATAACGGCCTTGCTGGGCTTCGAAGGCGTGGGCAGGTCCTCAATGTCAGCGCCATCGCATCCTCGGTTCTGCTGTAGTGACGGTACGACACGCTTGAGGGAGTCGAGTTGGGTGTTTAGAGATTCGCGGTACTTTCGTTCGACTTGGTTGTGTGGTAAGCGCCGGCGGGGCTTTGACTTTCCATCATCGGGGCCTTCGGGGGAGTCTTTCGCAGACGTCTCCTCTGCAGTTTCGCTCTTATGCCGTGGCTGCTCTTCAGCGGGCGATGTGGTATTCTGCTGGCTTTCGAATTGACGAGTTGAGAAGCCATTGGCGGATGCATCGCTCTCTGATCGCTTCTTAGGTCGTGGCTGGATTTCAACTATGCCGTCTTCAGCAGTGACTTCTTGGGGCTCGTTGAGCAGATTGGTAATGCTGGGAAGAGCGTCTTGATCGGCGAACAAGAACGGTGCACAGCCTCCGCCACACGTTGATGGATTTGGAGGCGGTCCGTTCACGTCATGGTTGGGACACAGTGGTGAAGTCCAGCAGGCAGAGAGGATGTCTGGCTTATTCTTGATTCGCTTGGAGGTGGTATTGGCCGCTTGCGATGTCTTCCGCTCCACGCTCGGATTTGCAGTGTTTGATGCTCCCTTGGGTCCATCGGGGAAGGTGAGATCCTCCACGAAACCTGAATCCAAGTTGTTGGGAAACATGGACTCGTATGCAGGGTTAGGGAAAGTGTTTGCACGCTGTAGTGCTTGCCTCTGAGCCGATGACATCTGGGCTAATTGGTTCAGCTCATTCATCGACGCTTGAAATGCTTGTGATGTTGAGTCGTTAGCAGTCTCAAGGGCGGGCTCTGGAGACTGTTCTGTGCTAGACTTGCCGACAGCAAAGTTGTTGCCAAAGGGTTTGAGGACGTCTAGGTCGCCGAGGAAATAGTCGTTGGACAAGAACAGTGAATCGTCAAAGTAGGAATCGCCCGAGGGTGGGCCGAGGAAGGAGTCGAAGTTGTTGAGGTCTTCAGGAGAAGATCCTGACGTGTCGGTCGTTGTGGATTTGGGCATCTGTGAGGTGGGAGGGGCAACGGGTTGTGCTACAAGATTCGCCCATTCGTCGCTCGGTATCTTGAAGGACTCAGTGTTGAGATACGCATCCCAATTGAAGGCCATGATGACGGTTGGTGAGTGGTAGTTACACCACGGATGTCACGCGTTGATCAGGAGATATGACTGCCAAGGTGCGCTGGCTAATCCGAAAGTGTGCTTAGCAGGCGAAGTGCAGGACAGGGTCTGGTCGAGGATATAAGTGCAGCTGCGTCTTATTCGCGTGAGTCACGTTTCAGGGTCACTTGGCTCGGTTCAGTCGACGACAAAGAGTGAGGGTGTAGTTTAACGTGGGAGAAGGGTTTCCTGCGGTTTGGCCGGGGCCTGGCTTGTTTAAGAGTGATGAGTAACACAAAACAGCAGAGCTTGGCGACTGCTGCAAAGACGTTACCCTTGAACTTCACGCGTCTTTGTGGATAGGATGGTACGGGCTGTCTAGGGTATGATTTCCCGACTGGTCAAGAGGCGTGCAGGTGCAGAATCTGATGCACAGGCGAAAGAGATAGAGGCTGAGGAAGACCTCAGAGCTCGAACAGGTGTTCCGGCGCATCATGAGGCGGGAGCCGGAGTGCGCAAAGGTGCGAGCGGGTCTAGGTCGTCCTGATCAGACCACCTGGGAGGTGGCGTGATATTTCCCTGGGCCCCGCTCCAGTGCCACATACGTGCTAGCGTCTTGCAGCTCATCGTGATGCGGGAGCCACAGCATCGCCACGCCGCTCACGAAACATGGTCGACTTTATGCTCTGTGCCTGATCTTCACCAATCTGCATGGTATTGCGTGAAGAGCATGTCTTGAAGACGATACCACGTTAAGGCGGGCGCCAGTGGCATTCCCGCTAGCGGCCCCGGTTGCCCCACGAAGACCAGGGCCACCTTGTCAAGACCCTGCATTTCATCCGAGTTTATTCTTCTTTTTTGTTAACTGGCAAGGTTCATGAGATGCATAGCGAACATGGTGGGTTTCCTCACAACTGCTGTCGTGCCAGGTCGGGCGGCTGGCTACATGGGCTATAAAAACATAACCTCGGTAAGGGTCAGATCATACTGCGAAACCCCCACTCAAACCCACCTCACGCTGTTATCGATATACTAGTTGACGCGAAACATGCCATGTAAGATATCTCCGCCACATGGAAGACACCAGTTAACACTTCTTCCTATCCGCATTCGCTGCGACAATGTGCACATGCACGTTGAGCCGCAGTCTATGGCAGTCAGACTGGCGCAATAAGGTCGGTCAGTCTCACTGATGGATATTGTTCACATGGCTCCTATGAGGGTCTGGAACCAGCCTACAGCTCGTTCCGCAGCTGCGCAAAACCGAGCTCGGGACGAGATGCTTCATTCAGCCTACATGTCGAGCAACTGGACCCGAGTGCAAGAGACAAGTCTCAGCTCGCCTTCGTTATCAATACAATCTGTCGTCCTCAGACCATGACGATCATGGGTATTGTCGGGTCTAGTCTTTCTCGCGTTCTTCGTCTTGCTGCTCTAGAGCCGGGTATGATCGGCCTATGGCAGAGTGGACAGTACTCGTTGTACTTTGTAAACCATTCGTCTAGACAGTGCGAGTGAAAAGCGTGAGAGCATTCAAGCCCACGTATTTGCGCGTCGTCGACGAACTCGTCCAGACATATGGCACTGTGTCGTTAGCCCAAATCGCGCTATCCATCGCACGATGCCCAAACTCACCATATTGGATCGCTCATTTGTAGCGATGCCGGATTCTTTTCCTTCTGACTCGCGAGCCAAACGTAGAAACTCTGCGACTTGATATGACTGTCTAGCTCGTTTTGTCGCGACTGCCATCTCTCTTCTTTGATAGTCGATTCATTGTGGATTAGTCGTGGGATGATGAAGCCCCTGCGACGATTACTGTCCGTCAGCTTAGACAGGTGAACACAGTACAGCGCACAATTTTGAAAACTGACATGAATATCAGCACTATGAGCACGATTATCAAAGCCGCTGGCACAATGATGGCGACTACGATGGTGCCACTTTTCGCATTCGGTGTTCCGCCAGCTGCCTCTGTGCCGTTTGACATTGCGATGAAAACCAGGTTTCACGGCCGTCTTGGGGAAAAAGATATATGAGCGTCCCAAGATTGACGGTGCTCGATGTAGAGCGTATATACAACAAGAGATGTATCCGTCGTCGACTGTTCGAGCTTAATGCATACTCTGGGTGTCGCAGTAATCGACCAAGCGTATGCGGTACCCCCACAGCCGACGTATGGTATTATAACGAATAGCGCACAGCGTGCACATGGACGCCGCAAAACTTATAGACGATGCAAGTCAAAGAAGACAGGTGGTTGTGGAATTTCATATCGAGGATAAGCCCGGCTTTTCGGTACCTCGTAACTTTGTCAGATGCCAAGGTCTACGGCATTTCCCCCTCTCGATCGGAGATGACATCCGTCACTGTATTACGAGAAACCCCATGAGCCGAACATGACCGATTGGGTCGCAGGCATCGTGAACCATCGTGTGACCCTTGTAATCTAATTAATCGCTTTCGGCCCATGTGGTTTTCCGGTATGTAGGGACAGACGTTACTCTTGGGTTTCTCATCGCAGACGCGATATACCACGGGAGCTTTAGAATGAGCATCTCTTTTACGTTCAAACTTGAGGTGCATGTTTATGTGGTTGCACATGAGCTGTGTGCTACCATACAGTGCTGCAGCCCAGCCTCTTTTAGCCTTCAGCGTAGCTGGCCGTGCATCTAACACTTATACTACAGCTCATAGTCTCATGGACGACATTTCATTTGACAGCTTTGTAAAAGGCAAATATCATTGATATAACGAGTGTATATAGTTGTTATTGAATTGTTGTAGAGCCATAGTTGCGACGACAACATGGCAAACGAAGTGTAGGCTGTAATAAGATCCGGTAGTTTCAGGCGCCCTTCGGGAGTCGAATCGTGACTTGGATAGAGAAGAAAATAAGCCCAAGGGCTGTTGTCTTGAGAGCTGTTTATCGCGATGCTTGGACATGTCTTCCGTGTCGGATGTGGGGCCGAGGTAAAAGGGAGAAGAAGGTTGTTGTATTGAGAGAGCTACAGAGAGCGGTTATATACACAACCAAGATGAATAAGCAGGTCACGTAGAGTCACGTGAGAGATGCAGTTCACATGTACTTTGTGAACTGAGGTGCCATGCTGACATTCCGCCTCCTCTACATCTTGAAGTTAGTAACTCATCAGAAAATAGACTATGTTTTACTTACTTGTACTAGGCACATGTATCACGGCTGGGACTGCAACTAAGGCCCCCTCCATTTGCGGCAGGTTGACACCAGCCGTTAATGACGTCTTTCTATTTGAACAATTCGTTAAGCATGTACTACACACGTTATCAAACCAGCATACCACTGTTCCGTCCTATCACAAAAGCTAGCTATGTTCTACACGTAATCAAAGCAACATACTATGGGGTCTGCAACCGAACAGGGCTGGCATTTTGTGATGCAGCCATCATCAATAATCTCCAATGTTCCCGCGTAGGCTATGCTAAGAAGCGGAAGAAGAGCGAGGAGAGTCGAGAATTGCATTTTGATCAAGAGTAAATTGTTTAGCTTTAGTATAGGTCGGAGTTGGTGTGGTCTGACTTAGGTGGGGAATGGAAGAGGATTATATGTTCTCCTCGTCCGGACGGTAAGGGGTATCTCTACGAGTCATATATGGCTTACATACCCGCCGCCTTCTCCGCTTACAAGTGACGATCTGGTGGTTTGGAGTCTTGTCTTGGCGAGATGCTTCGATAATACGAGCTCATACCTTTCTGAATACAATATGAGAGCAGCGGCATATTCCGAGCCATGGTGCTCTAGACCTACCTGCCGAGAATACCGTCATGATTATACTTTTGACTAGATTGTAAACAGTTAGATGCTCACAAGGTACGAGTACAAGAGGAACTAGATAAAATTTCCGCTTCTACCGTTTTCCGAGAAACATATGACCGAACAAGCGTCCGAATATCTATAAAGCCAGACTGGCCATATGCCACTACTTCTTTCCCAACCATTATCTCCCAAAAGAATCAGACCAGCTATAGGGGGCAAACGTGCTAAACACCGACTACAATTTTTAGGCAAGAGAGGCTGATATGCATACGCTCATAGCAGTAACTCTTAGGAGCAGGTTCTCGTGTTCATAGCTATCTGGTAACAGCAAACAAGGTGTCGTGTGCTGTACCGCTACCTCAGTTTCCTCCTGCTACGAAAAAGAAAAAAAACAGTACTACTACTCAGCTCAAAGAGAATAGCATATAAGAAATTGAGTGAACTATATTCTAACAATTTTATAAGCTTTACTCCAACACTTGTCTATCTTACCAACCTATCCGTCTAATACATCACTTTTAATCACCCTTGATACAGCTCGGTCCAGTTGGAGATTGGCACGAGAAGGTGCTTCTATTTTCACAAACAACTGCTAGTACAGCGTTAGTATGATATACTATAGGTAGCGTCAAGGTTTGCCTACCCTGGCAGTTTCTAGAGCAGCACTGCCCCTGGTCTGGGCTACCACCGTCACACGGAACTATATCTATTAGCAGCGGAAAGTCAGTTTAAATAGATGGTTACGTACATCCATTGAGTAGACATTGTCTCTCTTGGAGTGTTGCGGGAAGGGCCGCTACTGATGTAATAGCCACGATAGTGGCGACGATGGAAGTAAGCTTCATGATATAGGTCGAAGTCGACGTAGGTAGTAAAGTATAGGTGACGATGTGTCGATATCTTCTGTTAGGTAGAGCGACTACCCGTTCTTATAGTGAACACCGACCTTATCAATTGGCATGCTCTATATCTCGCGAACAAAGAGGCATTGCGAGCTAACCGACCACTGTTACGTATAAGTAGCTAATGAACAGGCTTAATAATTTTGATACGGTCCTTCTTCAGTGTTAGGGTATGCGTAACTCACCGCTTAAGGAGAGCTATATCAGGTTGATCCAGCCACTGTTCAATCCCCGCTTTATGATCTTTATATTCTTATCTCAGCGTCTGAGCGCGGATTGTTGAGCGGCTGCCTTTTCAAATACGGAGTCAACTTTTGAGACATAGAAATCCCCCCTTGATAACCCAAAAATATCATGCCTCCGACCAGGGAAATTGCGACCTCATCAGCTGTACACGAGGACTAAGATTGGCGTCTGTAGTTCGATGCATGTAATACTCTTAGCCTACTTCGATTATCAAATCGTGCGTAATGCTAAGGCGGTTGCGCCAGGAAGTAGTGCATAAAGAGACAGGTAGTTACTGAATGCGGAGGTCGGCGGAGGGAGGGAATGCATTAGTGTTGGTTATCCATCGCAAAACCTGGCTTGCCAGCATTACCTTGACAATCTCGTGAACGCAATGCGGTATTTGTTCCTGCAGATCAACCGAGAACTGACTGTTATCGTATTTCTTCGTAAAAGGCAAGATAGCGCGGAATAGGCAGAAATGCCTATAGCTAGTCAATGCTAGTGCCGCACAGCTATCATAAGCGCGGGTAGCACAATAGCCTTGAAATTCCATCAGCACCCTCCCCGTAATCCTATACTGACTGTCACTGTCCGAGACGAGACTGAAAGCTTCCACAAGGGAAATAGGAGAGCCAAGTTAACGGTGATGTTGTAAATACTGCACATCCGAAGTGACAATGCACGATAAGGGCCAAGGGCGAACAAAAAGATGAGAAGATCACGCAGTGTAAACATACATCCTGATGAAGATGACAGACACTAACTACACGCGCCTACTTCCACAGACGAAACCTCACAACCGTAATAAGCAGCATTACGTCACCTCCGCAATGTTCTGACGCTCAATATAACTCTCCTGCTTCACGTCCCGGCCAACACGCCAGTAAGAATCGGTATAATCAGCGCAGTTCATCTCACGCAGAAACTGCTCGTCGTGAGTAATGACCAGAAGCTGAAAGTTGGCCTGCTTCCTGCGCGTCTGGATGATCTGAGACAGGGACTCCGCAAGACCCTTGATGTTCTGTTGATCCAGATTCGTCGTTGGCTCGTCGAGCGCGATAAGACCGCAGTTTGTGCCGAAACACTCTGCGAGAGCTAATCGAATGACGATGGAAGCCAGGACCTTTTGACCAGCGGAGCATCGGCCTCGCATGTCCATCTCTGTGTCTTGTTTTATCATGACGACGCGGTAATTGTAGACCCGGTTTCCCTTGCCGTCACCGTCGGATGCAATGCGGATCGTGTCTACGTCGGTACCTTGGTACGCATTGCGCCAGAGCTCGGCGAGGATGCGGTTGATCTCTTCCATCTTGAGCGTATGATACTTCATGATGGCCTTGTCAAGTGCACCAGCATAGCGTCCCAGATCCTCAATGGCGGCTTTGGTGGTTTCCACCCTGATATGTGCCTCGCGGTATTGTTGCGCAGAGTCTTTGTAGAGGTTACTGTACTCTTCCATAAGCTCGGTAAGCTGGTCGTCCTTGTTCTTCATGTCGCGTTCGACACCTGTCTTGTCAATGTTGAGCTGGCGGTACTTGAGGTCCCAGTGCTCGGCCTCTCGCTCGTAGTGTTCCTTGTCGCGCTCAGCCCCTTCTCCCTCAAGCTTTTCAATTTCAATCTGCAAAGTCTCGAGGGAGCGTTTCGCTTTTCGGTAGCGTAGATTTTCAGTTATCGTACGCCTGCTCATGTCGGTGTCGCGCATAGTGTCCTCGAGCTTCTTAATCTTCCTCGTCAGATTTACCATGTCTGTCTCGATGCGTACAATTTCGCCTTGTAGATTCTCAATATCACGATGCGTGCGCTCGAGCTGCTGTGGGCCGCCACGACTAATGTAAGCATTAATCTCTTCGTTCGCCTTTTCAAGCTGGCGGAGACTTTCGGAGAGCTTGGAAGCTTCATCATGGGTGCGATGGACGCGGTCATTGCCCCGGCGGTTGATATCGTCGTACTTGTACTGTGCCTGCTCAATCTCAGGGTTGATGTTGTCCATATCTTGATCCAAGCTGCGCATTGCTTCTCGCTGGTTGTTATTCTCCCTCTTGAATTCTTCAATCCGCTCAGCAAGGGCTCTCTTCTCTTTCAACTTGGATTGTGCGTTGTGCAGCTCTGCATTAATGTCACGCACACTCAACTCCAGGGACGTGATGAGGTTGCGTGCCTTGTCTCGGGCAGCGACAAGTTGGTCTAGCGTATTCCTGGCACTGCGGCCGTCGTCGGAGACCTGCTGCAGGTCGGACTGGATTGCATCAATACCCCGTGATAGTCCAGCGGACTTTTGCTTTTGTGCAAGTTCCTTGATCTCAACTTCAAGCTCCTGAACCCGAGTGTAGTAGCCAACAATACTCTGCACTTCTTTTGACAAAGCTTCGACTTCTTGCTTCTCGGCCTCCAGGTCATGGATAACGGCATCCTGTTCTTCGAGCTGCTTGTTGAGGGTATCGCGTTCCGATGCCAGGTTGGTGATGGTCTTCTGGATGTCAGGGAGTTCGTTTTGTCGTAGACGAGTCGCCAACTCGTAGCTAGGTTTAGCATTTCGAGCGGCCTCCAGCTCGGCGAAAATCTCGTCGGCATTGTCGGCTTGCATGGTGTTTTTCGCCTTCGCGATGATGTCTTTCAACTTTTTAATGAAGCCCGCCGTCGTAAAGTCTTCATCTTCGTCATCGTGAAGACTCCTTGTGCAAAGCCGGCAGATGTTATGCTTCTCGGCGGATTCCAAACACTTGGTCATGTAGTCAATCTGTGCATCAAACTTTGCCTTGTCCGAGGAACTTGCTTCATATTCCTCCTCAAGTTGTTGCAGGGTTTCATCGAAATCCGAAACATCGTCTTTTTGGATAGCCTCTTTTACCTTGGTCTCGTACTTTTGCAGTTCTTTGCGCTTCTGTTTTGCTTGTGACTCTGAACTTGACAGTTGGAAGTTGACCTTGTCCAGCTTCGTCTGTGCAATGTCGCGGCGAGAAGCAGCTTCCTTGACTTTGCCGGCCTTCTCTGAGAGCACCTGCTGAAAGGTCGCCTCCAAGGTAGCGGGGTCCCATTCAGAATCAACAAGCTGGGAAAGACGCTTGCCGTGGACCTTCTTCATGGTTGCCAAGCTGTGCTGCTGCCTCCCTAACTCCTCTCGCTTGACATCAATGGAGGCAGATTCACGTGCTTGCTTTGATGCGTCGCCGAACTCAGCCGTCAGGCGCTCTTTTCGGTCTTCAAGTGTCTGTAAGTTTCTGGCAGCTTCCGATATACGTTCTTCGTAGCGTTCGGAAGCGGACGCAGCTGTTGCATCCTGCAGTTGCTTCTCTACATCCTGTTTCCTTTCCTGAAGGATGGCTTCGCTGCCTTCGTCCGCCTTGATTTGGTTCATGGTCCTCTGAAGTTCGGAGATGCGCTTGTCGTTAGTCATAATTTGACTGCGCGCAGCCTCCTTGCTCTGGCTGAGTCCCGACTTGCGCGTGTTGAGCTTGTTGAGAACCCCCTGAGCATCACGCAGGTCCCGTTGCGTCTCTTCTCGAGCTCGTTCGAGGGCTCTGTTTTGATCACGCGACATCTTGCTCAGTATCTGCTGAAACTCGGGTACCTGTTTCTCTGTGATGTCATAGTCGAAACCTCGAATAGCGTGCCGCTTAGCGGCTTCCTTGATGGTGTTCTCACGCTGTTGCATTTGACGCTCATGCTGCTCCTTCTGCGCCTCGTATTTTCCAATCTCACTTTGTTTTGCCCCTAGAGCACCGCGATTCTGCTCCAAATGCTGTTTGAATTCATGATATTCCTCTTTCAGCTCCGCAACCTGTGTGGCATAGGTAGCAACGCGCTCTTCATACTGGTCCAGCATACTCTGAAGCTCCTCATCAGACTCGCCCAACTCTTTCATACTATCTTGGAGTTCGGCCACGTTCTGTTTGTTGATGTTGAGGGTCATGCGCTTGGCTTCTAGCTGCGCAACGATCTGTTCGAACCGTGCAGCATGATTGTAAGAGTCGCTAGCCTTTTGCTGAGCCTCGGTACACTTTGCGTCCAGGTCGGTGTACATGTCTCGGAGCTTCTCTATCTCGTCAAATAACTTGGCCTGTCGGTCCTCACTCTTCTTTGCTCGGGTCTTGTCCTCTTTGGCATTGGCCTCGATGATATTCAGCTGTCCTAGTTCGATGTTCCGGTCTTTTCTGATGCCTTTGATGTTCTCGATGGCTTTTGTGTACTTCATAGCCTCGAAGATCTCATCAAACTTCTTTTTGAGAGTGCTTGCATCGCTCAAAGGCCACAAACTATCTTCCTGGTGGCAAAAGATGACATTGTCTAGGATAGCTTTGGATACACCAAGATACTGAGGGATGATCTGATCCAGTTCGGCAACGCGAGTGGAGATGGAGTGCTTCTCGCCGTCTTTGACCATAAGCAGCGAACCTTCTAGTGTCTTCTGGCTCTTAGTGTTCTTCTTGACGGTGACTTGGAGGTTGCGAGTGACGACCATGCGCACACCGGAAGTAGAGCGGAACGAGAGCTTGACCTGGGCAAGTAGCTCTTTTTCGTTGCGCAGTTTGGGGTCGTGGATGAAGGCACCACCGGTTTTGCTTTGCGTGGGCAGGTCGCCAGTGGTTGCATATTTGAGCGATTCAATAATGGTCGTCTTTCCGGAGCCGTTCCAGCCGACAATGAGAGTGAGCGGTGCAGTAAACTGGATTGTCTCGCCTTTCTCGGGGCCAAAGGAACGGACACCCTGGATCATCATACGGTCAATTTTCGACATGATGGCGGTTTGCAGTCAGCGTCGGCGCACTGCTGGCGCACCTGTGCACTCGTTTTACTTTGGTGCGGCCGGGACGTGGTTGTTTGTTAGGGTGGAGTGGGTGTTGCCTGGGAACAAGGACGCGTTGCATTAGCTACAAACGGAGCTAGCGTATGACCAGAAGTAGCGTAGCGTAGACGCGCCGTCACATGACATCACGTGTGCTGTAAATGCATCCTTTTGCTTGGGCAGTGAACAGGCACCACGCGCTGCAGTTGTACGCACCCGGCGCCACCATGATGGCAAATCAAGGATTTAGACAGGTCGTGTATGGCAGTGCTTTTTTCAGCGCCGGGGTGCCGTGCATGTGTGCAGGCTGGGCTGCGACAGGCCTGGAAGCGCGCTATTAGGCCGCAAGCGTACCTGTCGCGCTGGTGGTGGGCGTGTGCCCGTCATCTAAGTTGTCATGCCAAAGGCCGGATGCAGATGCATACAAATCCCATCTTCTCCGCTCAGCTCGGGAAAGTATCCCGTGCCTGTCGCTCCCTGCCTAATCGTACGACATTGCATGCAACGGCCGGCTGTCGTGCATCTGCGAAGCCAAAGCCATGGCGCAATACCAGAATGGCGGTGCTGAGGTACGAGCGAACCCCACATGATGACTAGGCGTGGTAATCCTAAGAGAATGTCTCTTGTAGATGGGAGGGCTTAACCCTATGGCGGGCCTCCCCATGAATCCGGAGCCCTCGAGCATGCACGGTATGCCCATGGACGATGTGATGCAGCAAATGGACCTGGATCTGTCGTCGCTCGACGGAGCCGAGGGCACAAACGGCGGCTTCTCTTTCGCGGATCCACAGATGCAGAACGTACCACCCAACAGCACCACGGGCAGCGAGATGCAACTGACGGGTGCAGGCGCAGGGCCGCTGCCCACGGGCTTTGGCGCTCCCAATATGAACCCTTCTGGCAGCACCCTGACCGAGTTTACCAAGCGGCGGAACTGGTCGCAGCGCGTGCTGGAAGAGCTGCGCGACCTCCTGCACATCCTGACGCCTGACGGGAGGGTGCTCTACGTATCGCCTTCGTGCAAGGTGCTGACGGGATGGGAGCCGTCAAACGTCATGGGCCGCTTCATTAATGAGTTCATCCACCCCGACGATATTGGCATCTTTGTCAAGGAATTTAACGAGTCGATTGCGTCGGGCAACCCGCTGCGCTTCTTCTACCGCTTCCGCAAGACGGACGACTCGTGGATCATCTTCGAGTCGCATGGCCACCCCCATCTCAGCAGCGATACCAACTCGTTCGCCCCTCCCAACTCGATCAACTGTCGCGGCTTCTTCATGATGGCCCGCCCCTACCCGACCAAGAACGCCGCCCTCCTCGACTCCTTCCTCGAACACAAGATTGAGAACGAGCGGCTGATGAAGCGCATAGCCGAGCTTAAGCGCGAGGAGCAGGATGAACAGGACGACTGGAACAAGAAGACGGAGGAAGTGGGCACATCTATGACTCCCTCAGAGTCACATGTAACGCAGAACATGAGCCAGGCGGATGCCGTTTCCTATGCGCAGATGCCCCCACCTGCGAAGCCCGTCATATCCAATACCGCCCTCACACGCCAAAATCTCGACGAAGCCCTCGCCGCAAGCAAGCCCGACAGTATCAATGACAAAATGGCTCGATACGAGGGCGCTAACCATCTCGAGACAATTGAAATGTTGACAGGTCTCCGCTATCGAGACGGTGAGCGATCACAAGGTATCAGTACAGGTGATGCGAGTCCCAATCTCATACGCGGCGACGCAGGCATTCAGATATCCATGGACCGCGACGGCAGGAATTCCTCCGACAAGAAGAAGAAGCTCAAAATCGCCGATGAATACGTATGTACCGACTGCGGTACCTTGGATTCGCCAGAATGGCGTAAAGGCCCGAATGGGCCCAAGACGCTATGTAATGCATGCGGATGTGGGTCTATCAATTTCCAACCGTCACCCGACCTGCTAACAAATAACAGTGCGCTGGGCGAAGAAGGAAAAGAAGAAGCAGCAAGGCCCATCCCCCAGTATGCTCAGCGGAAGCAGTATGATGCACACGCCACCAATGCCCATGCAAAACAGCACCGGCAGCAGCTGAGAAAGCGCCTCGACGACTGCCTGCTCCCTCTCTACGCAACTACCCCTTCCAGTTCACCAAAAGAATTTAGCGATTTAATCCGGCTTTCTACCTGGCGTCTTAGTGCGAATCATTACTTTTTATCATCGATATTCTTATCTGGCATGAGAGGGCAATCAGGTTGGTCGGGCATTATAAAGGCGTCTTCTATTTCATGGCTCCGTCTGACTCTCTCCATGTCTCACCGCGATACATTTGCTGGGCCGATGATTCTTGTGATGATTGAAAATATGGTTCCTGGGGACCTTGGATACACCCGGGCTGAGCACTTGATACCATCATTCTTGTACTCAGACTTGTCAACAATCAATCGATCGACATGATTGATTCCTATATGGGTTAAAGAATTACTTCATTAGGCAGCCTTTAACCTAGATAGGAATCAATCATGCCGATCTGATTGATTGTTGACAAGTCTGCTTGTACTGCTGTATTGCAGATAGTGACAACACAAGATCTCTACTTTTTGGAAGCCTTGTTTGGGTGCTATGCAATATCATCTCGCCCCGGTCTTCAGATTCTGAGTGGTATCGTTGCTTGTATTTTGTTTTTTAGTCGTTGATTTTCGTACATTCATTTTGCAGAGCGACAACATTTCTAAATCCAGCCCTCGGGCTTCTCTTTCCTTACCACATTATATACATGCGCAGGCATCTGCAACGTGCCCGTGATGTTCACGGCCCCATCACCAGCAAAAATATCCTCACAGTCTCTCCGCTCTACACCACTTCCATATCTGTACATCTGCAGCCTCTCGATCGAATCAGACCTGTGATGGATAAGCAAATCATGTGGCTCAAAGACACCAGCTCTCGGCCTTGGCGTGGGTTTTGCTGCCAAGTTTCCCCAAGTTTCGCTATAGACGCTCGAATCAGACGTCAACCTAATCTGGTGGCGACGGAGTATACGTGGGATAGATGGACAACAGCCAACAATGATGACACTTCCCAGCTCGACCATACTATGCACATGTTAGCTCGGACGTGGAGGATGTTGGGAGGTAGGAGCGTTGCATACCATAACATGGCTGTCTGCGCAAGGTACCACGTAGTATCATAAGCCTGCAACACCAAGACCCTATAATGCAGTCCGATACACGCTGTGCCTACCGCCACGGCCCCCACCGCAAAAACAGCAAACACCTCCATCTTCTTTTTGACATCCATCTGCAGCTGCCAGATAGCCCAAGCGGGAACCACAAAAGCCTCGATATCAGAAACCAAATTCACTGCCCCAATGGCAATGATGGAGGACTGCCAGTCAATGCAGTGGCCCGGCAGCTCTGGATTAAGCCGTTTAGCAAGCGGCCAGCAGTTGAAGACATAAATGAACAACAACGCCGTATAGGCCACCGCATTCGCCACCAGCGAAACCATAATGACCCAATACACGGCACCGTGCTGCTTGGTCGTAAATATCTTCTTAACCTGCAAAAACACCGTCGCCTTGGCAAATCCGCCAGAGATGGCATAACACACAAAGATATTCGTGTACCGATAACTCCCCTGAGTCACCGTGGCGACGCTCATGTCCCACATATGGCGGGCCATCATGCCCGTCCCGCTGTTGTATATCGTAAGACCTGTTTCTGCGATGAACGCCAACCAGGCGAGGTAGAGAAACACATCTTCGGGGTAGATGCGTCGAACCCAGATGTTTGTGTAGACGCGTGCGAGGACAAAGGCGAGGGTGAAGATGTGGATGATTATGGCGGTGGCGATTGTGGCGGCGAGGAGGGTTTGTGGCTTGGTGAAGTTTGGTTGCACGCCTGGGGGTGGCGCGCCCGCTGGCAGGGTGGTCAAGTCCATGCCGTCTGTGCTTTTTTGGGTCGTACGGTGCGTGGTAACCGGTGTGGAGGTTAAGACATGGCAGATAAGACGGTTTTGAGGACCTGCTTCCTTCTTCTTCTTCTTCTTCTTCTTTCTCTTCTTGCAGGAAAATGGACTGGATGGAAATAGACTACGGCGCCAGGCCCGCGGATGCGACGTAACAATGGAGAAGGGGTGTATCTGTAAGGGATGGGGGATGCGATCGCCAAGCTTTCAATACAAAGGGTGGTTGGTGAGAGGAGAGCAAGTGCAGTTTATAGAAACTTGTACATTGGATGCCCACAACTCGTGGGAGCTGACAGATTACGCATGTCCCATTGGATTCAAACATCCAGCTGTCTTAGAGCAAACTGAAATGAAGACATCACGATGCTCATTTGGTTTAGTATGTTTCGGGGGCACGTGTAGTTTACTTGTAACTTTTGAAGTTTGCAACTTTTGGTCTTTGACTCGTGGACGCTTGGATGTTTACACTAACGCAACCATTACAGATGTGAACCTCAGTCACCCGCATCCTTTCGATTAATGGTTATATCACCAGCAAATATAGGCCACGGATAATGGCGGTTATAGTCTGAACCCTTACGTTTACTGTGCCGTTTGGGAGTTTGTCCATAGTTCGAGGATCGCGTGGCTGTGTCGCTAGTGGTTTGGTTTGACGGGAGCTTGCTAAGGGGTATCCTTTTAGTCAACGCTACAACCGGGCTTACAGAGTCACGCAAGATGTGATCCGCGATTCCTGAGTGGCCAAATGCTTGGGTATGCCGGAGCTGTCACACCTTCTTTCTTGCGTTCTGGACCCCAACTGAGTTCAAGTTACAGTGGGGATGTCATAGCTGCGGTGAGAGATTTCTGGACATCCAAGGGCGCTGCAGTGCTTTTCCAAAGATTCTGTGAACAACTTGCGTCTAGGATGCGCTGACATGTACGTGACATACGACTGCAACGGGCGAAAAGTGTGGTGGAGGTGAGATCGGCGGACCTCGGAGCACAGACGAGATGGATGACCCAGCTGGGCAAACCGAACGCGACTTCCTCCTATCTACTCTCGTGTCATCTCAACGCTCGCTTATTACTCCAACACGGGGACTTATCATGCCAGCACAGCCTCAGCCGACGTTGCCTTAGTATCCTGTCAAAAAATCGCGAATGTTCCGATATCCAAACCTATACGGGCCTCAACAATTCCGACATGCAGTCGCTTTCGAAACCGAGTACACGACAGGCGATTGATTGGATATGTCGGAGAGATGTGAGGTTGTACCACATGGCCCCGAGATTCATCCCGGTACAGCAACCGAGTATGACATGCATAGGTAAGGCACCCAATGGTTGCCGTAGTCGCTAGGCGTCCATTGCACATCGGGACCGTATGGGCTAGGGACGTCATTAGCGTTCTTACCCCCTGGCTTAAGATATATGAGAAATGTAGTTAAGTAAGTCGTCTCCCGAAGCCGAGATGTGGCGAGCCGACATTTTTGCTCCGATCAATTGGCCGAACCACGGATTCTTCAAGGACGAGTGTAATCATCTTTTCATTGGCCTCTCCATCAGAATTTGAGGAAGGATACATCTTTGGGGTCGATTACGAGCATGTGCCCCAAGGTTGTGGGTTGGCGAGGCGTAAAATCTCCATATTTGCCTAACTAACACCACGCGGCTTAGTATTCAAGGAACTTCCCGGACGACGTACGAATAACAAAAACGTCGTCACCTCTAGTTAGTGTGCGAGCGTTATGCTCGTACCTCTGTATGATCATGTACGAGTGAGCCAATCATACTTAGTGCACACCGCCTCGTATGTTAGTCAAAGCCACACCCTGTACGACTACCTGAACAGCCTCATCGAGTTTCAACTCCTTGGCATTCGCATCTACGATACGCGTAGTTCATATCTTTCTGCAATATCGAGAACGTTGATCAGTCTTCACACGCTATTGATACAGCAGTCATCAGCCAAACGCACGTATCGATCCTCAATAAGCACAGTTGAGACATGGAAATCCTTTCCTTCAGATCAACATAACATCACTAGCTCCACGGGGCGTAAGGCACCTTGAGGCCCAAATAAGCGGCGCAGATCAACCCCAGAATCGACGTCAGGCCAGGCGAATAGAGGTACGCGGTGCGAATGGGTAGTCTTGCTGCCTATCAATTTAGAATTAGAGTATACAGAATAGCGCATGTGGCGCTAAGCTTTACTGCTAAGATGAGAGCTATAAGCATCGCCGGAGTCGCTCCTGAAATCCAAACAGCATTATACCCTGACCATTTTTCAAAGTTATTCGAAGCAATCCAACATGATTATATCCATTGTATCTATTATTTCCCTGCTAGTCCCTACGACTCTCTCCATATGTCCACCACCTGGCTCTATACTTCCGCCACCGATACTTGCTCCAAACACATCAGAATTCAACATACCGGAGTCGCTTTTCAGCAACTTGACTTACCTGGGAGAGACTTCTTTTGCAATCCAGGCGGCTATCGGTAACACCACCATCTTCCAATATGAACACTCTGCCCCAGGGCGCCAAGTCAACCAGTCTCTTTTCGAGACCAGGATTCGTATTGCTAGTGCAACTAAACTCATCACTGCACTCGCAATTGAGCTCAGCAGGGACGAGATCAGTCTCGAAGACCCAATTACCAAATTTATCCCTGGTTTAAAGGAGGAGTTATACGGTGATGTTACCATCAAAGCATTAGCGGACCATACATCCGGACTAGGCCGCTTCGTATGTATTTACCCAAAATCATGTCTACTCAACATGTAAACTAACCATTTTGAACAGGGCTACACGGGAGACGTTGCATACAGCAAAGGCGCAACCGCCCTAGGTCTACCAAACATCACCAACACCCTCCCAGGCTGTGACCCCATCCCCGGCGGCCGCACCTGTACCCCACAAGAACTCCTCGCCGAATTCAACAACCCCGCCTACGCGCCACACTCGCCCAACGCACGCGCCCTATACAGTAACATTGGCTACATCCTCCTCGGTCTCGCCCTAGAAGCAGCGCACAACCAGCCCTATGAAACCATCATCCAAAAGCTCATCCTTGACCCCGTTGGCATGGAGAAATCAACCTTTGCCTCACCCACCACAGACGACGGAACAGCACTTCTACCCCGACGACCAGAAGATAAACCTTGGTTCGTCGCTGATTTTGGGAACTTGAACCCGTCTGGTGGTCTATGGTCTACACCGCGCGAAATGCTCCTCTTGCTGCACGCCCTGCAGAATAACCTCCTCCTCAGCGCTGCCGAACTGAGAGCTTGGATGCAACCCACGACATTTCTAGGCCGAACAAGCCAAGCCGTGGGTATCGCGTGGGAAATCTTTCGCATCACAGACCTGCCTCTTGCGTTCCCGCGCGCTGTAGATGTCTACACTAAGCTAGGTGGTGTGCCGGGTTACGGGTCTTATCTCGTATTGATACCTGAGTTTGATATTGCGATTACGATTAATGCGGCTGGCGGGGCGGGGGCTGCGACGTCGTTTATTTGTGTGGATTTGCTGGATAGGATTGTTAAGGCTGTGGTTCCTTGGGCTGATGTGTTGGCGAGGGAGCAGGCGGAGGTAAAGTATGCTGGGGCGTACAAGATGGGTGGTACATCTGGGTCCAACGACTCTGTCGTCATTTCTGGTACTGATGGACCTGGTCTGGCTATCGACGCTATGACTATCAATAATGTGGCTGTTCTTCCAGCTCTTGCGGCGAGCCAGGGGATTCCGGTGGAGAACTTTAGCGCGAGGTTGTATCCTACGGATCCGGATTCGCTGGGTACGGATCGGAAGAGTTGGAGGATGCTACTTGATCAGAAGGTACCGGCAGAGAAGCTGTTCGGGGATATGGAGTGCATGGCCTGGAATTTGGGTGATCCACTGAGGTACGTGGGTGGGCCGCTTGATACGTTTGTTTTTCACATGGAGGGTGACAAGGTGGCTAGTGTGGAGTTGCTCGGTTGGAGGGTGAACTTGATCAAGGTGGATTGAACACTCGTGTATGTAAGAAACATCTCAGTAATCTGGGAAGTCATGATCGACGTTCTTCCTCCAGGCCTGCAAGCCCCCTTTAATATCTCCAATATATCTCTTCCCGCCAGCGTCAAGACCGAGTTGCTTCATCTTCTTGACTGTAACCTGCGAGTCGTTGCCAAGCCTGCAGACAACAAAGATTGGCTTTTCTGTCTGCCTAAGCCACGTGACCCAGTAGTCCTCATCGACTTCCATGCCGCTGTTTCCAGAGTTGTACCCTGGGCTGTACCCAGCGCTGTACGGGCTGGAGGCTGGCGCTTGCGTTGTTGATACTGTTGAAAACGGTACATTGACACTGCCTTCAATGCTGCACAGATCAAACTGTACCTTCTCACGTACATCGACGAGAATATGACTGTCTTTGCTTGACACTGTCCCCGTAAAAGGATTGACGCCTGATCGTAGTTGCGCATAGCTCTGCGGTGATATACGCTCCTCTGGGGACAGCGGATCCGAAATCGCCGACACACTGCCACAAAACTGGACATAATCCAAGCTCCCGTTCTCCAATGCCTTTGCGCTAACGGTTGAATGGGATGAACAAGCAGCACACTTGGCCTTTCGACTTCTGAGGCGCATAGAGCGGAACATGGGACTTGAGTACGCCGAGAACAAGAGCAGACTCGGCGGGTCAGGTGATGTCGTCTCTGGGTTCCTAGCCAGAATTTTGATTGCTTCCAAGGCTTGCAAAACACCCATCACACCGACGACAGGTCCTAGGATTCCTCCATCGCCACACGATACGACTGATTCCGGAGGCGGTGGCTTGGGGAATACACAACGGTAGCAGGGCCCCCCATTTGCATCGCCTTGTGGTAGAGGTGGATTGTTCAGAACTATCAGTTGTCCATCGATGCGTAGGGCTGATGCTGAGACAAGAACCTTGCCCAGCAAGACACAGGTGTCGGAAATAAGGTAGCGAGACGCCGGAGTGTCTGTGCAATCCAGGATTATATCGTAATCTTTGAATGTCGATATAGCCGTCTCAGGGGTTATTCGGAAATCGTGGGCCATGAGTTCCACATTGGGGTTGAGCCTAATTTGATGCGTTAGACAGGCGTATCAAGCACATCAAGAACATCAAGCACGGTAAAATCATTGTTTCCACGTACGAGTTCAAGGCCACCATTGCGCTTTGCACCTTTGTCATTCCAACCCTTGCTGTAGAATGTAGGACTTGTCGGTGGAGGTTGGATTCTTCAACCGTATCACCATCAACCAGACCTATCGTGCCAACACCTGCTCCTGCCAGATATGCAGCAGCAGGACAACCGAGACCTCCCACTCCCACGATAAGGACTCGGGAATGCTTGAGACGTAGTTGACCTGGGTACCATAAGCCCAGTGTACTCAGTCCTTGTGGTTGACCTTACCCTCCATCCCAATCTCAGGCATAATCAGTTGCCTTCCATATCTCTTGTATTCTTCCTTCTCGAGCGGCCATCGCGAAGTCCCCTTTGATGCAGCAGGATCCTGTGACGGGTCCTCTCCTTGGTCCAAGATGGCAAAAATCTCCGAACGGAAATCATCTGGCACACCAAAATTCATATCATGATCCAGCGGGTTGGTCGGATCTGTAGCTTGTGGTCCATTGTGGGGCACGATTTTTGCTTCCTGGCCCTGACTGCGCTCAGCTTCTGCCAATTCTCGGCGGAGATCCTGTAGTGTAGCTTCGCATGCAGTGATCTGCTTGCGTAAGGAGTCGACTACCCCAGCCATGTCGGCGTGAACGGAGAACTACTGTACGTCCGCGGCGTCACGTTCATGCCACTTCGTGCCACCGTAAATGGCAAGGGGCGGCCCGATGTGGGGTCTGCCGTTTCGGGCTTAGAGTCACGCTAGCCTTGATGTGGGGCACATAGCACGTGCATTCGCATTTCACCGATCAACGATTCTCTGTGCAAAGACGGAGGGATTATCAGCCTGGTATTATTGACCAACCGCCTGTAAGAAACAGGTGATGGCATGATGTTTCCGGTGCATCAGCCCTGTAGATCCTAAAGGGGAGTTTTGAAGGACCGAGTCAGTATGACACGTATGTGATGGGAAATGTGATTGATGCGCCGTATGTTACTGTGTTCTAGACTCGAAAGGGCGTGTTGACGGATGAGAGATATAGGAACTTTCTCTAACCATCCAGGAATTGCCTGGAATTCTAGCTTGGTTGACGCGTAGACGTCTGAAAACGTACCACTCTCAATACTGTAGACAGGGCTAGGTGCTGAGTTCTTAAGCCAAGAAGTCCCCTAACTAATCTTCATTGGTTCGGGCGCCGATTCCGCTTGCAAATGGTAGTGTGTGGCCAATGGAAATCGGAGGGATAACCAACATCTGACTGTACGCTTCGGCTCCATTTGCGGCTCATGCGGGTACTGGCGGGGTGGGAATCCAAGGAACAAGTTCCGTCAGGGCAATGAACCTTGACCAGCTTTTGGAACCATAGAAGCTGACATGCAGGTGGAGAACACGAGTACATACAAGTCGACTGTGGAAGAGCCTAGCTCTTTTCGCGTCATTTTGTACCAGTGACAACGTGCAGTCAGCCTCAGTGATTAAATCTTGCCAGGAGGACTCCTACGGATCATGAACCGAATGAGGCGCCTGGCCTGCTGACTCTTGACCGTTCTTTTGACACATGGCGAGCAGAGGTAATCCTGGATCTGGGGATGCAAGTAAGAAAACTCCCAGTACGAGTGGTTGGTTATTGAATGGGATAGATAAGCGAACGACCCGTCGGGGCGTCCTCCACATCTGCCCACTTTACCGAGTAAACCTGCCTTGGTTTCTGGAAGCCGAAAGCTTAAAGATTCATGGAGTTTTATAGCCATCTACACATGTATCCAGGTACGACCCAGTGAATCAGCTCTTTCAGCTCCTGCGCCAAGAGAGAGAAAAAGAGTCTTGTCAGACTTCTGTTGATTGGAAGGGCTGGTACATGCTTGGAAAATGAATACCACAGGCGGCACAGCAGGCTTCAACAACCGGAAAAATTAATTGATTGATCTCCAGACCCGGGACAGTGGCTACGACCGAGTGGTGTCCGCGGGAGATTCACGCGGCCTCGACCCTTTCTGTAAAAAGATGCAGCGGAAGCCAGCGGGGAAAAATGTTGGTGACATCAGCCTGCGTAGTGTCCGGTCATGTCTATCGTTGGCTATCAGACGAGACTTAGCAAGGTCCAAGGGAGAAGCCGGGCACATGTCTCGTGCACGGGCCAAGCACCAGCATCTCGAAAGTCGAACATGGTGGGAAGGAGACCCAATGTTTTCGGTGAATGACGTGAGATGAGGGGCAACTACATGTTCCCTTGTCCATCAATGGCTGGGCAGTCTCCACAAGAGCGGGAGAGACACGCAGCCTAGTGTGACGCTTCCACACCTTGGGTCTGGCTATTAGAGCTTACCTTCCAGCCTGGGTCGCCTGAGGAGTTTGGATTTTGTACGCGCAGGTCAACTGCTGCCACTGGCTCTGATCTCTAGCGATTCCCCTGTAAACTTCGATACGTGAGCGCAATTGACCTACACAAGCAACACCGGCCATAGACTTGTGGCAGTCCAAAGGCCCTTTCCACGGACTTGCCGCCCTGCCCCGCGATACGAACTACCTACCTACCCCTCTCGCGCGCCTCTGCCTAGCCGATCACCAAACCATCTCTTCTCATCTCAACCTCGTCGCCATGGTATCTGTTTGCGTGACGTGCAAAGGCCTGCAGAAGAACCACCTTAGGCTCGACGGCGCGCAAGGTAACGTGACCAAATCTTTGCCCTGGGTCGATACAACGCTGCCAAATCTGAGGCTGAGATCAACTTCTTGTCGCGCATGTGCGCTCCTACTTAATGGCATTCTACTGCACCACGACCGATTCGCAAGCGTACCAGAGGATCGTATTCGGGTAACAGCAGGACCGTTTCAACAAAAACCAGAAAAGGGCTCCCAGGGCCCTCTGCCAGTCGAGCTTCGGTGGCAGGATAGCGACGAGGACAGCGAGGAACAGTTGCACGCCGCAGGGCATGCAGATCTCAAGCTGGAATTCTTCACAGATATGGGTACGTACAAGACTCATCCGCGGATGCTTGACCCAGTTTTTCTGACCTCAGGGATGGTCGGGCGACTACTGCTAGCTCGCTCTTTCCGGAAACGCGCAAACTGACATCATGACAGAGGGACAGTCACCCTTTTCCGCTATTGGACGAGGTCGACACATTACAGAAAACCCATTGCAAACCACGGGTCTGTCAACAGCACGGAGCTTGGTCAAGAATTGTCTTGAAACGCATGGTACATGTGGTCATCCCGGCAAACCAACAGCTCTACCGAAGCGCGTACTAGACCTATCGCCGGGTGGCGACGACCCCAAAAGCATAAGATTACACGAAAGTGAGTATATCCACGAGGAAAGGGGATATCAACATGGCGAGTATGTTGCCTTGAGTCATGTATGGGGTGTGGAAACCGGTATACCGAAAACCACTCTGGCAACACTGGATTCACATAAGAAGAGTATTTCATGGGCGGCATTGCCGAGATCATATCAAGAAGCAATCTTCTTCACAAGAGCGCTTGGTTGCCGCTGGCTATTTATAGACAGTCTTTGTTTAGTCCAGGATGACTTGCAAGAAAAGCTTGAAGACTCGCTCAAGATGGGCGAGATATTTGGCAACGCCTTCCTCACACTTGCAGCTACGTCCGCATCTGATAGTAGTAGTCAACCTCTACTTCCTGCCAAGACACCGCCGTTCAAGATCCAAACAACAGACAACAAAGGTTCACTCTACAAGATTAACGTCAGAGAGCAGCCGAGCCATTACAGCTTTGAAGCACCTTTTGACGGGAACTCGCATATGAATGAGTGGGAGTTGCCATTCAACATGACCGAAGAAGCCAATCTGCACACGCCTCTTCTGACTCGCGCATGGCCGTACACGGAGCGTCTGCTTTCACCACGGGTATTACATTTCACCAAGAGCGAAATGATCCTGGAATGCCGGAATGGCTACCAATGCGAATGCGGGCGCATTGATGATAACACCTGCGATTCGCGTCCTACTGACCAAGTCAAGAGAGAGCTTGCTAGGGTCATTGCGGACACACAAAACCGACCCCAACAACCCAATGGCAGCGGCAATGGTACCAATGGACATGCTCGATTGGATAGCGTAACCAGCCAACTAGCGTCCACAAACCTCACAAACGGCGCTCTTCAAGATTTTTTACGAAGACGTGAAGAAGCACTACAACTATGGTCCTACATCATCACGGAATACACTGCACGGCACTTGACATACGACAGCGACCGGCTTATCGCTATAGCAAGCATCGCAAAGGCACTCTCTCCAACACTACAATCAGGCTACATTGCAGGGCAATGGACATTCAGTACCCTCGGGCTCCTGTGGTATCCAAACGAGACTACGAAATGTCGCCGCCCACAAGGACAAAACGTACCAAGCTGGTCTTGGGCGTCTGTGGAAGGCTCCCCCATCTTCTTCGATAACAGTTCCGCCATGGATCTCGCGTGCAGAGCATCTTTCGGTCCAAAAGGGAAACGCGCATCCGCATGGTCACCGATTATGGGCGAGCCCCTTGAATTATCTGGTGCAATGGCAGCGGAAGTTGTCTTCCACTCTTCCGGTGGATCTCTGCAAGACGAGGCCTCATACATTCTAGCCAGGAACGGTATGACGGCCGAGTTCATACCGGATGTCTCGCCGCCACATGGAGACGATGCCCTGCAAGATGGTGACACCCTCGTTGTTGTCCTTGTCAGCATGACGTTTCGTACGTCCATTGTCGGTATAGTGCTCAAGCCTTGGACCGGAAACAATGTGTACCGGCGCGTGGGTCGATTTGAATGCTACGAATGCACACCCGAAGGTTCAGAGCAGGAGATGAGCGAAGACGCAGAAGCGCTTTTTGAGCACTGGTTTCCTGATATCCAGGATATGACGCAGCTGGACAATTATCCCCAGCGGACCTTTACCGTCGTCTGAGAATCTACGCCCTTTGATTTGTTTTCGAAAAAGTTTGAACCGCGATTTTGCTTTTTTCGGGAACGAGATGACCACGACGTCCTTTTCATTCGCTTCTATTCGATACCCCCTAGTTGTTCCTGCAATTGCGCAGCGGCAGCGCTGCTGTCATGGTTAATCTAATTTCTGAGTTTTTGTTTCTGGTCACTCGTGGGAGGGTTATGGTAGTGCTAGACTGGTATGCTATATGTTTGGTACTTTTTTATTCGTTGCAGCTTTTTACGCCTGGCTTGTAGTACGTGGGTGTCATTGGTGCGAAGCCTCGGGGCTCCATTGCACTAACTTGAATAGCATGTCCATACATCAGCGTCCCATCCATCATTGTCATCCCCACCACCATCTCACTCTTGACAGCGTGACAGCGACAGCCTCCATCTCCGCAATTCAAACATGATGCCCCGCAATCCGACCCTTGATGGCCCTATAAGGCAAATTCTTACCAGCTAATTAGTCATACTTGCACGATGTTCGGCTTGTGAAGCGGCTACCACTTCCCTCGACCGCGAGGACTTTTCGCTAATCTTCTAGTCTGTCACACTCCCGCCTTCGATAACAACGGTGTCAGTATACAGGGGACCGAGCATGGCGGAGCGCGACGGGGGGAGTACGGCTCGTTTGGCTAGTTTAGTTTATACATCGTTGAAGGTCGTGCCTAGTAGAAGCTGGGGATGGACGGAGCTTCCGAGGAACGAAGACGCAGGTGTGATATCTAGGCACAGAATGACTATGCAAGGCTATCAGACTTTGAATATGGATATGCTTATTCCAAAATTACGTACCGGTACACGGGTTCAATAGTATTCATCGTACTTTTTGAATAGAGTCGCACTTGTATACCGGCGACAGCATACATGTCTTCGAATAAGCATCCTCGGCTGGGTATCACGCGCTCTCACTTCTGGCCAAACTCGGGCCTAACCTCCATGTTGCTCTGCACGTGGTTCTTGAGCGCCGCCCATCTATCCTGCACTGCTGTAGCGCCCTGCGTGCCACTCGCCAACTGCACTAAATTCGCATTAAATCGCTCCTTCTCCAACTTCTCGAGCTTCTCCTTGCGCTTCTTCGCCCCCTTTGACTTCTTCATGCTCTCCAGCTTCACCTTTGGTTGGACGATTCTGGCCTGGCCCAGCTCAACGTCGCCATCGGCTCCGCCGTCGGGAAGCGCATCAGCCAGCGACTCGAGGTTTGCGACGAGCTTCTTATTCGGCCGTCGCCGTTTCTGTGTCTTGGCAGACGACTTTTCGATTTTGGAGACGAATGACGAGTGCTTGATCTTCAACTTGTCGCGCTTGGACGACGGGAAGGCCGAGACGTTGTCTGTGGGTTGAGGAAGCGTCGTGGTGGTGCTAGGCCTGGCGGCGCGGGCGGACTTTGCGCGTGCTGTGGTGCGCTTTTTTATCGGTGCCTATGCATCCGTGAGTATTTTACCAGGATATGGCTTGTCAAACAGAAGCATACCATGACTGTGCTGCGTGTGGGGGAAAAAGGTTGGCGACGATAGCACTGGCCTGGTGCTCTTGGAAGAAAATCCTTATCGATAGCGAGTCGTTCCGACCTAAGATCTGCAACTGGCTGTCGTACCACCACCTTGACCCAACTTCAGCTAACACTGTGGTTGCACGACATCCCACCCGGTTTTCATCCACCCGGCACTCTGCACAGCCTTCTCGCATCTATGCACAGCTGACGCTGTGACACTTTCTCCATGGATGCGATTCGGAAAGTGGCGTCATTCAGCTATTGAATGTCATGTCTCTGCGGACATGTTGCCTCGCTGGACATACCTATTGTTGTTGACATGCAGAGAACCTTCCAATCCCACAGGCCCTCATCACGATCTTGAGGGAAGTAACAATGCTTTTTCGTCATCCTATGTAGAGGATCGTGGTGGCTTAAGCCACCAATCTTAGACCCGGGGCGCTGCCAAGTGGGGGGAGACGTGAAGGGGGGTTGGTACTGCACGTCAGATAATGAAGGCGTCTTCTATTCCGAACTCGTATCATCCTGACTGATCTGCTTGGTGTTCGCTGGACAGCTTTGTTGAGGCCACTTCTCTCATCATACCTCGCTAGCTACGGCTCGTCCCTGATCACCACCCTACTGGTTACCGAATACCAGATACGGTGATAATTCCCGTAGCATATGCAATGCGCGGCAGTGCATTACCAGATTGTTTCTTATTCCGCTCCAGATCGCATAGGCCAAGTTGAGATGCAAGATCCTGATTGATTTGCCAGGGACATGTAGAGATACTTTGCTTTTTTTGCCACTCTAAACGTCCCCTGAAACACGATACAGTGGTCAAATTGCATACTACACCCGGAATCGAAGCTCCCGGCATATTTGGTATCCTTGTGCAGCTGTCGGGGTCCCGGCACTACGGACTTGGGTTCAGCTCGACGACAACCGTCCAGCCTAGATGCAGGCACGCGTACGACAGATCTGCATCATGCCCCTCCCTTCTTAGCCATGGCACCCTATCATTCGCTCCCGTCGGCCGTACCCTCCCTTCCGCTGCTATTTCTGGGCCCCTAGACGAAACTATACGAACTGCACACCTTCTTCGCCGCGACAAAAGGCAATCATTCGCAAGAGATACGGACACGTGTGGTCCCAAGTGACTCGGGCCTTAAGGGAGCATGACGAACTGCATATGCGCCTGTCCGAACTTCTTAGACAGCCGGCCTCCTCTACGCACATGTCGCCGCCCAAGATGCTATATCGATAAACGCTAATCCAACTCATGTCGATGAAATCTCCGAACGCCTTCTCTTCACCATGTGCGACCAACAAGCCCAACAGGAAATTGCCCTCATTTCTCAGAACCATGGCACGATTCTGGTAATTGTAGCTTGGTTCCTTGCCGGCTTGCTGGTGAGCCTCCCTTGTTGCCAGGCGACGAACAAGCTGACCGATGTGTAGGCTCTTTCAATCGTAGCAAGAATCATCGCTCGATGCAAATTGGCACATCTTCGTCATCTGTCCTCGTCTGGCGATGTCGTCATCTTCATTGCGGGATTCTGTGCTCTGGCAAGCACGGCCATCACCTCTACGGCCTACGACTGGGGTCTTGGAAAAAGAAGATGCCTATTGAGTGACAACGACATGCAAAACATTGAGCGCAAGCTCTTCATTTCGACAGTACTGTTTGTCTTGGCCATTGGCATCTCCAAGAGCTCGGTCCTGTTGTTCTTGTACCGCCTGGCACAGAGTACCTTGCGAAGGGTGTATGTGGCAATTGTTGGTGCCCTTGTACTATTATGGACTATTGCTGTGTTGGCTGTCATGGTCTTCCAATGCGAGATGCCAAATCCCTGGACGATATGGACAGGCAATTGTGTTCCATTGGTATGTTCAACGTCTGGCACCAACTACATGTATCTAACAAATATTCAGGTGCAATTCTGGGTCATAGCCATCATCTTTGACATTGTCCTTGACACGGCTATGATGGTCCTTTCCGCTCATACCGTCTGGAAGCTACCCGAATCCCGTCGTCAGAAGATTTTGGCGACATTGGTTTTGTTACTACGGTCAATGTAAGACTTTACCGTCGTCTTGTGATGAGTTATCTAACATTACCCTTAAGCTTGATCGTAGCATCAGTCATTCGCCTCATCTTCCTTGAGCAGGCTCTCAACCGCGATGCGGACCCAACTTTTGATTCGATACCCTACTTTACTACCACACAGGCCCATGGCACTCTCGCTGTCCTCCTAGCCTGTACACTGTGGCAAAAGCCCTACTCACGCCTTCAAGTGCTCCGAGCACCCAAACCCTCAGAACCACAGCTCGAGTCTGGGGACTTGAAATACTGGGCCGATACCACGGTCGGTACACCATACGAATCATACAACTCATTAGCGGCGGATTTCCACATCATAAGAGAACCACTCCCATCCATACAGGCAAGCATGTCCATGCCAAACTCTCCCACAGTATCGCATCGCTCGCTGGGCAAGAGCATCCTTCTACCGGATAAACCAACGCCAATGAGATACGGAATCCCACCGCCTAGACCACCACCACCGACCGATGAGCAAAGACCAGATCTCAGTATGTTTTATGGAACAACCATCACTATACAACAACCGCCCATGGTGACATTGCTTGGCAACCTGCCTGGACGGGACGTAAGATTGGCGGGAAGAATCGAGAGGCCCAATGTGGCCTAGGAAAACTATACACGGCGTTTTGATTTATGATAAAATAGACGACGACGATACGCTGAATGTTCCTTGACCAAAAAAGCTGGTGGTAGACCCATGAAGCTTGTATTTTCTGTGCATATACTTGGATTTTTATTCTTAAACAAGATTTATTGACCAAATGGACTTTGCGGGGCATTGCGTACATCTAAGATGCCAGTAATTCGTCGTCTTGACAACTCGCAATGGTGGTGCAGCGCATCAGTCTGAAGTCTGAATTGATGTTGGTTCAGGGTCTCTAGCGCGGATCTCGGGACGCGCCGTCTCGGTGCATTGTGCCTTCACTCTTGGCTGAAGCTCTTGGACACCTCGAACGAGTCATACACGCATGTGTTGATTGTTAAACTCCTTGGCATGCGCTTCTTGAAGATGTTCGGCTATGCGGCACGCTGTCAAACGCCCAGCCAGGACGTGCTCCACGAGCGAATATGCTCCGACTAGGACGACGCGTAATTCCTATCCACTCTATACCATTTACCGGCTTCGACCAGTGCAGGACGCATGAGACGCTCATTACAACGTGTTCGACGTGGTACATAATCTCACTCGATATCAGTTGCGACGAAAGCTAACAATTGCAGGATGGCTCCTCTTGCCCCTCAGCAGACACCCCGCTCGCTTTCGATCCACGCCGTTCATCCTTCAGCCTTTAGATAACCATGCTACGCCCAAAGAAGCACAAAAGGATAGCCAGCCCAATGGTGACAAGCAAGAACGAAGCAAGTTCGCTCGAAGCGTCCTCGAAGGCAGCACCGTGGCTCTGATATCACTCTTTGGGCTGGGCCTTGGCGGCTACGCATACAGCTTATTCTACAAGCATACCATGGCAAAGAAGATTGAAAATGCCTTTGCAACAGGCTATAGCTCACAAGAGCGCGTCGCTCTCGGTCGCATCTCGTACGGTACGGAACCAGAAAAGATACAGGAGATTGTGGAGAGAGAATATTGGGTTCCACGAGCTGAGCAGGAGGAAATCGATAATATTGTGAATGGGAAAGCAAGAGGACGGTATTATCTCGTGATTGGAGAACGAGGTACGGGCAAGAGAGCGCTGCTCCTGCAAGCTATGCGGAAGGTCAATGGCGATGGTATTGCTATGTTAGAAGCACACAACGACCTAGAAGTCTTCCGCACGCGGCTAGGAAAAGCCATAGACTACGAGTTCCATGAAGATTATATCGGAGGGCTATTCAGCATCAGAGGTCCAAGAGACAGCTCGCCACTACTAGACATCGAAAGAGCGCTCAATCAAATGGAAAAGGTAGCCCTGCGACTACGAAAACGACGCGGCAAACCTCTCCTCATGATCATCAACAACATCCACCTCTTCAAAGACGACGAAGCCGGAAAACACCTCCTAGAAATCCTCCAGCAGCGAGCAGAAATCTGGGCCGGCAACGAGCTCGTCACCACAGTCTTTACCTCTGACGAATTCTGGACCCTAGAACGCCTCACCCCACACGCCACGGACATGCACGTCCTGAACATCCGCGACGTCCGCAAAGACGTCGTCACAAAAGCACTGAAACAGTACCGCGCTCGCTACCACAACGAAGACGTGCCGCAGAATATCCTAGACCACGTCTTTGCTCAAGTCGGCGGCCGCCTGATTTTCCTAAACCAAGTCGCTAAATCACGCGATATGCTGGATACGTGCGAGCAAATCAACAGGAGAGAGAAATCTTGGTTTTTGAATAACTGCTGGATATTAGGTGATTCCATGGATGACGACGTGGAGGAACAGCAGAAATACTGCGCTGCTGCCATCATCCTCGCCCGCGCTCTTGTCCTCCGAGAAAAACCCTTACCCCCATCTCCATCCCCCTCTTCTTCCCCCCAACAATTCTCCCTCCCCCAAATCCCCCTCCATGAAGCCCGCCAGATTATAACACGCGCGGATTTCATCCACCTCTTCGACCACATCAACGTCTTCCACATTGATGCGCACGGCATGGTGCGCGCAGACTCGGTGCCTATGCAAAACGCGTTTCGCGATGTGGTGCTGCAACCGGGGTTCGAGCAGCATTTGATGGCGACGCTGAATCGGTTGGATGAGCTGGAGAGTTTGGCGAGGACGAGGGAGGTTGCGGTTAGAGAGGCGCCGGGGAGGAGCGGGGGCGTGGTGCCTGTGCAGGAGTTTTGTGCGAAGCTTTGAGCGGTGGGAGGGGGGGGGATGAATAGGCGGGATGGTTTACTGAGTTGTGTGTACTTTGGGGATAAAGTTGTAATTGTCTACCCTATTGAATCAATCTTTTCATAAACAATGTTCTTGAGTTTGGACGGCATACTGTACCACTGCAGTAAAACAGCCCATGGAATATGTCGCCCATGACACACAAAATAGCACATCACCTCGCAAACCACACTGCGTGGCAACACCATTGCACAGATAAAGCTACACTGTCCACCTCTAACAACACTTCACTCCCCTTTCAATCAACGGTAAGCGACATTAGTCTGCAAGCCTCTATTTTCAGATCTAATAGATATCTACGTCTATGCCAGCCACAAAACCTAATCTATGTCCTCTTTTCTTCTTTTCTTCTTGTCATTTACGATATGATAATACAAACATCTTGCCTCTCCTTCCGGTCCTCAAAGTGCCAGTGTGAAATGTAGCGGAATCGTGAAACCAGATATCTGTGTGGTCTTCTCCTTCTGCTTTTTTCCTCCTCTCCGTCATTCCCCTTCAATGTGCTTGACACTGGGCTATTTTCACAGCTAACAGCGGCGTTATTGTGCACTCACCTTCTCCGCACCCGTCTAACTCGCCCAAACTACCACATGACAGTCTAGTGTAGACATACAAATCACAGAGAGGAGTGCGCGGCCATGGTAATGGTAATAGTAAGTAGGTACCCGACAAAGTTCACCCCCCTAATATTGCCAGGTTCACGCCATGATCGTCTCAATGTCACCGTTGTGTTGCAAACGATGATCCGAAACGATCATGTGTTGACTTAGCAGTCCGAGGGAACGAGACTTTTGGGGGAGGGGGTATTATGTCGATTGAATCGACGGCGGATATACCTATTGGGAATCCTCGTATGGGTGACCGAGGCCCGTATGTGGTGATTTTGGGCGGGATGGTATGGCTATGGCGTGCTCTGTCTCTCTGTGTTTCTCAGGGCTGGTCGGGTTGTGGTTGTACGGTAGCATGACTAACATGCATCAATGAGGTTCACTCCTCCCATGAGTTTCTTTTGGCACTTCCAACGTATCACGTCGTTTAGGCAATTCCACGGGACTAGTATCGCGGCGGGGTAAATCATGAACAGGTGACGTTGGTGACGCACTCTCCTCAATACCAGATCTGATGCTTGCCGTATACGTGCTACCCGCTCTATCTTTGCGAAGCTGGCTAAACGTTCGACTGATGCGGTCCAGATCAGGATTGCGAAACTCTTCTCCTGGTATTCCTGGAAATCCGTGCATGTCTTCGTTGGTGCTGTGAGAGCTGGGGTCGAGCTTTTCGTGGACAGTGTCGCCTAGGTAATTGCCGGCCGAGGTTAACCATTTACGCACTTTGTACCTGCCTGCAGTTGGTAAGTTGTTTTGGCGGTCATTCTGGTGGTATTCCTGCGAAGTATCGTCTGGGTAGTTCCGGTCAGAGACTGGGTGCGTGATGGTAGGGATGAGTCCAATGTCATTCGGCGATTCCGAACGTATGCCTAGTCCATCACCCCCCATATTCCCGTTTGGGATAGAATTTCCGGAGGATGGCGGACGCGGAGAAGGTTGCCTTTCGCTGCTGTGGCTGTGGGGTGACGCGTTTGAATTCTCGTATCTCACCGGACGTTTTCCCTGGGCCGCAATGTCGTCGTCACCACCAATGGACCATAGCAGATACAAGGACCCCAGCCCAGCTAGTATAGTTCCAGCTATTGGCGACCATTGGCCTGCGCGTGATGTTAGTATCAGCATCAGGATTGCTTGACTCTTCTTACCGATAGAGGCCATGGGCTCCGTCATGTATAACACTTGTGGACTGAAGAAGTTTGCTTCACCGACGCCGATAATGGTGAGGATGACACCCCCGAAGAGGGGAATCTCTATCACGCTTAGGAATGATCTCACGACATTATTGATGCCCTTCAGCTCTCGGACAGTGATGTTGGCGCCCTCAATTTGAGCATCCAACTCCTCCACATGCCGACGCCTCTTCCAATTGAGATCTAGAACTTTATCCCAAGTAAAGATCAGCGAAAGAATGCCCGGTATGCAAAACCCAGCGGCTAGTAGCATGGCGGTATTGAAGGTTAAAATCCTTGGCGCTGGGATAACGTAGATGTTGTTGGCTGCTCCACCTCGCATAATCGAGAAGGGGCCTCTAGTCTCATCGCATATCAGGCCGCAAGAGGCATTCCCGTACGGAAATTTGGCCGGGTTGGGCAGGAGTGGAGTCCCATGATCGTCGCTACTACAGTCCGTGGTAGTCACTCGATAGAACTCGACACAGAGAGCCAATAGGCCCATGAGAATGAGAATAGTCCACAGAAAAATGATGTTTCTTCCCGGAGCATGGAAGTAGGTAGCAGACAGCCGCACTGTTAAAGGTGCGGCCAGTATTCCAATTGCGCAAAATTGCAGAGCGCCTAGAGTATCCATATCGATTCCGCCTGGATGAGTAGCTGTTAGCCAAGGTAGCCAAGATGGTGTGTTATGGTTGCGGTGGGCAATGCTGACCATTGGTATGCGCAGAGGCGAGCACGATGCCCTGGAGAGCCGAAACAGCGGGCAGAATCAACACAGCAGCTAAACAAGTATTCCGCAACCATTCTGCTTTGCGGAAAGCTACACAGGCGGCCACAAGGATGTAGTACAGAATCTGGAATCATGTGTGAGCGGTCTGATAGGTTCGGGTTGCACTGCGAGGCGGTATGGAGATACTGACACGCGAACCAGCACCATAGTTGGACGATATTGGCCAGGCGCAAACGACTTGCAGCGTGACGCTGGCAGGTGGAGCTGTGGAAGTGGGCGTTGCGATGTTACTCGTGGTAAAGTTGAATAACGTTTGATTAACCGACATGCTTCGACAGTGCAGTCTTCGGCGGACGCGATAGACCCGTTACATAGTGGTTGTCGTGAAGAAAGGGCAAAGGCATAGTTTCGCGTGCAGCGCATGCAGGCAAGACTCGGTTCCATAAGACGTGCATGGAGATCGCTCGAATAATCCGGGGCGGTGACAGATGTCATTTCTGTCATCCACCGGTGTACCATCGCGGAATAGTGCAGCGCGGGGTGAGGCGCGAGAGGCTGAGTCGCGGGCGAAGTAGGGTGTGACCTGCCCAGGCAGGTATTTCGCAAACGACGTCACACATAAACTCGCGGCCGGACATGACAATAAAGCGTCGTTATCGACAAGACGTCATTAGCATCGGTCTGCAAATTTGCGAATGGCGCAGAGCTATACTGGCTGGTGTTTTAGGTCGTCGTATTGCTTGGTTGACTACGCCGATGGAGGACAAGACCAGCAGCCCGAATGGCCAGGGACCCCGTCTGGGCGCCGAGATGCAAGGCTTGAGCCACTATACCAGCACCAGAATCCAACACTGCCACCTAGCTCATATCCGCCGGCATTATACAAGAGCCTCACTTGCCTGCCATGTTCGTATCGCGCCGTCATTATCTTTGGGCGTTGATCGTTGCGAACCCAATCAAGCTTTTCGGACCCAACGTACCGTGCACTGCGGCTCCCTGATCGACTGTTAGACCTTGCGAGCGCATGTACCCCTCAATCGGCCCTTAAGGGAAAAATCGGGGCCAAGTACCTCAACCGCCGGGAGGCGTTGTAAGACCCTTATATTCAGACCACTCTGCAGTGTGGCTTTTCAGCATTGCTACAAGGCCCAACATGTTTACTCAGCGTGCCACCGAGGAGACGGAGAGACCAGACCTTGATACTAGCAAGATCAAAGAATGGCGTTCAATAGTCACACTAATAGTCTTTATCCTAACGAGTAAGTCGAGTGAATGCTCATCATAGATCCCAGCTAACTGTCGATATCTGCAGACATTAATGTCTTGTTTCCTTTCCACATACCCATTTACGCTCCTAGGATACTATGGACTCTGTTCCTCAACACGTGCAGTGCATTGCGCATCATCCCGCCAGCACAGCATCCTACGCGAGTCCGGAATGGCAAGCTTGGCGCCTTTGTGCGCTTCGACTTTCCCATGAACTTCATCACTGCTCCTCTGATAGCCGACCTCTTCTTGCTTGCCATTCTCGCTATTGGCAAGAAGGAGGTATCCGGAGGTACTCTCGGAGACCAGGGCATCGTACCATACGACATCATGCTCTTCTTCCTCTCCCTTGCTTACATCGCCATTTCCGTCGACGCCTCTGGTCTGATTAGGTGGCTGGCCTTCAAGGTCTTGCAAAAGGGAGGCAAAGTCGGTCATCGGCTTTTCTTCTACTTGTACGCCTTTTTCTTCTTGCTTACCATGTGCATTGGCAACGATCCTATCATCTTGTCTGGTACCGCCTTTCTCTCATACATGACGCGTGTATCGAGCAACATCAAGCACCCGAGAGCATGGATTTTCACACAATTCTCCGTCGCAAATATCGCCTCTGCAATCCTGGTTTCGTCCAACCCTACGAATCTTGTCTTGGCAGGCGCGTTCAAGATCACCTTCATCAAGTACACGGCAAACATCATCGTGCCAGTTCTGGTTACAGGTGTCGTACTGTATCCTTTCTTGCTCTACATCATCTTCCACGACGAATCTCTCATTCCATCTTCTATCAAGATGGAGGATCTCCCAGATGAACTCAAGGTATGTACGACGGAAGTGTACACCATCACGTGATATCTAACACGTGATTAGAACAAGAAACCAGTCAACCCAAACATCCCCTACGCCAAGGGTGCTCCGGAAGACAATGAAAGAGATCCTGATGAGACCACTGAAGAAGAAAAGGTACAAGGACTCGAAGAGATTCTGAATCCCTTCCTCGACAAGAGCGGTGCAATGTTCGGCGCAGCCATCATGGCAGCAACACTAGTGACCGTTCTCGCCATCAACGCCGCATCTCAAAGCTCGCACGAACGACCAGTCTTCTGGGTCACACTACCGGCTGCCACAATCATGCTAATCTTCGACCTCACAATGGGCTGGCGCAACCGCGAAGAGACGCGCAAGATCGCGCACGAAGGACGCCAAAGAGCAGAAACCGCACAGGCCGAAAGAGAAGAAGCAAGACGCCGTTCCATCGTCCAAGGCAGCCTAGACATGCACACGCTAAACGAAAAACCACACTCCCTCTCCGAAGTACCCGCCCACATCCTCCACACCAAAGCCCCCGAACCCACCCCAACCTCCTCCGACAGCGAGAAATCCCCACACTCTCACAACAAACCCGAACCCACCACCCTCTCCACCCTCATCACCAACCGCTACAAATGGGCGCAGGAAACTTTCCCAACCACAATGACAGTCTTCCACCACCTACCCCTTGCCCTCGTCCCCTTTGCCTTTTGCATGTTCGTCCTCGTCCAGGCCCTCGTCACAAAAGGCTGGGTCCCCGTCTTCGCCCACGCCTGGGACCACTGGGTGGAGAAAACAGGCACCGTCGGCGCAATCGGCGGCATGGGCTTCGTATCCGTTATCCTGTGTAATTTTGCCGGCACGAACATCGGCACTACGATTTTAATCTCTAGGGTCGTGCAGGCGTGGCAGGAGATTCATGTTAGGAATGGGATTCCGATTTCTGATCGGACTTTTTGGGGCACCATTTATGTAAGTTGTCACATGGGGGTTTTTTGGGAAGAGGGAATGTTTTTGCTAATGTTGTGGATAGGCTATGGCGATTGGTGTCAACTATGGCGCGTTTAGTTTGGCGTTTAGTGCGTCGTTGGCTGGAATGCTGTGGCGCGATATTTTGGGTCGAAAACACATTCGTGTTGGTGGATTAGAGTTTGCACGCGTCAACCTTCCTATTATTGCGATTACCATGGTTGTTGGGCTTGTTGTGCTGGTTGCGGAGATTTATATCATGAGGACTGATGCGCCGTATAGCTAACGATGATGGCTGGAATTGGTGATATTTTGATGGGAGGTGGTTTTAGACAAAAGAATTGGTTTTATCTTAGTTATATATCATGGTGAGTCCACGGCTGGGATTCGTCGCAGTCTGGTTGGATTCCAGTAGCCGTTCGATGTTGCGCCAAGTCTCTTCCGTGCCGGTGACCTGCTTGTACAGTTGGTTCACGACTGCCTTTAGGGATGCGCACCAATCTGATGGCAAGCCCCTATCTGGCGTCAACATCAGAACATAGGAGAGGAACAAAATCCCCCCACTGTCTCATACTAACCCTCCTCTTTCCTTCAAGCACCTGTTACCTGGAGATATGCTCTTCAACGCAATACATTCAATAGACAAGGAAACTGCTACAATGGCAGATAAAGACTGGTTTGTTTGTCAGACAGCGGCGGGAGGAAGAAGCTGGAGTAGTTAGATATATGCTAGTGTAGACGAGTGTGATGAAAGGAATTGAGGGGCGGAGGTTGATGTATGTAAAGGGAGTTATGTGAATATAGAAGTGTATAGGGCGGAGTATGCGGGGGCTAGAGGGGTTGAGAGAGGTGTTGATGTGGTGGAACAGAAGGAGAGCGAGGGAGGGGAAGTGGCTGAGAGAGGGAAAGAGTAGGAGCTTCTAGATAGAGAAGGAATAAAATGGAGAGCTTATTAAAGCAGGGTGAAAGCCAGGTAGACAGCGTAATGGAAACAGCTAGACATCAGCTTCAGCACATCAGAAGTAAGCAAAGCAGAAGAACAGCAGCATATCATCGCAACACGAAACTCGTGTCACCAAAAAGTCCTCTCGTTTGATTGTCATTAACCTCGACAGCAACATACGTGATGAAACGTAGTACGTGAAAATGTGCCCAATCTACCAACACAAGAAAAGACCAAACCATCTCCACCCCCGTCCCCATCCCGCAAAACAAAACAATAACGATTATTCAAGGAAAAAAAAGCGAGTGTATGTACCACGAAACACACAGAGAGAGACAGAGAGAGAACAGCCCTCTGTTTTATAACGCCACCAGAAGGTAGAAACCCTTACTTAGCCCAGATAATTTTTGTATGAACCCCTAAACCACTAGCCAATGAAAATATCAAGTAAAACCAACCCATTTACCCACCAGCGCCATGCTTTGCTATTTACACGAGAGAAAGGTCGAGAGGGAAAGAAAGAAAATGCAAAAGCGAGAATTATTGAGTAATCATGATTAGAAAGGTAGCGATTAGCTGGTATTGTTCGTGCGTAGATTTCGTCAAATGGGCTTTGGAAGAAGAACGGGAAAGCTAGCCACGGCTATCGCGAGACAGGCGAGGAAAGGGGCGATATGGCAGGTGACTCATCTGTATGCCGTCCCTCTGTCGACACGGCTACAGTGAACGGTGCCGTAGGCGGCGATGACGCTGCTGCGGGCTTTTGAGGTGAACCGCTTGTGGGTGTGCCGTTCGCCGGCGCGCCGTTCGCTTTGCCCATGATGCTGCCCGGTGGCGTATCTGGTTCTTCTTCCGGGATCGTCTGGCAGTATGTCTTGAGGACGTGCTTGAGGGCTGGGCGGCGGATGGGTTTTGACAGGAAGAAATCCATGCCCGATTCGAGACATTCCTATGATAAATTAGCTTCTGTGATATAAAATAGAGGGCTGGATGCATACCTTGACGTTGCTCTCTTCCGCGTAAGCTGTCAGGGCGACAATGGGAGCTGAAAAACCTGACTGTCGGATCAGTCGCGTGGATTGCAGACCATCTAGGTTAGGCATCTGGACGTCCATGAAGATGAGATTGTACGGAGCCTGACGCTCCATGCTCTCCATGACCCGATCGAGCGCTTCTTGGCCGTCCTTTGCAACAGTCACGTCGTAGACATCTTCCAACTTCAACATGCGCAACACAACTTCTTGATTGGTCTTGTTGTCTTCAGCAACAAGCACCTTGACCTTGGCCCCGCGTTTCGTTGCTTCCGCTTCCACTCGCTTCATGGCAGCTACTTGCGAATTTGGCGATTCTAGAGGCGCGGGAGAGGCAAAGAAGGGCTGACTAAGACCAACTAGACGCGGTTTCGTATCACTTTCGAATGATACTGGACCTGCTGGTGCGTTGGCGGGAGTATTTCCAGCGACGATAGGACCACTCGTAGCAGACTGTATTGAGCGAGCCGACAGCGCATCGTCGTGCGATCGACCGCGCGGTTCGTCCATGGAAAGACTACGTCGTGGGGTCCCCGTTTCTATATTGATATTTCTTGAGCTTGCTGTGCTGTCCGCTCGACTTGATAGGTGCTTCAGTGGTATAACCATGGTAAAGACACTCCCGTGGCCGACCTCACTCTTAAGACCGATTGTGCCCTTCATCAAACCGGCAAGCTGTGAGCAAATCGACAGCCCAAGACCGGTGCCACCAAACTTCTTGCTCAGCCCCAAGTCACCCTGGACAAAAGGCTCGAAAATCTTGGTATGGAGATGTTCAGGAATACCCGGACCAGTGTCTTCAACCTCAAATTCGAAGGATAGCCAACGTCCAGGTGGAGGGGTCGTGGCTCTTTCTTGAGCCATGTAGCGTGAGTATGCGGTTCCCTTATCTCCCATGACGTTGATGACGTTGGCAGTGTCGTAATGGCTTGGTGTCGTCACTGACACAGATCCAACCTCCGAGGCCGACGCTCTTATGCGAGTTTTCGAATTGCGCATTGAGCTTTGCCGTGATTGTAACGAGGCTTTGCGACTCTCAGACATGGTAGCTTCTCCCGGGCATCGAATGGTGAGCGTGACAGATCCACCCTGTGGAGTGAACTTGAGACTGTTCGATACCAAGTTGATGACGACTTGGAGTATTCGGTGTTGATCGCCGTATAAGACCATGTCTTTTAGACGGCCCAGACCGAAAGGTCCAAGATCGCGTAGTTCGTTGGGCCGTCCCGCTCCATCTAGGTTGTTCTCGTACGGCCCCTCGAATTCGACATTGAGTTTGATCTCGCCTTCCCTAGCCTGTTTCTCGAAAATGGCCAAGACTTGCGAACTGATGTCTCGCAACCGGAACTCCTTTTCGTCTAGGCTTAACTGCTGACCGACTTGGTTCTTACTGAACGTCAGAAGATCTGTCAATAGGTTGAGAAGCAGATCACCGCTCTTGTAGATGATGCCCAAGGATCGTCTGAGCTTGATAGGGTCATCTTCGGACATGCACACCGCGCACATGCCCAAGATACCATTGAGCGGAGTTTTCAGTTCGTGAGAGATGTTCGCGATGAACAAGGTCTTGCTCTCGTTGGCTGCCTCGGCTGCCTTTTTGCTATGCTCCAGCTCTGCTGTTCTTTGTGCGACCCGCTCCTCCAGCTTCTCATACTGCATCATGAGCTCGTCGGTCATCTCGTTGAACGTTGTTGTCAGATCAGTAAGTTCGTCGTGGATAAAGTGCTTCCGGTCCTTTACTTTGCTCGGAATACGAAACTGTCTCCGACGTTCGGCCTCTTTTTTCTCAGCTCGGTTGAGTTTAGCATTCCTCCGGTAATGGATAATCTGACCAAAGAAGCCTTCCTTGCCAGCAAGATCGTCGCCATTCGGACTTTCGTTGGCGCCGTCATTCTGCGAGCTAAAATCGTCGTCGTCGTCGTATAGCTGCGGATTTACAGTCTTCCTGGTGGCGTCTCGTAATCTCCGGATGGGTTGACTGGAGAAGTGGGCGACTGGAAAGGTCAGGAGCAACATGGCACCCATGGTTCCAAAGACACAAGCGATGATGACGTTGCGAAGGCGGTAGATGGGGCCCCAGACCTCTCTGTGGCTTTGCTCTACCAGTACCATCCAATCCACCATAGGGCTGGAGACGACGGCATATCCAACAGCAACGTTATCGCCATCCTCATTGTTGGTCGAGATTAGGCTGCCTGCGTTGTTGGTAGCGCCAGTAGCGCGGGTGAAGCCGGTGCGGATGGCAGGATATCTTGTCCAGTCAAAAGGTGGCAGATCAAGGGCAGTGTCGTATAGACCATGACGCTGTACGCCGTTCCTTTTTGTTGGTGGAGCAAGGTAACGGACCTGGAAATTCTCAGGCGCCTCCTCGGGTACCGCAGCATCAAACAAGTACTGGGGTGGAAAAGTATTGGTAGCATTGTCGGGTCCGAAGAGTAGGGTCAGACCACTATCGTCGAGACCTTCGATGGCGTTGACAACATTTGTGATGAGCGCTCCGTCCATTACCAAAACGAGCCATCCAAGCGTTTCAATGTTCGATGTGTTATTGATGATGGGCAAGGTGACTGATACAAGGCTGAGGGTCCCATTGACACGAAACGGACCAGAGAAGAGATAACTTGTATTGTCGATGGTCCTCCCTTTATAATGTGCCTTGTACCTGGACACGGTCGAGTTGTAGGCTATCTTCTCGATATTGAACTTGGGGTAGAGCTCGGAGATGAAGCCATAGTCAGAATCGCCTAACGTTGCGTTCTGGCCATCAGGTTTCAACATGGGCAATACAACGTCCAACATACTAACAGCGGTCCTGCTAAATATAGCACGCTCCGAGGAATTGTAGGGGAATATCTGGGCCTGTACGGCCACACGCGTCTTCATATCACCGGAGAAGATGGCATCGTAGTCTTCCTCGACCCGGCTCCAGCTGACAGGGGCATTGCCGGCGTAGTAGCGGTTGAGTGCGGACTGTGGAGAGAGACGATTCGCAGCTTGTTGGACAAGAATCTGCATAAGGGCCAGATTCGAGGAGAGTTGTGCGGCCTTGAGCGAGGCTGTGAGCGTCAGGCGGGTTGAGCGCACGTCAAGCACAAAGTTGTGGTTGGTGAGCTGGCAAAGTCAGCAAGATGCAACATGTTAAACTAGAACGTCTCTATATACCCAAGTTGCAACTGCTATAACGGCCAAGCCGATCATTGAGGCTAGCAGAACTAAACATCCCAATTGCTCGCGAATGGGAATCCGCATCTTGACCATTCCGCAGGGGACGCTTGTCCCGCTGGGTGTGGTTTCCTCTCCAAGTGGTAGGGGAAGGCGCGCCGCGGCCTAGGAAGGTGCGGAAAAAGCGAGCAGCTGAGGGGCGCAGACGACGTGCGTGGTCGAAGGGCGGTGTTGGCTGTGGGGTTATCGTATCCCATGGATTACAGTATTATGACGACGACGTTTTCCGGTGATATCGTGGGCGATGAATGTCGTTAAAGTCCATGCGATCGGGGCTGGAAGGCGCAACTGGCAGGCGTGGGGGAGGGCTCGAGTGAAAGCACACGGCAGAGGCAGCTAGGCCATAAACAGCAAGACACGGCCGGTACAGCAGGAAAGCAGGTGTTGCAGGCGCGAAAAGAAAGGACGAGCAGATTGCTCTGGCGGCTGAGGTGGCGGACCAAGTGTACGGGAAGACGGGCGAGAACCAAGAGAGCACCGGGTCTGACTACGCCTGTCGCGTCCGCTTCGTGGGAACAGGACAACAGCCGGGGCCTCGCGAGAGATTAGTTTCCGTCCCTTGTGGTTTAGGGTCGCTGGCGTGCAGTTCGCTTGCTGCTTGCATTTACGGGCTGCGCGAGTTCCAGACCTACTGGTCGCCTTCGCCACAACTGGTGGTTCAGGCCAGGACACCTGTTGCTGCAGAGATAGGCCATCTAGACTCTATGTGCTTCAGCCACACGATATGTTGCACAGCTCCGGCACCAACATGTTTTGTTCTTTCAAGGTAGATTGACGCCGTTCCCACACGACGACCCGACATAGTTCGGGTGCGCTTGGCGGGCGGGGATGGCCTTGTCATGCTGAGCAAGCCTGATCCACTGTGCAATGCGCCATCAGCAGATTCGCCATGATCCAGAACACGGCGCGCGACGTCGGCTCGCTTGCGGGCTCGAGCATGACCCCACCCCGGTCGCAAGGCCAGACGTCTTCCAGTCAACAATTTTGACCAGTTTTGCTGGTGGTGGTGGTGGTGGTGGTGGTAGTGGTGGCATAAACTCCGAACGGCTACTACTCTCCTGCTAACAGTCGTTCAAACGGCCGGTCCGCGCCGCTGTCGTAGCCAAGCCGCTGTCACGCCTATGCTCACTACTGTTACCGACACCAGCTGCAACACCGTCCATCTTCAATTGCACGCGCCGGTATGCTGGATCATGCCCCGGATCTACTCCCCTCGGCCCTACTACCCGCCCCAGGACAGCGCCATATCGACACTATACCGCCTTGACGTTTCCCTATCCATTTCCGATTGCATGCGAATCCTGTCTTACGTACACGGTGCATCTTTGTCACGTTATGCGCTGACGTAGCCGCACGATTACTGTCAAACACCCGCGGACTCCTGATACAACGATGCGCCATAGTTTATCATTCTCTACAGGCCAGTGGGCTGATTAAAATTATGATAGGGAAACGTGTAATTCGAATACAATGCCACGCACGACATGCTCAGCTGACCGCTATGCCACACGACCCCACCTAGTTGCCCATGGTCGAGTACCCAGCCGTCGAGCCCCGATGCAGCGACCGAAGTCGCGTGTCTCTGCTCAGTGAGCCTGACCGACCCGGCCCATCCGATCTAGGATTCATATAGTTTCTGCCCATTCTTTTCAAAAAGGTGAGCACTACCATCATGCTGCACGCCAGCTTGTGCATACCATCCTCCTGCAGTGCCAGACCGCGGCGATATATGGTCAACTCTCCAACCGAGGCTCCCCTTGATGCCAGCACCCCTTTCTCGGAAAAGGTAAAGCGGGCAATGACGGTGCCCGAACTTCTCTCGCACAGTACCAAGGCAATGGGTCGCATTTCTAGCATCCAGACATATGTTTCGTCTCCGACCGCAACAGTCCAATCCTCAAAGTTCGGCGACTCCATGTCGTGTCTTGTGCTCCGGCCGTTCGCAGAAGTATAGTCAAAGTACGCACGGGGACGCCAAGGGAACCCCCCGTTATTATTGAAGGATATGGCAGCTATGTTGCGCTGTCGGAAGTCGTGTGATGTGTGTAGCACCTCCAGCTCGGGCTTCTTCGAGAATACGCGGAAGCTGTTTGTCGTGAATCGGTACGAGGAAGCGGCGGGCGCATCGTACGCAGCCAGCATTTGTATCTTACTGTCGTACTGTCGAAGACGATACGTGATGAACGGCCCGTCGAATGCGCCGCCATCGTAAGGAGGCGGAGTAGACATTTCGTCATAGGCGGGGAGATCATCGTCGTGGGCAACGCCCAGGTCCCAAGTATCTACGTGCAATGTGGTCGTCATGTTGAGTTTTGGGCATTGCGCAGGCTGCTAATCAAAGGGCTCTGGCCTATATATCCCCGTGGCGGCCATTTCGACCGTATACATTGTGTGCGTGAGCGGTGTTGGCGTCTGACGGGGACAAGACCGTCCAAGTCTCTTCCACCAACCATAGCGTTAGTCATCCGTAATACACGCGTGTGCCAACATCGCCCATCACACATCACAATATTGGCATACTTCAGACCTTTGCATCGATGAATACACGCGTGTACCTTTATTATCGACTTTGCGAGTGACTTTACGCGATAGGGTCCTTCTTACCTCTCAGACTGGTGGCTCCTGCTGTCGGAAAGCCGCTAGTCGAACCGCTTCAAATCATGGTGCAGTCCCTTACTCCCTTGATCCCACGCCTGTCTTTTGCTCATACAGTACCCTGCTTGTTGTAAGAAATGACAAGATGCCACGAAGACCAAGAAGCCATACCTACTAAAAAGAGCTAGCCTAGGTAGCATGTCGGCCTATCTTGACCAACCCCGCCTCACAATCATCGGGGCCAACTTGCCGCATGCTTCATCATGGCCAATGCACTCCGCCGCTATCCGATTCATTCATGAGACTGCGCAGCATCACAAAGCACGCCCGTGTCAACCGCAGCACTCAGCTGGCCTGTGACTTCGGCAATTACCGATATGAGGCTTTGTCCTCGCCCACTTGCATACGTTTGCTGGAGCTGCTGCCATATGCACATGGATATCGCCTGCGTTGTGCATTGAAGACGTTTGAACTACAGTATGCGCCTCCTTTCAAGGCTCTGTCTTACACTTGGGGTCCAGCCCAGACAGTCATCGGAAAACCGCGAACACAGAGGGGAAGGAAGGCGCGATCAAACCTGACTGAGGAGGCAGCTACGGCCCGCCGTCATCCTATCATCTGTGATGGACAGCTTATAAATATCACCGACACTCTCCGGGATGCACTGGCAATGCTCGCAAATGCCATCAACTTGCCGCAGATGCCCAAGATTCCAAGCTACTACTGGGTTGACAGCTTGTGCGTTGATCAACAGAACATTGGCGAAAGAAACACTCAAGTCGCCCAAATGGCGGATGTGTTCAGGAGAGCAGAAGGTGTTGTGGTATGGCTGGGTAAAGAGGATGAGTATATAGAGGACGCCATTACTACCATGCAAAGGATATCGACCATTCCTGAAAGTGACTGGCGACTAGTACCTTATACATCCTTCTACAACCCGAAAGATAGCGACTTGATAAGGGCTACAAAACTTACCTATTACAACTGGCTAGGCTTCATAGTTCTTCTCAACCGTCCGTGGTTTAGGAGGGCATGGGTATGTCTGCCTACTCTTGATGTCGAATGAAAACTGACTCACAAAGGTGGTGCAAGAGATTGCGCTTGGCAAATCTGCTATTGTCGTGTGCGGTAGCAAAGTCTTCACTTGGGACATGCTGTCCAAAACCTTGTCGTTTGTAAAAGCTACAAGATGGTATCATCATCTCTCTACAGAGAAGCTGAGACACTTGAGAGAGCTGCGGAAGCATCCAGGCATCTACAAGCAAGTTCTTAAATCACAGCTATCGGTCAATATTAGTTCTCTCTTTCTCAATGAGACTCGGCTTACAATATCTGCATTGGACGAGAAGAATACCGGCCCAGTCCGACAGCCTCCTTTTACGAATCTGCTGAGCAAACATCGTTTCACTGAGTCGACGGACCCTCGAGACAAAGTATACGCTTTTCTCGGCCTGGCCAACAGAAACATGGCTCCTTTCCATATGCTCCCCAAAGCACTTGTACCAAACTACAATCTCAGCGTACAGGAAGTTTTCACAGAAGCAGCGACTGTCTTGATGTTCTCCTACAAAAACCTTTCCTGGCTGTCGCATGTCGAAGACTCCTCGCAAAGAAAGATACCGGGACTTCCCTCCTGGGTGCCCGATCTTAGTGTGCCGCTCGATCCCTACTCTTTGAGTTACCGTGGTCCTGGCCATTGGAGAGCAGCTAGCCACTGTGCCTGGCGCCCGGATATCGCTAGTATGGAGAGGGGCCTGCTCAAAGTTGTGGGCTATCATTTGGATCGTATTGACCAGACATCGATACTTTTAAACGAGTCAGCAGATTCATCGGCGACATGGGCTAGTATAGTAAAGCTTGCGCTTGCACTCAAGCTGCCGTATCCGGATCCAGGAAAAAGCGGGAAAAAGCCATCTCGTGTCGAGGTACTTTGGCGGACGCTAACAACCGACATCTACAACCATACCTATCCCGCTCCCCCAGAAACAGGATCCTTGTTCTTAGAATACATCCTCAACCTGCAGATTCGCCATAGGCTCACCCCATGGTCTAGCGCCGATGAATTCCAACCTCATCACTCGCCGTTGTCGGACCTGGTATACCCGGAATGGCGTAAGCTTCTCGAACTCGAGCCGCCAGACTCTTCTTACTGCCTGGATCTATATATTAAACGTCTGGCTGTTGTGGTGGAAAGTATGTTCAACGGCACGTACTCGCCCATCGGACTGGCGCAACTACAACATGAGCTTGATCAGAGCACGGGGAAACAGCGCCGACTGTTCAAGACAAGTAGAGGCTTCATGGGTACGGGTGCACGATCGTTGCGCGCAGGTGATGAAGTGTGGGTGCTACACCGTGGTAGTCTTCCTTTTGTCCTTCGTCCGCTTCCGAATGGTCGATACCGTCTTATCGGCGAGTCGTTTGTGTACGGCGTCATGCATGGTGAAGTGTTACAAATGGGTCTTCCGCGAGAGAATATTGTTATTCAGTAGGCTGTAATGTTGTATTTCAAGTACACCTTTGTCGTTTAATTTTCCTGTCAATATTCATCTCTTTTCGCACGTCTAGATATTGGTCACTCACTAGGGTGCACGCTTCTAGTAGAGCCAATAGGGTTGGATGTAATTCTTTACCTTTTGTTCCTGCTCTCCGCTCTTTCTGGTTAGTCATCTCAGATTCACCTAGTCTTTTGAAATTGGTGCCAAGGCCAGAAAGCGCAGGTGAGCGTGAGTATCAGCCCGTTTGCTCGACAATACGTCAGGGTAAACAACAACAACAACAACAACACTTAATCCGCAACATGACCACCCTCTCGCTGCCGCTTCCTATAACTACTGCTTCTCAGCTGTCTAAGAGCGCTCCAATCCCACCGGTAACTCATGATAATCCCCTCCGCGAGGTAAGCTATAAACTCAACCCACATTGACACGACACACTCAACATCCAAGAAACCCCTTCAGAAGCAGAATGGAGCGCAACCCCATGCCAATACCTAAACCACCCCCAACCTGGGGAGAAAAGCAGATCGAAGTCGCCCGCCGCCGAACCCTACTCAATTATCATGTCCCGACCTCGCCACACTCTTTTGTTGACTGGCATCGAACGCTTGTCATAGTTCCGCACATCGCCACCAAAGTCGAAGACTTGTACGCCGACCGAAGCCAAACCCTCGCCCAGCGTCTACACTTCAAGAACGCGCTCATCGCCGCCACCGCCGCCACTGCCGCCGCTCACAGACTGCCTATCGCTGCTAATTCGGCTTTGCTCGCCACACCCCCTGTCTCGGACCTCGAAATCTTATACACCCGCATTCTCACTCTCTACAACGCCCGTCTTGCTTATATCCAGGCAGAGGGCGCTCGACGCATGTCGATGTGGGCGGATTGGTGGCACGAAACCTCCAAGCCCTCTCCGCACTGTAACGAAGCGGAAGTAAACGCATGCATCTCCACCATTGCGTTTTTGGAGGACGATTACCTCAAGCGCAAAGTGGAATTTGTGGCGGAGATTCACGCACTACTTGAGCCGGGTGATAAGGCGAGGGCGGACGCGGTGTTGGAGGATCTGGAAATATTGTACCCAGTGTTGAAGGATACGGGGTTTTTGAAGCGGGTGATGGAGGGAGATGGGGGCGCGTTTGTGGGGTTGAGGGGGGTAAGTTATCATGTTGTTGTTTGTTGTTTGTTGTTTTGTAGTTTTTGGAGGGCTTTGGCGTTGCGGATTGATAGGAGGAGGAGGAGGGAGGAGGGGTGATGGAGGGAGCTGGCTTGGGTTGGAGTGCTAATCTTTGTGCAGAAACTCCCGCAGGTCTGAGTACGCCCAGACTCCGCTTGATTCTTTTCTCTGCCAACAAGGAAAAGGTAAGACTATGACTTCTCTCTTTACGACATCTTCTGGCGTCTTGATTTTTTACTTTCTTGCATGCCTGCTTGCTTGCTTTCGATTTTTAGGGGGAGAGGGGTGGGAGAACGGATCTTGATGGGTAGGGTTGAATTAGGCGGGTGTCTTGTTTTCTTACCTTCCTACGTTCCTGCTTACCTGCTTCCAAGTCTTGCAAGAAGAAACGGCTTTTGCGTAGGCGGAGGCGGAGTAGGCGGTTCTTCTTAATTTCTTTCTTGATTTTTTCTTCTTATGTTTTTTCTTCTTCATCTGTACGATTACAATAAGCGGACAAGCGGACAGGATGAAAGGATAGGGCATAGGAGGTAGTGATGCTAATCGAGTTTTTCTTTTCTTTCCGACCCTATGTCTGCATTCTGCATGTATACACCTAGGTGACACAAAACACTTAACATCCTAGTACGCCAAAGCCCTTGTAGACGCCAGATATACCTATCAGGATATAGACTACAGGCGTTCATCCACACTGTCGGCCTTCCTAGATAGCGGCTAGTTTACCGTGCATCACCAAAAACAACACATGTACGCACCCAGGTAGTATAAAATACTTGATATACTGGGGCTACAGAGGTAACTGTAGACGCCAGACACGCCTATTAGATGCGCTTATCTACATTGTCGAGTATCTCATGTCACCTACATCACACTCACAAAAACAATACAACACTTCCAAAGACGCATGTGTAAACAGCTAATCTGGGTTTGAAACGACATACCTTCGATATTACAAAGCCACACCCCCTTCCCCATGCTCATCCCCTAGTATTATCCCCCCTTCATGCCCATCACACCCCCACCCCCCTCCCAGTCCCATGAATTGTTGCAACGAGACGAAGAACAAGAATGAAACCTTCGAATCCACTGAAGAAAACGCCGGATAACCCTACTACAAGCAGCGGGGCAAGGAAAAAAGCACTTGCCGCCGCCGCCGCTTTGATCATAAGCGATCGGGTATCAAAAATGAAGGAACACACAGACACACGACGCGCATACGCGGCGGTGTCGTCTAAAACATGTTTGCTGGATATAGCACACATCCACAAGTCTAAGAGAAATCCCGCGGTGGAAAAAGAAATCTGTACGAAGGAAAGCGTGTCATGTACGACGAGGACTCCTCCATGTACAACCTTTCCCGAGAAAGAAACATGATGAGCTGAGAAGATATTCCACACCACTTTACCTTATCTGACCCATGCCGAACAGGTACCTGAGTTCCTGCGGACCCAGACGCGTCAACCGCTTTGAAGCATTCTCATCCAGTGCATCACCGATGATCTCGCGCTTCTTATCCTGGAGCAGAACGATACGGTCCTCCACAGTTTCCGGAACAAGGATACGATGGACGTGTACCTCGCGGGTCTGCGGCATACGATGAGCACGGTCAACGGCCTGTTCTTCGATGAAGGGGTTCCAGAAGGGGTCCAGGATGATGACTTGAGATGCCTTCCAAAGGTTGAGACCAGCGTTGCCAGCTTTGATGGATACGAGCATGACGTTTTGGTTGGGGTTATCCATGAAGAGATTCACGGCTTCGGCGCGGTCGTCCATTTTCATGCTGCCGTCGTAACGCTGGTATTTGATGCCTTCGCGCCACAGGGGGACTTCAACCAGGTCGAGTAGAGAGGTGAATTGAGAGAAGATGAGGGTCTTCTCTGTTGGGTCGTTTTCGCGAATCTCGTTGAGCAGTTCGATGGTCCTGCTGATCTTGGCAGATGGGATGTAGGTCTTGTCCAGACGGCGCATGTAGCGTTTTTTGGCAGCTTTGCTGCGAAGAGACTCTTTCTTGAGCTGAGCGAGGCTGAGCTTAGGCTGTGCGCGTCCCTTACCCTTCTTGTCTTTGTTCTTCTTCTTAGGCTTCTTGGCCTTCGACTTAACCTTGGCATCAGATGCAGAATCATCGTCGTCCTCGTCATCATCGTCAATAACAAAACCCACGAGGTTACCTTTCTTATCAACATCGGGCGCACCGTCGTCGTCATCTTCAGAATCGATTTCGGAATCTGAATCCTCGTCTGAAACCTCTTCCTCTTCTAGGTCCTCCGGGTCGAGACGCTCAGGACAGTGGACCCTAAGGAAGTGCTTGTAGTCGGTTATGAGCTTTGCCTTTAGTTCGCCTCGGCAATGAGGACACTTGGGCGTAGTGGTCTCATCATTTCCATCCTGCTGCGCCGCTCGCATGGCCGGGTCGATGAGCTTCTGGACGCACTCACCGCAGACCGTGTGTCCACAAGGAACGATAATGGTTGGATTGGGATCCGCCTCCATGCAAATCGGACACTCAAATGAGTCATGTTCTTTCAGCCGCACGATAACGTCGTGGTGCAGCTCCTTAGCGCGACCCAAAAGGTCAGCCTCAGCGATGCCATCGGTGGCTGGCTGGCTGAGATCTTTGATCAAGTGCGGATGACAGCAGGCTTGACGGAGTCGAAGCAGTACCACCAGGACGCTTGCATAGTTGGCTAGGCTTGTTAGTTATCGTGGAGACTTGCATCGCTTCAAGGAACGAACTCACTTGTGGAACCCCTGCCCCTCTCAAGATATTTGTTGATGAAGATCTGCGACTTGTCCTCCAGAGCCTTGTAGATGGCAAACTCTTCTTCCTCGAAATAAACATTGTCGACGCGTACATGCTTAGGCGGGATCACGGAAATTGGGTTTCCGTCCACTAGAGAGCTCTTCTGACGCCGGAGCATGATTGACCTAAGCAGGATTTGCACGCGCTGCACTCCACCTTTCTTCGTAGACTGACTGGGGTTCTTCATTGGCTACAGCTTGTCAGCATACGATTCCAAAAGCTCAATACTTGGTTATGCCTACCTTGACAATTTCCAAGTTGAACTTGTTCCAATTGCAATAGGGCTCGACCTTCAAGAAGCGGATCAAGCCGAATAGTTCATCGATGCTGTTCATCATAGGTGTGCCTGTCAAGCACAAACGATGCTTAGCCATGAGATCCGCACAGGCTTTTGATGACTTGGCGTTACGGTTCTTGATGTTGTGAGCTTCATCTATGATTACACGGTACCACATGCACTCGTGTCCTAGTAGTCCAAGCCTGTCTTTGGGCTTACGACGCAGGCTAGGATTGTGCCGCTCCTGGTCATGTAGCATCGACTCCTTGGAAGACTCCTTTTGTTTGTACTCTGATGTAAGGCAGCCAAAGGTGGTGAGGACAACATCGAATTTACGAAGATGGGCAAAGTCGACGTTTTTGCCAGGGCCGTGATAGAGATGGACGCTGAGCTTATGACGAGGGTTGACATGACGCTCAATCTCCTTCTCCCACTGTCGCATGAGCGCGACAGGAGCGATTATGAGCGTTGTCTTGATAGCGGGGTCTGAAGGTGGGTTGCGGCAGATGAGAGCCAAAGCTTGTATCTGCAAAGTTTGTTAGCGACGACACAACAATGAGACGGTAGGATTGTTAAACTTACAGTCTTGCCCAGCCCCATCTCGTCTGCCAGAATACCACCCTTGGTGGTGCCGCGCTCCATCTTGAGTAGCCATGTAAGACCAATGCGCTGGTACTCCTTGAGACTACAAGTCATGTTGGCTGGTGTTGGCTCACGTTCCTGGATGGCGCCATCATCTTCCTGGATATTCTCCAAAAGCTTTTCTATAGCTTCTGATTCTGTAACCAGAGAGAGCGGAGCCTCATAGCCACCTCCGGGGCGTCTGTGATATGGCATCTGCCGATCCGAGAAATAGTCGAAACCGGGCTGTTGCAAGTGTTCATAGCCAACGGGGGGTGGTGTAGGTGCAACCATAAAGGCAGCGAGTTCATCTGGTTGCATGAAAGCCTGGTTGAAGTCATAATTCGGCACGAAAGAACCATGTGGGCCAAAGGCGTTTTCGAGCTCCAGGAATGGATCTGAAAACACTTGGTTTGGTGTTTCGACGTAGAAATCGGGTGTAGGAGGGCCAGACCGGGTCAGGTCAACGATGGGTATTGGGCCCGACTGCCTGCTAGGTTGTGATTGCCGGTTGGGGAGTGAGTATAACCATGGCCCAACTGGCGAGGTTGGCGTAACTGGGCTTGGGTGACCGCTGACACGCTTTGCTTCTGGATAGTCGACTGGACCCAGGCTTCGCTTGCGACTCAGGGTAGGTTCGGCATAAGGCGGCGATGGCACATGGGAGCCGTAGGATGGCGTCGTGTATGAGGGCGGCGGTGCATACATGGACGCCGGGAAATTGTTGTGAGGGGGTTGATAATGATATGCTCCTGCCATGGCCGAACTCTCGCTGACGGTCACAACGTGGCTCTGATCGTAAAGTTTTTTGTAGAGTTCGTTCAGCCTACTCTCGTAGTAGGGTCTGTCAGCGTGGTCGATGCCAGGAAGAACGTCCTGGATCAGGTCAATGGTTGCCTGGACACTCAAGTCAGGGCCTGGTTGTGGGTCCATCAGGGCTCGGACTACTGGCTACCGTGGTATTGTGTTGCGATGAACCGAGGGGTCGGGGGCGGTTGTTGGGGGACTTTGTGGTGGGGTGTGTTGCCAGCGGTGCGAAGGGGTGCGGCGCGGGCTGTGCTTATATAGAGGGAGGCGCGAGAAATACTGTGGCAAAGCAAAGCAACGAGCAGAAAGCGATGATTAGCGATGAGCAGTGAAACCAGGCTGCCGTCGGGCCACAGCCGGGAGGAGAAGAGCCTGGGGGGCAGTTGCGATAGTGAGCGCGACGCGTTGCGCGGGCCTTCCCCAAACGTGCGCACGGCGGAAGGAGCGATGAAGATATTGCTGATGCTAATCAATCAACACGACCATCTGAATGAAAGCGAGAGTGAAAGGGAAACGAGGACAACGTGTTCCTGTGGTACCATATCGGAGCCACAGCCCACAGCCTCGCAGTGGGGTCGACAAAGGACGAGGGATCTGGGATGACTGAGATGCACAAAGATGCAACATGCAACCCGTCGCGTCTTCATTACCGATAGCCCTGCTTCTTTGGGCCTCCGTCTGATGTCATCAGGTGCATTGAAATCAACAAAACGATCAATCAGATCTGCGTGAACCAAACGGCCGTACGAGGCGCAAAAACCAAAATCGCCTTTGTCCAGCTGGCTTGGGCTGCCAACGCCAAAGGCTGAAAGCTGAAGGACGGTTGTTCTGCAGCCCTCCGGTGAAGCAAACCTCTGCCCTATAGGCCGCTTGGCATGCATCTCCGCGTACGACGACATCAAGCGAGGCGCGCGAGAGACACGAGGTAGACTGACTCCCCTAGCTCAATGCAGTAGTACACGGTGTCTATCCAAAGGACGCCATCGAGTCCAACCGGTGCATTACATTGATATCTGCGCCTCGCTCAATGTAGGTTTGTAGAACCCGACTCGACCAGTGTGCTGATCAAATCGTTTCAACCACCCCGCCGGCCACAAGAAAAAGCAGACACACAAGGCATATAGATCATCCTTCTTAATGCAGCACACGCTACCTGACCCACGCATGTCACGAGGTCCATAATATCCGTGTACGAGCGACCAAAGCTGCATCCCGAGCAACGCGGACGCCCAAATCAAGCGATTAAAAAGGTCGGCAGGAGGGGTATCATCTCGCTTTCACGTGATAATCCCCGACATTAAGCTACACATGATAAATCAAGCTGAGCCACATGTTAGAGTAGCATCTAACAATGCAAAGTAATATTCTTATATTCCCAAAGTACAGCGAAAGTGGTCTTCCCCAAGAATCACAACGCGCCTGCCAACCGTGAAGCCAAATCTTTCACACAAACTTCTAAACGCCCAGATATGCAAGAAGCGCGCACACACACACAATGAACAGAAAAAAAAAGCATACAACAGAGGCGTGGGCAGCTGCTGCACAATTCTGACCTCTGCAACAGAAACGCCCCATGTGCCCAATATTCTCCAGTTCAATCCCAAATCCATCCACCCAACCGGCCACTGATGCCATTTCGCTTCGATAACGGGGTATTCGAAAGAGATCGATAGTTTTGGTGTCGCAGTCCGAGAACACTAGTCTTCGTCGTTGTGGTCGTCGTCGTGCGGTGTTGCTGGCCCGAGACTGGGAGTGCTATTCAAGCCTTCTCCTCTTCCTTTAGGTCACAAACTCAGCTACTGTGACTCCGCAGCAAAAGCTACAATAGAATATTAGGGTCAATTACTCACAAACTAGCGGACAAGGAACGTACTCTCTCGACACTACCATTATCCGTCTGGTCCACGGCTAACAGATTCGGGCTATCAGCGCCCCCTCCTCGCTCTGTGAAACCTCGGGCTTCCAGTTGCGGCCGCTTCTTATTTGGGCTTGACGCACCAGACGATGACGCTGCCGCGTTCTTGGCTTTGTCATTGCTATTGCCTGGTAGTTCGAGGTTGGGGAGGTGCGAGGACGCAGTATAGCGAGGCTCGCTGGTATGGTCGTAAATGGTGCTGCCAACTGTGGCGCAGCGGAGTATTGTCTGAATGAGCTGGTTTTGGCGAAGGGGCTTGGACAGATAATCCTGTAGAATCAAGTCAGCGACTGAACATGTATTTGAACGAGGACCAACATACGTCCATCTGTGCTGCGAGACACTTCTCTCGATCGCCCACCATGGCGTGTGCAGTCAAAGCAATGACGGGCGTTGATGGGATGCCGTTCTCACGTTCCCACTCACGGATCTTAGCTGTGGCTTCAAAACCACCCTAGAACAATGTTAGCTGTCATCCACGCGTCAGCCGCATTCAACTTACCATGACCGGCATTTGCACGTCCATGAGCACGCAGTCGTAGCGTTTCTTTTGAATGTGCTCAAACGCCTCCAGACCGTTGTTGGCCACAGTGACTCTGTGGTGGTACTTTTCCAGAATCCTGACAGCAAGCTTCTGGTTGACAGCGTTATCTTCTGCTAGGAGGATCTGGAACGACTTGGAGTGGTCCGAGACTAGAGGTGCGGCACGACCATCCAGCGCCGGGATAAGCGCGTTGCCCAAGTCGATCGGGAGACATGGTGTAGTCATGTAGCTTGAGATACCGTTTTCAAGCGCAGACCTCAGGCTTATGCACACATGCGGTGTAAGCATGACAAGTGGGATATACTTGAATCGCTCCGCAATCCTGAGCTCTCGTGCCGTCTTGTCATTGTCAACAATGACACAGTCGTACGGCATGTCGGCTCTTTGCTTCGTCTCTGGCACCTCTTCAACAGAGTTGACCACCATGGGCACAAGATCGAGAGCCTTGAGATGCTCGATAACTTGATCCGAGAAGCCAGTGTTGCGTTGATCGACAAACAGTACTGTGTGCTGCTTGTACGCCACGAGCTGAGGCTGGATAGCGGTAATCTCAGGTTTGCCGAGACGGACTCTGCAGGTAAAGTAGAACACACTGCCCTTGCCAAAGTCCGATTCGACCCACATACGACCGCCCATGAGCGTCACAAGACGTTTGGAGATGGACAGTCCCAGACCGGTACCACCAAACTTCCTCGTAGTGGAGCCATCTGCTTGCTGGAATGTGTCAAAGATGAGGTTGAGCTTATCGCCACGAATACCTATTCCAGTGTCTGAGACAGCGAACTGGAACACATAGTGATCCGGGCCGCACTCTTGCTCTTGCGCCATGGAAATGGCTACCTTGACTTCTCCGTGTTCGGTGAACTTGATGGCGTTGCCGACGAGGTTGAGGATAATCTGTCGTAACCTGAATGAATCACCGACTACGTAGTCAGGTACTGTGTAGGAGACATCGTAAGCAAGGTTGAGTTTGCGTTCGTTGGCTCTCGACGCCAACGACTTCAGGGCGTTGAATATCGTGCCGCGCATCGAGAACGGAATCTCTTCCATGACCATGCGGTTTGCTTCAATCTTGGAAATATCGAGGATGTCGTCGATGATAGTCAATAGCTGGCCAGCCAGGTTATGGACAATGGTCAACATCTCTCGTTGGGCATGCGTGAGGTCGGTGTCGAGCGTAAGCTGCGTCATTCCAATGATGCCGTTCATGGGAGTTCGGATCTCGTGGGACATGTTGGCGAGGAACTCTGATTTGGTCTTGTTTGCCAACTCGGCGGCTTCCCTGGCTGCCGTATTCCTCTGGATACTCTCTCGCAAACTGGACACCATCTGATTGATCTTCCTCTTCAGCTCATCCATCTCGCCAGAAGCTTCCACTGTGATCTGGGTGAACTTGCCCTCCATGGCAGCGTTGGTGATGTCGCCGAAAGCGCGCACTTGCGAGGTAAGATTTTGGGCCATGGTGTTGACGTCGGTGGTGATCTCTTTCCAGCGTCCGTCAATGTCTCTTACATCAGCCTGGCCGCCCATCTTGCCATCTACGCCTACATCGCGGGCGACGCGCTTCACTGCAAGCGACCATTCATCCAGTCTCATAACCATGTCGTTGACGGTGTCTTTGAGTAGGCGTATTTCTCCTTCGGCGTCGACGTGTACTCTCCTGCTCATGTCTCCCTTGGCGATGGCCTGTGTAACTTCCGAGATACTGCGTACCTGCAGTGTAAGGTTCTGGGCCATGGTGTTGACGTTGTTGGTGAGGTCCTTCCACTTGCCCTCGACGTTGTCGACTTGCGCTTGGCCGCCCAGGATACCATCCGTTCCGACCTCGCGAGCGACCTTGCTAACTTCTTGCGCGAATGTGTTTAGACGGTCAACCATGGTGTTGATGGTGATTTTCAAAGACAGAATCTCACCCTGTACCTCTGCCTTGACCTTCCTGCTGAGATCACCTCGGGCTACGGCTGTCGTAACTTCTGCGATCTCTCGCACTTGTGTAGTCAGGTTCATGGCCATACCATTCACATTTTCGGTGAGGTCTTTCCAGGTACCCTCAACCCCATGGACAGTAGCTTGACCACCGAGTCGACCCTCGGATCCGACCTCTCGCGCAATCTTGGTGACTTCATGGGCAAATTGCTGCAACTGGTCCACCATGCGATTGATGGTCAACTTAAGCTCCAGAATCTCACCTCTACATTCGGCTTCGACTTTGCGCGTAAGATTACCCTGCGCGACGGCTGTCGTGACCTGTGCGATATCGCGCACTTGGGTCGTAAGATTCTGGGCCATGGCATTCACGTTTACAGTCAGCTCATTCCACATGCCCTTTACACCAGCAATCTCAGCCTGGCCACCAAGCTTGCCCTCTGTACCGACATCCCTAGCCACTTTCGTGACCTCGGTAGCAAATGACTGTAGCTGATCCACCATGGTGTTGATTGTCTGTTGCAGCTGTAGGATTTCTCCTCGGGCCGGTCGTTCAATCTTTCGGCTGAGATCGCCATGAGCGACAGCAGTGGTTACGACGGCGATCTCTCGCACTTGCTCGGTAAGATTCTTGGCCATCACATTGACTGTTAGAAACATTAGCATCGGGCCGATAGTGGAACCCTAATCACGACGTACCACTATCAGTCAGCTCAGCCCAAATACCAGCAACTCCTGGTAAGTTGGCTTGACCGCCAAGTCTGCCCTCGGTCCCGACTTCTCGGGCGAGAAACGTGACTTGACTAGCGAATTCCTGGAGTTGGTCGACCATGGTGTTGATTGTGCGCTTGAACAGGGTGATTTCAGGGTCCATCTCTTTGGCATGGATCAGAACCTTTTTGCTCAGATCGCCCATAGCGACAGCCGTGACGATGGCGCCAATTTCCCGCAGTGCTTTTTGGAAAGCCAAGTTGGCTGGGTTGGTCAGTAGGCTGTCATGTGCTGAACGGGGTATGTCGCCTACCTTGCTGGTGTTTGCCGAGTTCGCGTTTCAGTGCGCCAATGTCTTCAATTCCGTGTTCGAATACCATGCTCTGTGTCGTCAGTTGCTTGTTCACCTCTTGGCTCAGGTTATCTGCACAGTGTCAGTGTGGCGCGCTATGCGCGGATGGAGATTGACGTCTTACCGATGTGCTCGCGCTGGTTCTTGATCTGGTCGGCCTGCTGGTTCAAGTGCACACGCAGATAGTTGAGCTGCTCTTCAGTCAGGGCTGCGGCTGGCTGCTCCGAGTCGCCATTGGGCTCCTTTGCAGCGAGCCAGTTGGAAACCCATGTGGCGCGCTCCTTGTTGGAACCACGGCGCCCTTGCGGGCCGTTGCTGTTGCGCAGGGCTCCCGCCTGGGTATATAAGACACCGTCCTCGGGGGGCTCTTGGGCGGGCGTCAAGGGAAACTGGCCATGCTTGGCGGCAGCGTGGCTGCTCTTGTGCTCGAGGAATTCTATCCTCGCGCAGAGGGCAGATAACTCGTGCTCTAATTGTGCCTTCTCGTCGCTGTCGGGACCGGGCAGGGCAATTTGGTTGGCGGCAGTCTTTGCTCCATTGGCGGAGACTTGAGCGCTGAAACTAGCGTCTCGCGCGGGGTCGTGTTGGCGGGCGAGGTTGCGGATGATGGCTGAGACGGATTCATACGTCTCTGTTGCCATTTTGGCGGCAGGTGTGAGGGTGGAGGGCTCGCGGGTCTGCTACGTGCGCATCGGGAATGGGTGGACGGCAAGGACGGCTCGAAGTACGGCGGCGTCGGCAAAGCAGGAGGGCACGGCGCGGCTGAAGAGGGTGCTCGGAGGAGAGACTTTTGAATAGGCAAGTAGAGAGATGAAATGATGAAGTCAGGGTATCGTAGAAGCGCAGCGTAGGGAGGCCCCACCGAGAGAGTTGGCGGGCGCGGGAAACCTTGGAAACGAACAAGCGCTGCTAGGATGGAGCCGACACGAGTAGGGACAGGCGTAGTCGTTGAAGCACCCGCAAGCCACACGTCTCACAGACAGCAGTTGGGCACGAGGGGGGAGACGGGTGCAGGCTGTCTGTCTTGAGCACGAGGGTAGCAGTAGCAGAGCAGAGATGGGAAAGTGAGGTGTAGATGCGAGCCCGACGCGAGATAGGCTGCCTCATGGAAAGATCGGCCTGGTGATTGCCGTCTTGGATACAAAGCAGCACTGCCATGGCATCCATTTGCGCCTGTCACTTCAGGGCTAACAAGCACGTCGGTCCACCCAAATCCATGGCGCCGCACGAGTGCCACGCCCGGTACCAGTGCGTCCGTCCCTCGGCCTCTCAAAGGCGGGCGGCGGGCATGTCGGCTGCGGGCGCCACAGGACAATCAAAGGTCAAAGGCTTTCGTTTGCGAGTCGGCCAACACCACACCACACACTGTCAGAGGCATTTTCGCTCTTCGTATTTTGCCTAGGGCCGCATTAGACGTCATAGCCCATGGCCCGTGGCCCCTTTTTCGCCGACTGCGCGAAATGAGTCTCAGGTCCTTTTTGATCTCTCTGTAAGTGTGTGCATGGCTGTTGCTGCGCCGAGAGGGCTGCCCTCGCGACCATGACCGCTCTTCCGCACTGCATGTACGTCTGTGTTAGCACGTCTGAGTATACGAACAGCGCCAACTCGTTTGCCAGGACCAGGACCGGCCGAGTGAGCACTGGCGCCGACCTTGTGGCAAATTACCCCTATTCGCTGCTGACTGGCGGGCGGGACAGGCATCGCCTAGCACACGACGTTGTCGGATACGTTAATCGTCAACGTTCGCGGTGAAGTGTATATGCGCCCTCTAATTTAACCGTCAGATGTTGCAATGCTCTCCTGTTTGATCGTCCAAGTCACGGAGAAGTCGTGCACGCACAGTCCCCCTCAGTCCCCCAGTCCCAGTCGATCCCTCCCTCACCGTCTTGCCCGCCGCGGTCATCTGAGATGGCGGGCGTGTCTTGTCCGCGGGTGGGCGTGGTGGGGTCAAACTGCCACCAGTGAGGCATCGCTTCGTGTTGCTGCCACTTCAGGGTCCTTCCCGGAGCGGAGCCTGCTATAGTAGCTTTGCCTAAGCGCATTTCGGAGCGGACGGTTCTTACCGTGACCTTGCCATGACCGCTTTTCACGACTGCATTCCCATGTTTCCGTGTCGTTGGCACTCGCCCTCTTGCCAGGTCCAAGATTGGGGAACCTGGTCGCTGCATGCCAGATGCCGAAATTCAGCCACTCACTGCCCAGCCACGTGCCGCCGAAGCCACCGGTCCTCCGGAGCCTGCAACCAAACATTAATGTCAACGGCGAAAAGCAGATCCACATGACACCAGGAGAGGCATTGATTGACTGCATCGGCCCACGTCGAACGACTACTTCCAGTACGTGTGTCTTAACTATGCACTGCGCTCCTAAACTGTGCAAGCCACGCTTTCGTTTGGCCAAACAACCGGTGAGGAGGGCATTAGTGCAGGGCCTGTAACCGCACGTGATATGCAACGGCAGAACCGCTCAACGTCTGTGTTACTTTTTCTTCATTTCATGTCGGCTGCGCCTCGTTTGATAGTCATCGATGATCATAGTCAAGCATCTGCTAAGGCCTCATGGCGGGGCTTGTTGATAGCCAATCAACACGTGATATCCCTCTTTGTGAATTACATCTATCCGTATCAGTCTAGTCAACTTCACCTCTCCTCGTCCTGACTTTATGAACAACTGCAGCCAAGTAGCGACTTAAAACCGATTGGCCAGGCATTGGCATGTGATTATATTTTGTACCACAGTCCTCGAGACTACCTACCTAGTGCTCCCAAGTCTGTGTTGCAATTGAAACAAACCCAATACAACCTCCTTGCCACTACCTGAGCTTCTTGGCATGGGCTACCAGGCTCTCGATAACCTGCTCGAACGCGTCCTTGTCCCCGAGCGCACTTTCCATCCTCGTCTGCCAGTACACAAACACCTCCTTAGCCCTCTCTTGCAGCGCTTTCAAATGGTCAATGTGCATCCTCAGCTCTTCGTCCGTAAAGCCCTCCAGTGCTGCGTCTGTCGTCGCGCACAGTTGCATTGTGCTGGTAATGTCCAGTTCCGGAGGCGGCGGAGGACCTTTGCGTTTTGATTTCGACGTTGACGAGTCGACTGATGTCGAGGATTCATTTTCTCGCTTGACGCGTCCGAGCGGACCTCCATTACGACCATCTGACGAAGGGCGCGGAGAGCGGTCACCGGGAATATGTATCGAGGGTAGAATGAGCTTCTTTTGCTTGGAAGCGGGGAGAATCTCGTCCAGATCGACGGGTACACCCAGCGAGACTAGAAACAACCGCCGTATGCGCGAACGGACCCAATCAGGCGGCTGCAATGGTGGTGGGGCGACTAATTGTGTCCATAACGAATGGCTTCGTTCAGAGAGAAAGATGGATCTTGTAGCCTCGACATCTGTAGATATGCTGGGAATGTCCTTTTGGGACGGGTATATCTCATCTAAATATGGCTGTGTTGCTGTGACCATGTCTTCAAGTGAGGTAAGGCGGCCAAAGTCCAAGACAGGCTGCGCCATTAGACATTAGTAGAGTATCACCATAGCAAACGGACAAGGCAGTAATATATGTCGACTAGAATTGCTGCAACTTACAGGACCTGGTGAAGGGGCAGGTACAGGAGGTTGATCTGGGGGCTTAACAAATGTAGTCTCTGCCTCGTTTTCGCCTTGCTGAAACCCATCGTCAAAGTCCCCAAAATCGTCGTCGCCCGCCTCGCCCTCTTCGAAGTCATCGAAATCGCCAAACCCATCGTCATCGCCATCTGCTGCCGCGTCGTTGCCAAAGTCGTCGTCTTGCTGTTCAAACTTGTCGTCGGCTTCAGGTACGGCTTCGGCGGCTTCATCACTCGAATTTACGGGAGACCTGTGATGCGAGGTTGGTGACCCTTCTTCCGTCAATGGTACGCAGGAGGCACCAAGGAAATGCCCTACGTACCTGGGGTGTTTTGCTGAGGAGGCTCGGGTGCTTTGACAATGACATCAGGCGTAGCATCTGCGAGACGCTGCTGATGCGCGAGCGTACCGGGGACATCGCCGTAGCTGGGCTTATCGGGGTCGATCTTCTCGACGATCGTCTTGGGGATTGGCGTTCCTCCAGGCGTCAGAGGCCGGTCGCTTACACTGACACGCGAGGCACTACGACTGCGCATGCCATCAGGCACGATTTCCACTTCGTCCGGTACTGCGTCCTGGGTGCGTTTGTTGTACGCCTCTGTTCCCGGCACCTCGCCGTGTGCAGGCTCGTCGTCTACTCGCTCGACGCGTGTAATGGGAATGGGCGAAGAAATGGTAGACCGCCTAGCCTGGCCTTCTGAAGCATCGGAGAAGTGCTCGTCACTGGACTCGGCTGGGTACAATTAGAGACATGACTTCCGGCACAGGCAGAAGAACATACCCAGCTCCTTCGCACCAGGGTCCTCGAGCTCGACGCTCTTGCGGGGCGGTGCTAGCTCGTCGGGCATGTCGTGTGTCACTGGATATTTGTCTACGTGTGGATGATTTCAGGTGCAATCGTGCAAGAGAGCAGGAGACGTGTGTCAAATTGAAGAGAGACTGGCGAAAACAGCGGATACGAAAGACTGCGCCTCCTTCCAAGCTTGCTGTCGTCGCTGAGACTCAGGCACACTCGATTGGCGGGGAGCGGTCTGGAAGCCCGCTCCTTCCCTGGTGGGAACAACAATTCACCGGAGCTAGCTTGACCCATGCAACTGCCTGCCCAACTTTTGGTCACGACGACTGATGCGCTTGACAGTCGTCACGCTTTCCGCGCATTCACTCCAGTTTGTCAATTAGCGGCCTAGCAATTGCTTCTACGCGCGCAACACGCCTAAGACTGAGCGCGTCAACCTCACTCGCCGACATAAACAACCCAGCTCCTTCACCGTCAACCCACCCGCAGCCGTTTCTCCTCCACAACCGCCAACATGAGCTTCTCATTCGGCAACACCAACAACAACAATAGCGGAGGTAGCGCGCCTAATAAGAATCTTTTTGGCGCACCTGCCTCAAGTAGCGGTGGACCGACGACGCTTTTCGGCACCACGACGAACAACACGACCAGCGCACCCAGCAGCGGCGGTCTCTTCAGCAGCGCGGGTGGAGGCACTTCTAATTTGTTCGGCGCCGGCGTATCGAGCACACCTGCGAGCAAGCCGGGCGGTCTATTTGGCGGAGGCCAAGCTACGTCGGGCGCGTCGTCAACACCTGGTATGGGATTTGGAGGAGGATTCAAGAAAGAGGGAGATGCGTCCAAGCCAGCAAACACAGGACTGTTCAGTGGAGCGGGTGCTTCTACTGGCGGAGCGGCGACGTCTTCGGGACCCTCGTTTGGGTTCGGTACATCCGCTGGTGAGTATCCAAATACATTCCAGACGTCCAACGCGCCGCTAACACAACCAACAGCCACGCCCGCAGTAAACAAGACGTCATTACTACCATCCACGACTCCAGCCGGGCCACCTCCCGGTGGTCTGTTCGGTCAGAATAATCAGGCCGGAAGTACATCCTCTTTGTTCAACACGAAGCCAACCACAACAACTTCCTCTGGCCCTGGTCTTTTTGGTGGCGCTACCTCTGGACAAACTGCTGCGAAGCCTGCCTTCTCTCTAGGCGGGAACCAAGCAACATCCGCTGCACAGGACACCTCTAAACCCGCAGGTAGTCTCTTCAGCGGCATCGGTAGCACAACTCCCTCTTCCACACCAGCAAAACCTTCCCCATTCAGCCTCGGCGCTACAACTACGGGACAGCAGGCTTCCTCGCAGGCTACCTCGAGCGCGCAACCGGCTATGTCTTTGGGTGGAACCTCTGCTCCTCCAGCGTCCTCTGCAGGAGGAGCCAGCAGCGGGTTCAGCTTTGGCACTACTGCTGCTAGCACAGCGGCGACTACTGGAGCTACCACCACAGCAACAAGCGGTGCGCCCACCACAACCGCACCTCCTGCCCTTCCAGCGTTCCCAGCCCCGGGTGGTGCAAGCTCAGCACCTGCCACCTCTGGAGCTACAACCTCCGCAAGCACCGCTCCAAATGTGTCCAGCAGGCCCACCGGAACCGAAGCTCCTGCTTCATCATCAAACACAACCACACAGCCAGCATCTACTTCTGGAGCCACTAGCGGTACCTCGGGAAACAATGCTGCTCAAGCTGGATTAGCTGCCTCGACAGCTGGGCCAGCACCATCAGCTCAGTCACGACTAAAGAACAAGTCCATGGACGAAATCATTACCCGCTGGGCAGCCGACTTGTCAAAGTACCAGAAGGAATTCCAAGCACAAGCTGAGACAGTCGCTTCGTGGGACCGAGCTTTGGTGGAAAACTCAGACAAGGTTCGACAGCTGTACTCAAAGACCTTTCAGGCAGAGCGAGATGCTGCGGAGGTCGAGAGACAATTGACGATTGTGGAGGATAATCAGAACGAGCTTGACTCGTACCTGGACCGATATGAGAAGGAAATTGACAACCTCATGAAGATGCACGGTGTCAACAGTAAGAACGAAACTTTGCGTGGACCCGATCAGGAGCGTGAGAGGACGTAAGTAACTGAAACCATGATTTAATTGACTCAAACTAACAAACACATAGCTACAAGCTTGCCGAGAAGCTTCAAGACCGCCTCAACGAGCTTAACAAGGACCTCACGGAGATGATTGAAGAAATCAACAACACTTCGCAAACCCTCAGCAAGACCGGGAAGCCAGATGATCCCCTAACCAAGGTCGTCCGCGTTCTCAACACACAGCTCGCTCAGCTCCAGCTTATTGACTCTGGCGCTTCTCAGCTTCAGCAGAAGATCAAAGAGGCACAGAGCGAGACACGCAGCGTTGGCGCTAACGGCTGGAACGGACTTGGTTCGGACCCTTCGGCCGACTTTATGAAGAGCGTTCGGGGCGGTCGTGCCTCGCAGCGGTTCGGCGGAGTATCGTAGACGTCTCGGCCTGAACATGTAGGATTAACGAAAGAAGGAGAGGTCATTGGTTGTTTGGACATGCATTCCCATTGGCGTTAATAAAGAAAGCCGCATATTGAGGATATACGTGCGTGCAAATTTAGTAGTACAGAAGCCAGAACTTAGTTGAATTCCCACCTTTACGCCTTCTCCCCCTGACCAAACCCACCACCACCACCCTCAACCGCACCCTTCCCCACAACCGTCTCGCCCACCACGCCATCGACCCCCCTCCTCCCCTCCGTCCTCTTCTGCATCCACACCACCCCCGCCGTCCAAACCCCCATCGCAATACTAACCGCAATCATAGCCCACATGCCCCTCGTGAAATACGGCGCAAAGTTCGCCCCATAGAACAAGATACTCCACCAAGCATTCACCGCATTACTCCCCATATTCATACTCGCAATCACCACAGCCCTTAGACTATCCTCTTCATACCTCAGCACATCATTCGCCCAAGCGAAAAACGTAGCCTGGCACGCATACACACTCCCCGCCCAATAATACATGGCAAAATGCACAGCCGTACTCTCCGGATACGCCAACATAACAGCAGACGTAACAATGCCCGTACCCGCAATCCAATACCCCACCATCCACCTCCTGCCGCCCCAATAATCCGTCACCGTCGCCCAGAACAATGTGCTTGCTATCCCCACGGCCGGCACACCCGTCGGGTAGTTGTTGTTTTGTGCGACGGTGTACTTTTTCGTAGGGTGCGAGCGTAGGTAGAGTTGTAGCAGGGCGTTTGAGGAAAAGGATTCTGTTTCGCCAGCGAGGATCCACAGCACGACGAAGAAGTACCAGTACCAGGTGCTGAAGCAGTGTTTGAGGAAGGAGAGGGATATTGGGGTGCGGTGGGGGACGGGGGGGATGCGGGATTTTGCGAGGGCGCGCTCCGAGGGGGTGAGGTAGGGGGCGTGGGTTGTGTGGGGGGTATCTGGGAAGAGGAGGAGGCCGTAGAGGGCGACTGGGAGGGTTATGATGCCGTCGATTACTTGGAGGCAATTAGTATATTATCCTTGTCCTTTTGTTCTGTTGCCTTGGAGTTTTGAAGTTTTTCTGGTAAAGTTCCGTTCGGGATTGAACCTGAGAATTAGGAGTGAAAATGACGTGATGAACATACCAAACAACCATCTCCACCCACTCATCCCCCTTAACCCATCCATACTACTGTGAATACCCGTCTGAATAAACCCGCCAATCATCGTGCCTGCAAGCCCACTCGCAGTAAAGATTCCAGACCTTTTCCCAAGCTCTTTCTCTGTGTACCAGGATCCTAGTATGTAGTGTGTTCCTACGAAAGTTGAGGACTCGAAGATTGCTTGGAAGAAGCGGATGGCCATGATATCTTGTGGTTTTTGGGCCGCGGCTGTTGCCATGGTTAGGCCCGCCCATGCTACCTTTAGGGTTTGTTAGTTGGGAGGGGGGCTGGAAAGAGGTTTGGGAGACGATACCATGCATGCTGGGAAGAAGTAACGCGGTTTAATATAGTAGAGGGCTATGTTGCAGGGGACCTGGCCGATGGTGTATCTGGGGTTGGAGTTCAGGTTAGTGGATGATTTATGTTGTTGTTCTGACGCTGACATACCCTACGGTGAATACAGTGTTGATTTGGTTCAATTGATTTCCCTTGAAGTTCAACTCTTCCTTCATACCAGAGACATATGCATTGTTCAAATTGGTGCGATCGAGGTAACTTGATGCCGTGTCAGCTTTTCATAGTAGATTTGATGGCTAGGGCAATTTACTTCAAAAAGTACATAAGACAGCAAAATGACAAAATAAAAAAGTCGAGTTTTTGAACCAGCTTGCGCTCTCCAGGCGCATTCTGGTCGCCTCGGAGATAGGCGATGAAGCCGTTGGCCATGCTTTTAGTCGCCAGAACCTCTACAGGATGCTTGTTGTGGTGGAGAGCAGAATCTTTCAGAGGCGCGAACTATGACGCAGGTAACTTTTACGGAACCCAGCGTCTTGTCGAGGTTGTACAACAACTCCTCACACGCGGCGAGGGAGGATGACAAACGGACCAAAAACACGAAGAGCACGAAGAGTAGTCTTAATAGCCTATCAGATTTATTCCCAAGTCCGGTATCGTCCAATCACAGAAACGTGCCCTTCGCAAAAGACCCCGGTTATTTGCCTTTCGCCTCTGCCAGAAAGCCGTTGCCGTAGTTGATCTTTCGGGAGAAATGTTCCGACCCATGCATGATAGGATACGACGATACTACGAGCGAGATACGAAAGATAGGACAGATGCCGCCTATGGCTGACTCGCGATAGATACAATGGGGATACGATCACCAAGCCGCTGCACACGCGACTGCCGATATCGGTAGAACGTATCTGACGCTCAACAAGGCAGGTGTATCCTTACGAAAAGTAATAGTATCTCCCGGCCGAGTTTATGGAATACTGCTAGTAGCCTAGCCTTGGTCAGGCGGGTATGACGCATGCGGAGAATAGTAGTAAAAGTCAGGCTGGAGACGGCATGGGCAGCCTCGAACCGCGGCGCAGGTATACCGAGAGTGGGGAGGAACAGCAACGCGGGATAGAGACGGGCTACCCAGGACCTATAGTCGTTTCCTTTGAAACTATATCGTGAATACGTACTCTTGACTATCTTCAGAAACCTTGGTGTCGCAAATAACTTCTTCGAACATCATGTCATCCGGCGCAAACTGGGAGAAGATCGCTGCGGGGAAGCGCGCAGCTCTCGCGGAATCCATTCCGATAGAGTATCGCATACCCCAAGACAAGATACCACCAGAGTCGCAACTTGACGTAACAACCTGGCCCAAGGAATCCGGCTGGTTTACGGCGAATGAGCTTGAGATTACGGACAGCACAGCATCAGACATTCTAAAAAAGGTCGCGGCAAAGACATGGAGCGCAGAGCAAGTTACAAGCGCGTTTTGTAAACGTGCTGCTGCTGCTCAGCAATTGGTACGACATTTTGTTCCTCTAGACTTGTAGACGCGGTTCTAATACGTACGCAGACGAACTGTCTCAGCGATGCGTTCTTCGATGAAGCAATTCAGCAGGCCAAATCCCTCGACGAATACCTCCGACGTACCGGACAGACAGTAGGGCCGCTCCATGGCCTACCCATATCACTCAAAGACAACTTCAATGTCAAGGGGAAGGATAGTACGGTTGGTTTTACTTCATTGGTGAATGATCCAGCAGTATACAATTCCACTCTTGTGGACATGTTGGAGAAACTCGGCGCAGTGCGGTATTGCAAAACGAACGTGCCAACAGCCATGATGATCGTATGTAACCCCGTATGATCAGCGATACAGATGCTTACAAAAAACAGGCAGAGTCTGTGAACAACACATTCGGTCGGACCGTCAATCCGCTAAATCGCAAGGTCACTTCTGGCGGCTCCTCAGGAGGAGAGTCTGCTCTCATAGCATTTGGTGGTAGCCCCTTGGGCATCGGAACAGACATAGTAGCGTCTCTCTTCCCTATCACACATCTGTGATTTCTAACAACACAAACAGGGCGGTAGTCTACGCATCCCAGCAGCATGTACCGGTATATTCACCCTCCGCCCCTCCTTCGGTCGTTTCACCACACAACGGTGTCGATCCGGTCTCGCGGGCCAAGAAGCAGTACAAAGTGTGAATGGGCCCATGGGAAAAACACTCGAGGATATTACCATGTACTCAAAAGCTATCGTTGACGCACAGCCGTGGAAGGTCGATCCAAAGATGCTACCAATCCCCTGGCGGCCAGCGGAACTTCCAAAGAAACTTAGGATAGCGGTGCTTTGGAGCGATGGTATTTGCTTACCCACGCCTCCTGTTACACGGGCGCTAAAGGAGACGGTTGAGAAGTTGAAGAAGGCTGGTCATGATGTTGTGGAATGGGATCCTAAGCTCCATGCGACTGCTCTGCAACTTCTGGTTCGTTTTCTGGAAGATTTACAGGAACTTGAGCTGACTGTTACAGGGACGCATGTTTGTCGCAGATGGTGGTAAGAGTGTTGAAGCGTTGCTTGGTATGACCGGTGAACCGTATCGACCTGAGATGCAACAGTACAAAGAAGCCAAAGAGTTGGGTGTCTACGAGATGTGGAAATTGCATACTGAGAGATCCGAGCTGCAGCGGCAGTACTTGGAGCAGTGGATCTCGATGAGTATTGACGCTATTTTGGGTAAGTTCAGCTGCTGCAACGATGCTATGGCTGGTACTGACGCTAAATAGCGCCTACGACTCCCTACTCCAGTGTGGCCCACGGTGACTTCAAGTACGTCGGATACACTGGCGTGTATAATGTCGTGGATTACGCAGCTGTGTCTTTTCCCTGCAAAGTATCTGTCGATAAGGCTATCGACAAGCATGTAGGTGATTATAAGCCTTTGAGTGACTTTTGCAAGGATGCTCATGATAGCTGTAAGTTACAACGTCTTGCAATTTATTGATATAAGTGGTGACTAAATTCTGACAGACAACCCCGAGCTACTACATGGCTTACCTGTTAGTCTTCAGTAAGTATAGAATTCGTGTCTCTGAGAATCATGTTACTAACGTCCTCAGATTGGTTGCACAACGACTAGAAGAGGAGAAGGTGCTTGCTATGACTGAAACAGTCTTGCAAGCTATACAATCGTAGAGACTTGGATTTAGAACACCAGACCTGGTTCGGGTGACTGAAGTTCGAGATGTGATAGTCACGTTGTGTTCCATGTTGACTGAAGACGCCATGGTTTTAGAACGCTCCTTCCCACGACACTCGCAAAGCTGCACCATCCTCGCCGCAGCATAAAGAAAGAGCGTGCATCTGCCAAAGAAGTAAACAAGCACTCATAGCATGAATTCTGCGTTTACAGTCCCAATACGATGCCATGCCCAGACCATCCTCATACATCCTTCACGTCTCATCGATATTACAACTAGATTCCTTAACTTCCTTTTGTTCCGTCGACTTGCTTGCGTCTAGCCGCAAGCAGTCGGTCGGCTCTTGTCGTCATTCATTCCATACTTCAGGCAGACCGCTGTCTTACTCGCCTACCGATCACCTTGAAATCTTCAAACCTCACGTCAGTGCTACACTAACCTGGCATAGCCACTCTCTTTCACATTACATGTGCCCTTGCTCTTCACTGTCCTAAAAAACTTTTCCTCTCTCAACATGGCTGTGCCCATTAGCAACGAATCGACTAGGTTATGCGCCCGCAACAAGCCCGTACGACGCACGACAGCGGAGAGACTTCCATGGCTAAACGGCAAGACCCCCAGAGCACCAAAGGTATCCGTGGATGGGCAGAACAGTGCATCAATGGGCAGCCAGCATGGTATATCTTGCGACGGGCAATCTAGCGCTGTGGAATCTCCCTCACCAAACGCCCGTCCCTCTAATCGCAAGATATCCATTAGCACCGCTTCCAACCCTGACGTGGCGGGCAAGCCATCAGTACGGAAGAAGACGTTAAGCCCCACAGCTGTATCGGTGGCCGGTAGTAGCCCATCGCCAGTAACCAGACATAGATTATCCCAGGCTCGGCGAACATCCCTTGCAACCAACACACTGCCGCCGTTAAAATCAGCACGTCGATCATCCATAGCACAATCACATGGACCACAGAAGAGACTTTCAGTTGTGCAATTCAAGGAAGACACGGATGAGATAGGATCAAATCCTCGCCATAATGTTCGTCCTCGCGCTGACAGCCTCGCTCCTATTCCTGATCATCTCGAGCATTCCAGCTCACCCGAGTCTGTCCGAGTGACGTTCCCGGGTGATGAAGAGTCCGCATCAACACCTCCTGCGGTCGTATCGCGCGTTCAAATGCCTCCCAATCAGCCAGTTCCAGCTCGCACTGCGTTTGGAAGAGCTACCAATAGACGGATAAGTAACGCAGTGAATGACCTGGAGCATATGGTACAAGAGGCCGTAGGAGTTGCCGAGGATACTCATGATCAAGATCAGGTTGAGGAGATATACGGAATCATCGAAGGAGCTCGGGGTGCACTCCAAGAAGCATCTGCTGAGCCTAGACATCTCATGGCCACTTCACTTCCACTGGAGGCATCCAGTTCCTCAAGTCCGGGTTACGTTGGTGGTCCGACACAGTACAATAATGATATCGCTCCCAATGTGCATCACGACCCTCATCAGCATAGAGGTTCTGTATCATATGATTGGGCCTACTCAAACAGGGCCGATCGAGGGAATGATGGGTCATCGACATCGTGCTGTGAAGACGAGGAAGATATCTCGGAACTGGGAACACGAAGCGATCTACTCCTACCAAAGCTCGTTCAATCAGCTCCACGAGAACACGTAGACTTCGTTCTTCGCCCGGTCGGCCGAGATGAGTCTCGCGGTCGACCGCGCGGACGATCTGCTGACGACATCGGAGTTCATCAACACCATCATCGCCATCGACGTCACAGAAGCCATGAACACACAGGGAGACCCAAGGCTCGACACCAGCAGACAGAATCAGGTTACAGCGAATTCGACTCTTCGTACGAGACTGGGGAACTGCTATCTCACCCATATGGAACCCAACTTGCGGTTCGAGAAGCACATCATCACACATTCAGTCTTCGACGTAATCACCGCAGACAGCCGATTGCGAGAAATTGGTCGAAAGGAAAGAAACGTTTGACTGCTAGTATTGCCTGTATCAACACAGCTCTGCTTGGGATTATCGTTGGGATATATGCGGGAGAGGTACCTCGGATACAGTACTCTCTTGCGGATGAACGACACATCACCATTATTGGCAATGCAGTCTTATATGCCGGGCTCGCTATATCGACTTTCTTCGCCTGGACACTACCTCTTCTGCATGGACGCAAACCCTACATCCTAACTGCCCTAGCAATTGCTCTACCGCTTCAGTTCCCCCAGGCCATCGTCGTCAGCGGCTATCGTAACAAAGATGCGAAATACCGTGTTGGACTCATGGTTTCACGTGCAGTATCTGGTCTCGTCCTCGGATTCGCAAATGTAAATTACATCACCGTTCTGCTCGACCTCTTCGGCGCGTCTTTACAATCCAAGAACCCACACCAAGAGTTCGTTGTTGTGAATGATGTGCGACGTCACGGGGGCGGAATGGGCATGTGGTTGGGTGTTTGGTCTTGGTGCTGGATCGGATCTCTTGCCCTAGGATTCCAGATTGGTGCTGCGATTATCGAGAATCTGACTCCCGACTGGGGCTTCTATATTGTCGTCATCATTCTCGCTATGTCACTGATTCTCAACATCATGTCGTCGGAGACGCGACGCGCACCGTACCGGAGATCGGTGACTGAGGTGTATGACAGGGAGGAAAACTACATCACCAGACGTGTGAGCAGAGGCGAAGTGAAGTTGCATATTGAAACCGAGGGACCGCAGTATTGGTTCCAAGAAGTTTGGGCTGGTATGAAGCTCATGGCTATGATGCTTTGTCAACCGGGATTCCTCGCCCTGGCGCTCTACGTGGCCTGGATATACGCACAGGTCGTGCTTGTCATTATTCTGCTCGGTGCGCTTCTGTCGCGAAGCTACCGCTGGAAGCCAGCAAAAGTGGGCGCGGGCGTCATGTCCATAGCCATTGGCGCTTTCCTCGCGATCCCCTTGACAAAAGCTGGAATCTTCTCCAGAGAACGCAAACGCGAATTCCGTACCGACTCGATGACATTCCAGAAACAAGTCACTTGGTCTAGCCATCTCGTCCGCCGCGCTGTCTTTACTCTCACACTCCCGCTGATGGGTATGGCATACACTGTCTCCTCAGCCGGGCGCCCTCAACCATATTTTGTGCCCATCATCTTCGCCGGTGCAGTAGGCTTCCTCAGTAACCTCGCCATAGCCGAGTGCTATGGCCTCATCATGGAGACGTTCGATACATGCGACTTGCAGCCTGGAGACAATACACGACATCGACTCCAAAGCATGGCCGTACAAGATCGCAGAAGAAGAACAAACTACACATCCTTCCCTCGTGTTACAGCCGGTATCTTCGCCACCCAAATCATCGGCTTCATCCTCGCTGCCGTGGCTACCTTGGTCGGTGGCAACATGACACGCCGTTACGGCGCACGCACATCCACAGGTGTAACAGCCAGCGTTCTCTTCGGCCTCACGATCCTCCTCATCCTTGTCCTCTGGCGCTTCAAATCCGTACAAGTGATACCAAACCACACCTTCGGTACCAGACGCGACACAGCGGCATGGGAGGAATTCAAAGAACTAGAGAAACTGGGCAGAGGGAACGATTGGAAGGCTGTAGTTATTGGTAATCCGAGTGGCAAGATGAGGAGTATGAGTGTGCTGGAGTTGGGTGCTTTGAGTCGGTGGACGGAAATTAGGAAGTTGAATTTTTTGATCAGTGGGGTTATGCTGGGGCAGGCGAAGGAGAAGAAGAGGGGGGGTAGGGAGAGTTGGTAGTGAGAAGATTGAATAGAAGTGGATAGTCTGGGTGGGTAGGGAAGGCGAGTATGATGTTGGAAAGTAGGAGTTGTGATAAGACCAAATTATACCTATGTTTCATGAGGCTGCTTTGTGGATTGATATCATGCTCTCACGTGCCAGTTTCGGTTCGTAGGCGTAGTTGAATGTTTGTGGAGTTGTACCATTTCAACAATTGGGAGCAGTGTAAGTTGATATACAGGCCATGCTGGCGGTATTTACTTCAGCGAGAAATTCCAAAAAAGCGAAATCTTTTGAGGCTCGTGATTACAAATTTTTCTTAGATGCCGTCTGGTGTTGATGTTGTCGTGACGCTCTCCTGAGCCATCCGACAAGCGCGCACGGCCCGCTCGGAAAAATCGTCACCTCTCTGCCCGAGCTCCATTCAACCACACGAGCAGACGACCGGCGACCACCCATCTCCCCTCCCTCAATCAGCATCAGGATGTCTCTCGCTGCATCACGTGCCGTATTACGGCAATCGACGTTTGCCGTCCGCCGCGCTGGCATCCGCAATGCCTCCACAACCGCCGAGGCCACCAACGCGGTAAAGGACACAGCGTCAAAGGCACAGTCAAAGGCATCAGAGGGTCTTACCAAGGTCACAAGTTCGGCGAGCTCTGCGGCGTCAAGCGCTGGCTCCGCTGTCAACAATGCGTCGCAGCAAGCCACCGGACGAGTAGGACGCATGGTTAACTTTGTCCAAGGTCAGTCATACACACTTTGTGGAGGGGGAGCGGGCGACCAGGTGGCGTGTGTAGAATTGTGCGCCCCGGAAAGAGGGGGAAAACAATCTGATGAGGCTCAATGGCATGACTAGTGCGCTCTACATGGCTTATCAGGTGGAGCGGGCACCGCACTGCTACTCGCGCTATAAGGGCTCTCAGAGATGGCGATGCAGGATACCAAGTTTGACATGAATGGAGTATTGACATATCACAGGACTGGTTCCCAAGGCCACATACTACGGAAGGGTTGGACTCGAGCTCGGCAAGCTCATTGCCCACCAACGAAGCATGCAGCCCCCGTAAGCCTCCCAACAACATGGCAGACTGTCAATCTGTTGCATGGAGCGAAGTTTACTAATAATCTCTAGATCTGTACAGACGATGCAAAACTACATCCAGCCCGCATTGAACGCCATCCGCAACCCCAGCACTCTCTTCAACCGCGTCGCCAGCGAGGCCAACAGCGCCGCCCAGTCACCCGCTAACGTTCTCCAACAAGTCCGAAACATGCCCCGCGAACAGTGGTACTCGATGGGTGTCGTTGTGGCCGAGGTCATTGGTTTCTTCTCGGTAGGCGAGATCATCGGCCGATTCAAGCTTGTCGGCTACAGGACGAAGAGTGACGACCACCACTGAGTGCGTTGAGTCTGGAAAAACTACGATACGAAATTCACACATGCATTGGGGTTAGAAGTAGTGAGAGGGAAGCGGGGAGGATGGGACGAGGAAACACTGTACGATTTCGCGGCTGATGAGCTAAGCAAGTGTGTTTGCAGTGCATTCGGGATGGCTGGGATCCGATACTGTATACTGCACATACATCTGATTTAGATTCCATTTTCTCCATGTGCAATTCTTGGCAATGCTTCTACTTCAGCACAATGTAGTGTTGGCCCATGCTGTGAATGAGAGGTGATCGGCACTAGTTTGGCCGAACGCCGCGGCCCAGTTATTTTTTGTGCAGAGTACTGAACTTTTGCAACCGCGGCCGGCTTACACGACGCGACGCTACAGAGGGTGTAGTATAAGACCCGCTGGATTGACTACTGCGTGCACAATCATCCCCATGAACGTCTTCAAGCTCCTTTCGCGATCGTCAAAGGCGGCGCAAAGCTCGCCCGCGCAAAAGCTTCCTTCCTCGGGCGCCGCCGCCAACCCACAGCTGTTTGGCCATGATGAACCAGAAAAGCCGTCGCAAACCTCAGATACGAGTCGGAAACGGAAGCGAGGGCAAAATCTTGCAGATCCACCATCCAGTCCAACTGCATTGCCCGCAGATCTCGACTTCTTTGGTGGGGGCGCAAGCAAAGACACCGAGAGTAACGGAGATGGGCTGTCCAAGAAGCAGAGGAAGAAACTGAAGAAGCAAGAAATACAGGAGCAGGCGGAGTTGGAAAATGTATTGGACGAGATAGAAGAGGAGCCATATAATGTGGACGAGTGCAAGAGGATACTGCGTTCGCACAAACTGAAGGTTGCTGTGCTAGAAGACTTTGCGCCGAAAGCAGAAGAGCCGCGCTCAGAGAAGAAGTCAAAGAAGCGGAAGAAGGAGAAGGATATCAAGGAGAAGAAGAAGGAAGCACACAAGGCACTCTACCCCCCGACCGCTCACATCGTTTGCGCAACTACGGACTCAGTACGGTATATCGAGACGTCTGGCAGAGAACATAGCGGAGCAGGGATACAAGCTGCCTACTGAGGTTCAACTTGGAGCATTGCCACTGTTATTGGGAAAGAAGGGACGGAGTGAATCGAACGATGCTTCGCAGGAAGCCGAGAGCACTTCGGGCGCAGAATACAACGGGGACATTGATCTTCTGACGGTTGCGCCTACGGGTAGCGGAAAGACGATAGCGTTCCTCATACCCATTGTCAATGCGCTACTTTCCGAGGGCAAACCTGCAGATGGCCAGCAAGGACCGCGCGCTATAGTTCTTGCCCCTACACGAGAGCTTGCAGCGCAGATTGTCAATGAAGCGAGGAAACTGGCAAAGGGCACAGCAATAAAGGCTACGCTTATGAGAAAGGGCATGCAAGTGGTGAAAGAGTCAGATAGTGCGAACGATGATGTAGTAGGGTCTGCATCCGAGAATGAGGATGATGAATCTAGCTCCGATGAAGAGGAACAGGCAGAACCGAAGAAAAAGCAGGCAGGTCGACGAGCAGAGCTTGTAAAAGCCGCCATCCTCGTAGCAACGCCTCTCGCCATACTCAACGCTCTAAAGCGCAGAGATGGCACCGTCGCGAACCTTCCCAGCGTGTCCCAACTCGTCCTTGACGAAGCCGACGTCCTCCTCGACCCTCTATTCCGCGACCAGACTCTCGCTCTCTGGAACGCATGCAGCAACCCCAAACTACGCATCGGCCTCTGGTCAGCAACAATGGGCTCCAACATCGAAAGTCTCACAATCTCCACCCTCAACTCCCGCTGGACCACCCTTTCCTCATCCCAGCTGTCCCTCCCCCCACGACCCCCGCTCATTCGCCTCGTCGTCGGTCTCAAAGACTCAGCCATACCAAACATAACCCACCAACTAACCTACGCGGCAACCGAGCCCGGCAAACTCCTGGGCCTCCGGCAACTCCTCCACCCAACAGCCGTATCCACCAGCTCTACACAACCCACACTCCGCCCCCCTTTCCTCGTCTTTACACAAACCATCCCCCGCGCCATCGCCCTGCACTCCGAACTCCTCTACGACATCCCCCCCGAAGCCGGCGGCAGCACCCGCATCGCCGTGCTTCACGCCGACCTCTCGTCCTCCGCCCGCGACACGATAATGACGCGTTTCCGCAAAGGCGAAATCTGGGTCCTCATCACCACGGACCTACTCGCCCGCGGCGTAGATTTCCGCGGCTTAAACGGCGTGGTGAATTACGACGTCCCTGCTTCCGCGGCCGCGTACGTGCATCGTGTAGGTCGGACGGGGCGAGCGGGACGGGAAGGTGGCGTTGCGGTTACGTTTTACACAGAAGAAGATATCCCGTATATTCGGCTTGTGGCGAATGTTATCAAGGCGTCAGAGAAGCTGAGAGGTAACGGGGGTACAGAGGGCGAGGGGAGCGTGAAACAGTGGATGCTGGATGCGTTGCCGGTGCCTAGTAAGAGGGATAAGCAGACGCTGAAGAGGAGGGGCGTTGAGGCGAGACGGAAGGGGAAGGAGGGGGGTAGGATTAGTAGTAAGAGTGGGTATGATAGGAAGATTGAGAATATGAGGAGGGGGAAGATGGAGAAGGTAAGGAGGGAGAAGAGTGGTGCTGGTGGGGGGAAGAAGAAGGATGAGAAGGATGAGGGTAGTACTGGTGCTGGTGGCGAGGAGAGCGGGTTTGAAGGGTTTGAGTAGGAGGGTGTAGTGTAGAGAGGGTGTAGTGTAGAGAGGGTGTAGTGTAGAGAGGGTGTAGTGTAGAGAGGGTGTAGTGTAGAGAGGGTTTTATGCTGGATAAAATTAGTTTCTTTCGTGGTATTTGATATCCACATGTGTTATCAACTCAATATTCACATTTCATTCTAGCCTTGTTCTCCCCTAGCCCAGCTTAGCTCTTTAATCAGCCAGCCAGCCACATTCTCTATAAGACGTATAACACATCCGCCTAAACCTAGATTAAATAAAAACCTTCACGTAGCGTATTAATGCTTATCCTGCTAGTCCCCTCTGTCTCCACTTACTCACCTACCTCCATCAGACCTCCTCGCCTTACCACACACTTCCGTGCGTTACTTACATATTTCACTTTCCCTGTCACTCCCATACCTCGCAGTCCTCTTCATACACGTCCTAGTGCACACTCCAGGAACAACATGAATGGTAATAGTGGTGGTAGAAAATTATTATGAGATTGCATGTATACTTCACTGTCCTGCTAGTCTTTTCTCGTCTTTGAGGGAGGTAAAGGTATGGGTGGGGTAAGGGTGAGGGAGATAGAGAAGAAGAAGAAAAAGAAGAAGAAGACAGAAAGAGAGGGAAAAGAGAGAGTGTGTGTGTGGGGGGGGAGGGTGTTATGCAAGGCAAAGGCAAAGGGAAGGAGAAAGGGAAACTAAGAAAAATGGAGATTTATGCGAGGTTTTAGGTGGGTGGGTATGAATGAACAAGGTCACCTAGGTGTACATAAGACACTTGACAGTATAGGGTGGTAAGCATCTAACAGGCGTTATATGCCGACTACAGTGGCGCTTTTAAAATATTTATGTCAAGTATTTCATAACATCTAGGTGAGGTAAGAAGGGAATAGAGGCATGCGAAAAAGGCGAGTTTGCGAGTTCCTTTACAGAAATGAAAATACCAGGATAGTAGCAAAAGTGTTGTTTTCTTCCTTCTTTTGGACTATAGACGGACAGTTGTGTTACGGTTAGCGTAGGCATGGAGGCGGTTTAGGAGTGAGTAATGGTACGAGATATATATAGCGTGACAAGCTTTTAGGAAGACAGGACGGGCGAAGAGAGATGTTTGGATACATAGATATATATAGACAAAGACAAGTAACGCGTAAAAAAGAGTTATAGGGATTAGATCTAGTACATTAATATCAACGGTGTTGATACGGCAAAGGTGAGGTTGAATCAAGTAACGGTCGTTGCAACGAGTTGAAGTAGATGGTTATGATTGATTAGAGGAGGTGGGCTGCAGCTCGCGTACGAACTGAATCCCACCCCACGGCACGGGCCACGCACGTAGTCACGTGCTCGCCACGTACGTACGGTGGCTCGAAACTAAGAGCAACCAACAAACGGTAAAGTCATGTACCTAATCCCAGGACGAAGAAATGCCATAATAACAACAGCCAAGCCAGCTCCATACACCCTAACCCCTGGAAAAAATCGAAACCATCTACCCACCACAACAGCAACCCCTCTCAATCTCTCAAAATTCTCACCCCTTCAACCCCTCCAACCCATAAGCCTCAACCCCCGCCCCCCACCAAGCCTTCTCCCTCTCCTTCTCCGCCATCCCCACCTTGTCCATCCACGCCTCCACCACATCCCTCCAGAGGCCCCAATTCCCCTCTTCACCCGCGGGTCCCCCGACATTACAAACCGGCCAATCAGAGCCAAACATGACCCGCTGGGGGAAGCAATGGAACGCATGTTCAAAGTAGGGGGTCAGAGCGGATAGTAGCGTAGGGACGTCAGCGGGGGTGGGCTGGTTATCGAATTCGTTGAGGGCACCTGAGAGTTTCATGTAGATGTTTTTGTCGGGGGAGAGGGTTGAGAGGGCGGATAGCCAGCGGGGGTTTGGTTGGTTGCTTGATGTTGTTGATAGGGGGGGTTTGGCGAGGTGGTCTGTTGGTGTGATGTTAGTTTTGCTGTTTGTCTTCTGATGCCGTGCTATAGTACAAAGGGGATAAGGAGACTTACTCAGCACAAACTTCACACGTTTACCGTCAGCATCCTCCCTATCTTCACGCGCTCTCACCCTCTTGATTAACAAAGCCACGGCTTCCATAGGTTCCACTCCATCCCTATGCGTATCAACACCAACATCGAAACACCACGCGTCGCTCGTTCCCTCCAGCGCTTTTAACGCACAAAGGTTACTTTCCCACCATTCCCCCTGCTCTTTTAGCATTTTACTCACCGCGCCGTCTCCTTTCCCCTGGAGCAAATATCGAAACCCTGCGACCTTGCTCCACAACTTCTCTCCCGCAACATCCTTTGCGATTGCCAAATACTCGTTGAAAACCTTGGGAGAAAGGTGAAAAGGTGCATAAATCACGCATCCAAACATGCGGTTTCCATGCTCTTGCATGAACCCATCGCCTTCTTCTGGGGTACCCTCGGCAATTCGTCGCAGGAATCGCAGCTCGTCCAAAGGCTCTTTGGCCCATGACTCCAGCTCTTTGCGGATTTCGGAAGAGCTGGCGCTATCTGGAATGTTGGGTTCGGCGCTGGGGAGCCGACGATCGGTTTCTACGTATATGAAGCCTTGGGGTGGGGGCGAGGTGATGGCTAGGTAGTCTGAGATGCCGTGACGTTTAGCGAGAATGTTGCCCCGCGTCATCCAACTGTGATTCGAAGATGAGGTAGCTGTCGAGGGCCACAAATGGATATGTGTGTCTAGGATTTGCTGGGGAGCCATGATGAATGGGTGGTTATGGTTGTTTGTGCTTGTAGAATGGTGGATGCTGTGGAATTGGGTTGTTTCTGCAGGTACGATAATATTCAGTTGCGCTTGCCTTGCTCTACATGATTAGGGTCGCGTGAACTGCTCTGTTTTGCTATGCCACGAGACGAGGCAATCTTGGGTGTTCGGTGGTCGGGATAACGGTACCCGAGGGTTAATGTATTTAGGCGTCCGCCAATTGTTTTGCTTTCGTCGTTATTACGACATGGTGACAACTATAGCCGTTTTCGAGGTTTTTCAGATGGCTCGAGACTAGAGTATGGGTCTCCAGAGAGGGACGGATAGCTATGCGGGGAATGGAGGGACTGGAGGTAAAGGACATGGTGCTAGCTTATGCCAACGAATACCTGGTCTACAATACGGCCTTTGCTCGTAAACATCGTGTCCTTGTTTACCTTGACCATGTTGGGCTGGTGAGAGTTGATACATGTGTTCGTCTTGGTTCATGATGGCGTACCGGCTACAGCGCCCGAACCGCGAATGTATTTCAGTGGTAATTGATTGTTGGTGCATACGCAGAAGTATCGTCGATTTGGAGCCACACAATGCAAATTGAAGCCTATCGGCTATGCACCATGCATGTGGCTGTTGGCGTCGACGGAGCATCAGTTCTAGACACATGCGAGAGTTGCCTCTTGGCATCACAATCGAAACGCCATACATACCGAATACAACCATAATACTACATACTCGAATGCGAGGTGCTGTAGTCGCGCATCCTACTGTACGCACGATGCCAAATTGGAAATGACTCCAAAGGGCAGCTCAGCAGGAAAGCAGGCAAAATGATAGGCGGCTAGTCGTCCCGCGCCTCGCAGCCACATAGGACAGGTGTCCCGTCCAGAGCGGCGCCTGTGAGGTCTCGCAGAAATGTGGGGTAATGGCAAGTACGGATTCTCGTACCAATATACTTTCGCTTGGAAAGCGAGTGCGGGCGGCATCGACCCTGGAGCTATTTGTGCTGGCGCGTTGGCTGGAGCACGGTTGTGCTCATGCTCGTTATCGTCAAGTAATTCCCGAAATGAGAGTGGAAGCGAGGGAGGGGTAAGCGGAGCAAAGAGGCCCGATTAAGACGCGCCGAGTAAGCATCCCGCAGCTCAACAAACAGAAAGAACAAGTTGATCCGTGAGGCTCTGCTACGTACAGTATGTCACGCCCAGTGCCGATGGGGGCTTGACATGTGATGCGAAGCCGGTGCTTACTGCCATCTGCATTTGCCGACCGTTTGGTATCGGCACAACGCAGTATGCACGACAAAAGTTGCTCGCGCCGATTTTCAGCCTGTGAGTGCGAGAGTAGGTCCAGGTTTTTGAATTCCCCATATTTTAGCCACTCCACCTTTGGTAAGCAAGACCCTCTGTTTCCACACGAGCGCGTCTACGGTTGGACCGTCGATGTTGGGACGTCTCCATATCACCTCATCACTTGTTGCGAACGTGCGCCATGGCACAAATTTGCGATGCACTAGGGAATTTTCGTACCCACACCTTGGTTTAGCCGTGGTAGACGGAATCTGACACGGGGAGTGGTGTGCAAGTGCAAGATCGATACGGCTTTACGGCACCATGGTAGCAACAATAGATGACGTTGAGAATGTTTGCATGGTGACTCGTGCGGCATCATATGCCTAAATTTACGACCAAGGGCAGAAAGGCTAACCGGCTGTTTTGGCATTAATTGACACCAAGGTGAGTAAGAGGGTGGGGTGAAAAGTCTGGATGCAGCCAAGTTAGCCGTGAGTGTGGAGAATACAGGCCAGACCCTTGCAGCAGCCACATACCGAGTCAGCTCCCAGCTCAGTCACACTGCACGACATTTTAGTGCGGCATAGTACAGTATGCTGCTGTGGAGTAGAGGTACGCGTTGCGGCTCGCTCGGGTTAAGTGGCCGACAGTCAATGATGCTGTGTAGGGTAGGTTTTCCAGGTCAAGGACGTGGAGATGCGGCTGTGGATCGATTGTGGCTGTGGTGGCGCGAGATTCTGACGTGCAGAAATGCAGGGACTTGCCGTGGGCGTGGGCATTTGCACAAAGTTAATTGACGAGGCCGTGGCTGGGCAAGCAATGGGTAAAGGGTACGGGCGCTTGACGATATTATGCGACTCTGTCAACATTCAAGATCGACGAACGACGGGAAAAGCAATCACTCAAGCTCGGGAACTTGGTTAGCGCTGTCTGGATCGGGCGTGATCGGATCCATCCCAACTAGATACCAAGGTAGTACCGAGCCCGCCGCTGCTAACAAGGGTTTTGGGAAAAAACCCACCTATATCTCTCTTGTTATGCGACGCGCAATCCACAGGCTGGAAGCCGCGACGTTGGGCTATGACGATGATGTCTCGGCTGTTCAGCCAGGCATACCCCACGTACTGCACCTCTTCGGCGCTTTAGTGTGCCTGAGCCGATGTAAAGGCGACCAGCCTGAGACCAGGCGACAAGGCGACCAAGATGTGGATCAAAATCCTAGTTTCGGTGCATTGTCCATGAATATGTCGCGAAGACATGCAGTCACGTGCCCTTTGTCCCGTGGGCGCTTGGAGACGTCGCGAAATTTCCCGCAAGTGATGGGTGGCCGGGCAAACCCGTGCGCGTGCGGTCAAAGCGAAGTGCCTGACTCGACAAGATTTGCAGCTCGTGCTTGGTCTTGCCGCTCGATCTCGGTTCACGACCGGCACGGCGCGAGCGCTATCTAAAACCCATCCAAGCTTCAGATGGCATAGTCGTCGCGACAGCCTGTCATCTCTGGAGGTGTGATGTCGTTGTATAGCGTATTTGGCCAGTTTGGCATAGGTGCTGGAAGCGGATGGTCATGTGACGCCTAACATTACAAGCGTGTGCATCTGACTGCATAAGTCGAGCGTCCAAGATCTGTCCGAACCCCCGATCTTCATAGCGCTGTGGTATGAAACATTCCTCAACATCGGGGTCGGCGTCCATGAGCTGATCGCAAAACATACGATATGCCTCACGCTCAGACTACATAGTGGGCAGGCCTGGACCTTGTGCAAAGCCTAGATGTTCGATGTCGTCACAGGCATGGGGGATCCGCACGTATAGTAGACCAGTGGCCGCTGCTGGCTAGGAAGATACATAGGCCAGGTTAGCTATACATCCTTGCCATCGTCATCCTCACCGTGTTTGGCGGTAGTGCATCCCACTTTGGCAAAGGTACCATTGACTGACATTTCCTGTTGCATCTACAGGTGCGCCCACTTTAGTAAATCTGTCTTTTTCCCCATAAAGGTCCGAAGCATGACTCCTAGAGGAAGGATAAAAGCTAGGCGAATGAATCTCTGCATTTGCTTGTCTCGAATCCCGACAGCGTGTATCGCGCGTGGAGCGAGATGTGCAGAGTTTTCGCCTTGGACCCAAGTGCGTGGGCGGCCATTTAGCAACGGACAAGCAATGACAAGCGAAAAAAACAAAAAAACATGTGTGCGCATGCAAGGACTGTGATTGCCATGCTGCTCGAGCAGGACCATGGCACCAGCACAGCACATGCGGGATGCAGCCATGTTGCGCCATCTCAAGCAGTCTACGGTATTAGGTAGATTGACAGCAGCCATGTCATCTCGATCAAATGTCTTGACTGCCGAAAAGGCTAGCATGTGGCGCGCGCCCAGGCTGCACCTGAGCACTTGGAGGACTTTGATCGCCGCCGGTACCAATGAAAATGTTCCGTCCGGTGTTGGTGAGTGCTTCCTAGCATACGAGAAAGCCGGACTAGGTTGGTTGTCTAAACTCATCTTGCAGCGTGTTGCATCGGGGATCCGGGCCACGTTGGCCTGCTCGAGGCAAGCACTTTGCAGAGGCTACGTACTTTGGTGCCAGTCCCCTTGTATGTACATGCTGCAACTGCTGGGAGCAGCATCAAAAGGCAGTTATGACGAGCAGTGGAGAAGGGGAAGCGGCGTCGCGTGGTCGACGCCATTTTAGCGCACCCAGCCTGCCTTTGGGCACACAGGCCTGCGGGAGCGGGATGACAAGCATAAGGTTTTGACAAAGGGTCTGTTTGGATTTGCTGGCTCGCTAGAAGACCAGGGCTCATGCATCTGTCATCCGTCATCGTAATTCAGACGACGCGTAACAAGTCGTGTTGTGGTGGGAGATGAATTTGCCGCAACGCACGATGATGTTGGCTGAGGGCGAGCGCGATGCAAGTGCGCATGAGAAGTTCGGCGCCGGCACGGTTTCCCTGAAGCTCCAGCTAGGCCGTGCAGCATGCGGGCCCGCTTCAAAAGACGTGTCGGTTGGTGGCATGGGCATGGACATGGCGACTGAGAAGCCCCCCCCCCCCCCCCCCCCCCCATGGACTTGTCAGCGCCATCGGAATGTGACTGTGACGGAGCAGACGCAATGCTCATCATGACCCATCTGCACATGCATGGCAGAGGTTGCTTCCGCCGCGACAGCGTAACGTTAGCCGTAGCCGTAGCCGTAGCCGTAGCCGTAGGCGCAATTGGCGACCATGGCCGAAAGCGGAGATACGAAGTAGTTCCGAGACAGACGAGGTGAGTGGGTAGTGGGTTTTCCAATCGAGTCCGTAGTCCGCATCCCGTAAGCCGAGGGCTACCTAGGTTAGGTACACGCCATTTTTCGCACCTGCCGTCTTGGAGTGGTTCGTCGGTTGTATTGCCTTGCCTGTTGATGCTGCTGGTAGTCTCTCCGTTGTTGATAACGTGCCGCTATTGTCGTCGATGCGGCCCAGACTCTACAAACGAGCTTTGAAGCCGCCAGGTCGATGTGGGTGATGGTTCGCGCTATACGTAGTAGTCCGTGGGGCGCGGGTAAGACGCCTAAGACGGCTGACCGGGGTCTCTGATTTATCATGTGGTGTGTTTACCCAGTGTTGCGCCTTTTGGACAGGTGTTGAGCGCCGCCCTATCTATCTTTGTAACCCCTTGCCTACTGTGTGTGTGTATGTGTGTGTGTGTGTTGCGTGCTACGTGCTGCGGGATATGTGCGGCCTTGGCCGCGTCGTTGCGCCTTCTCGCTCGTTACGCCTTCTCGCTCGTTGCTCGGGGAACGAGTGGGTTGCGGATGCTGTGGGTCCGCGAGCACAAAGTGGAAAGCTCGACCTTGAGACCAAGGGAAAGCGCCATCCGGCTGGTGCAAAGCGCGACACACGAGAGGGCGGCCAACGGCAACAAGGCCGACTGAAGAGTAAGCAGTAAGCATCGAGCATCGAGCATCGAGTTAACAGAAATGTCATTATGACTTTTTGCATAAACTACACGGTTGGGTATTGACCAACACTTTGCCCAACGCTGCAAATTCGACCTGGGCTTCAACGCCATAACGCCATGCAACCAACCGGGCCCATTTTTGGTATCCGAGAGCTGCCACGCTCTATAGTGAGAAACAACACGATGCTGCTCTACCTCCCATGCGTCTAACATTGCCGCATCAAAAATAAAAACCGTGGCTCGAGGCCTAGAATGCTGACCAAAAAGTGGAAACTGTCATCTAATTCATCATTGGAAATCCCGCACCGCGTTCGCGAAGCACGCGACCGCCGGGCGGAGGCGTCAGAGGGGGAGTAATCGCCGCCATCGGCGGAATGGGCAACATCCTTATGTTGTCGTCTGCATCGGCGCCTTCGCGCGTACCCCAAGTGGTCTGATCATGACATGTTAGCCGTCGAACTTGGAAGCGCACGGAATAGGGGGAGCCAGCATACCTCGGTGACTGTGATGCAGCCGTAGAGTTTGATCAGGTTGTGGAAGTAACCAAACAGAATTGAGACCGGGACAAAGCGGACGTCGCCGGGATTTCTTAATAAATGCGGGACAAGCTTAATCGTCTTTGCGAAGATCCAGTGTGCCAGGAACAGGGCCCAAAAAAGTGTGCGCTGCCATTTCTCCGAGTGTGACATCTTGTCATCCTCGACGGCGTAGTAGCCTGCCTCGGATAGAGCAAAGTATACGGATGCGACCAGGGCGCAATCGAGGAGAAAGGCCCATTGCGTAAGCGTTGTCTGAAAGACGGCGTAGAGAGACCATGGGTAGTTCTGTGGCGCGCACATGATTAGCACAGGTGCACAGGCAAGTCGGCGCAGTTGAAAAGAGGGGCTTGGCTTGGCGCCGTCGGGGCACAAGTTTTGTGCAAATATTGAAAACTAGCTGAACTCACCATCCACATGTAGCCTTCCGTTAGACTGGTCAGGTTGCTCCTCCAATTAGAGCGCACCCATCGGAGGCATTGACGAAGGTACTTTGCGTCGTCTTCGAGCGTCGTCTCGACCTCGCATTCGCGGTGGTTCTGCATCTGGATCTTCCAGTTGTGCGAAAATAACCAGCGGGTGATGAAGTTGTCGTCGTCTGCGTTTAGAAAGTGATCGCTTCCCCATGTTTCGTGTGTGAAGCCGTATGTGAAGTTTGGGTCCTGTAGGATTTCGGATCGATAGGCGACAGCCCGACCCGACAGACACGGCAGCCCTCCGTCTATCCAGTTGCAGGCAGTGCAGTCAAAGTTTCTCCTGACAAGGTAGATAGCACCTAGGAACTCCCAGATGCTTGACCGGTTGAAGCGGCGGATTTGCTGGTTGGTGCCCACACCTCCGACCCTGGGGTCTTCAAAGGGGGCCAGAATCCATTTTGTGAACTTTTCGGGCAGCCATACATCGTCGTCAAGCAAGAGTGTAATCTTGGTCTCAACTTCCGGGATAGCCCGACATAGTTGTCGACGCTTGTTGGCTTGGCTGACGGACAATACCTGGATGGTCTTGGGGCTCCCCAGCTCTTCAACCATTTGATACACGCGTTTTACCCGAGAGTCGGGCGTCACGAGGAGAAGCTCAAGGGGCTCGAGCCGATATGCGCTCTGGACCGTCTCTTTCAACTGCTGGAGATCCTCGGCAACGGTGGGGATGATGACGGTCATGTCTTTGGAAGTAATGGTCGGGTCGTCGACGGGCTGGATGGGTGTGTATGTCCAGTTGCTCGCGAGGTTGACCCATAGTCTGACATATCGAAACAAACTGTGGTAGCGAGTCAGTGTCGTCGGCGTGCGGGGACGGCAGTCTGGGACAGGCCGCAGCGGGAGTTTCGACATACAAAAGCGCCAAAAAGATACAGAACCAACTCCAATTAGGGAACAATGCTAACGAGAAGGGAAACATTGCAACGGCCAACGAGCGTGGTAGTACAGAACGTGGACTACGACGGTGGACGGTAAACGAAGATCACATCGAATGGTGGGAGTGAAAAGCCGCTTGCATCGGGGAAGCAGCGGAAGTGACAGGTATTTAAACACATGCTTGCCAGCGGGCTAGGGCGGCGAGGTCATGTTTCGCTTCCCGGCGCTGTTTAAGCTGCATGAGATTCCCTTAGCAGACTTTGGGGTAGTGTGAACATGGCTGGAGCATGAGGTAGTTGCGAAATTCCAAAGGAGACCAGGGGTGGGCCCAAGTCGGGAATAGCAGCTGCGCCCACTGAGCTCGAGCGTCATGCTTGGATCCCGCCAGCCGTTGAATCGCTCGCATATTCCTAGGCACCCTAGACGCAGCGCCTTCAGGGATCGACTGCACCACAGTGCCAGGTGCGTTGCTGACCAGGGCCTGAAGTGCAACCGCCCCGCGGCCGCTCCGGTGCTTTTGCGGATGGGGGCACGAGACAGCACGACGCCTCCCCACTCTATCCCACCACAAAGTGAGCGTCTACCGTCGACCCTCGCAAGTCTGAAAAAAAAGTGGCCACAGCTTGGGGGGCACGGCGCCGTGCGATACGCTGCCGACGCGCGGGCTGAAGACGATGCGGCTGATGATCGAATGGTGGATGGGTCCTGGTCAATAAGTCGACAAAGTGACCCCGCTTGGCGTGAGACCAACTGAGATCCATCCACTGGCTCTAGGCCTGAATTGCGCACTTCGCTTTACTATGCGCTAGCCGCTGCAAGCGGACTCTAGTCTCTAGCAACTCTAGCAGCCGTGGCGCAATACCGTAGCAGTAGACCGAATAGGCGCTTGGGAGGGTCTGATGGCGGCAAGCACAAGCACAAGGGCTAGGGCTCGGGCTCGCCTCTCTCCTCTCTCTCTATCTCCAGATTCCGCTCCTACATGCTTCCGGCACGGCTAATTACCAATACCTGCTACTACCTACCTGCCCATGGTCCAAAACACACAACCGCAACACTCAATGAGAGCCCGCCCTCTACTGCCGTCCACTCATGCCCGCGTCTGGCCAACGGGAATTTTTCCATACCACCAAATCCCAAACTTAATTAACCCGGGTGCTGCCATGTCATGTGCTTCGCCCGTCGGGGCTACAACCAAGCCACTCCGTCCCCCAACCACTAACCGACTAAACATGTCGTACATTGGCCCATGGCCTCCTGGTCGGCCACATTGCCATATTCAGCACCTCTCGCACTGCCATCATGCTTTGGCTGTAATCAATCCAACTGTGCCGCTGCGGCCAGCCGAATCCAAAGGTACCTGCACCGGATCAAGAGCAACCTGGTCCGTGTCCGCTCCCACTCACCCTTCACGTTCATGTACGACCGCTGCAGAGACGGGGTTCCTACCATGCTCTTGCAGATCCAGTCTTCGGCCCGCGGAATCACATACGCGCGCCCAATGGCCTCTCTGCTAGCCATGTAGACGGCTTGCTCGTGCATGCTGCATGTAATTAATAACGGTGGGTGGGTGTCCATTATGGGTCATGACAGTTGGCGCTTCCCTGCATGGAAAACCTACCTTTCTACCGCCTCGTAGACATGCACATTCCACAGTCAGCCTCCAGGCCAACACACCCGTCTTTGGTCGTGAGTCCTCTGTACCAACTCTGCTACATGGCAAGCTCGTTGTTTGGTGTATGTCAACCAATATCCCGTCTCTTCACGTCAGCACCCGAAACCCTCTAGTGCCAATTAGACCATTTGCTGTCCTGGGTAGCTGGTCATGCGAGACACTCTGACACGACGAAGATCTCATCGCCTAGGTACAGCTGCCAGAACCCATCTGGACATTGCGTCATTCAACACAAGGCGCAGGGACGACGATGATCCTCCGCGTATTCGCGGGATTAGTTGCCGCTTCCTCGCGAGACCAGAGCCGTTTACTTGCGGCTGTGCGCTTCTGTAGCATGAGGCCGATAAATTGACCGCGTGTAGAACTTCAGGCATACTCCCCCGGTTGCTAGCTGCCTTCTCCTGTGGCCATCATGGCAAACTGATGGGATTTCCTCGTTTTCGCTCGAGAATCAGTGACATGCTACACCGACCCGAGCTGTTGGCATCCACCCGGCGAGGGTCCATGCAGCTGGATGTGGTCATGGCCTGCTGTGAGGCTCTGCAGTGAGCCGCATGGTGCTTGGCTCGCCTGTCAGTATAGGACGGCCTTCGACCCTGACATTGGAAGCACATTTCACATCTAGCCAAGAGATCTGCGGATGCTTTTTGCTTCTCCTACACTCCCATCCGACTTTGCCATAAACATCACCATGCGCATTCTCCATTGTTTAGCTGGAAGATAGTCGCAGGATATGTGCAGGGAAGCATGCACACTCAGGCACTTTGCTTGACCCCATGTGGACTTTGAGTTAGGTCAAAGATCATTGGAATGACCTTTCGGGTCCAGGACCGCTCGCGGCTAAATGAGCTAGCAATTACTATCGACTTCATTCCAATGCCGCAGATCATGCTGGTTATTAGCAATCTAGTGTTTCCACAACTTCGCAGTGCAACACCCAAGCCGTGTAATGAGGCCATGTCGAATCTTGCTTTGAGGAGGCTGCTGGCCTGAATGGGCAGCGGCTGGCATTCCTCACACCCCGGAATCAAGTGGCGTTTGGTTAGCGGGATGCAAAACATTGATCGAGACTACTCTTTCACCAACGGCACTGTTGTTGATTGAGTAGTAAGCCTAGGGTTCCCTGTACCCAGGGTTGCACACTTGGCGAAACTCGAATTGTGGCGCGACATCCACGCCATTTGTCAGCGACACCAAGGCATGCAGTTCCTGTGAGGTTAGACGCTCGTCCCAAGCGAAGGAGTAGTCGCGATACAAGCAGATAATGGTAAATTTAGGTCGCGAGAAGCGGCTTAGTGACGGTAGTGGTTGCTGGTGGGCAAGCTACATTGGTACGATCGACAGAAGGCCCTAGCGCGAATCCATCACATGGATGCCTTACTTATCTTACACCCTCCACCCACACCAGATCTGTGCTAAACAGCGCATACAGCCAAGCGCAGACACACATGGTAAACACCGGAGCTTATAGTGAGCAGCATATTGCAGCAGTGCCGCACGAGTGTCGGCACGGGGGCCAGGGTTATGGGAATCATCCCTGACCGCGCTACTCCCTCGCATCGCCAGTCTCAAAGAGCCCTAGACGCTCTTGGGGTGGCGCCCAGCTTGTTCCCCACACACTCACACCAGCTTCTCGCCAGGTTGAGAAAGGCCCATACGTCACCACATGTGGGCTGTAATACTGGGCGAGCTGACAACTAGCACTGGACAGCGCACGACACCGTTGTACACCCCGTACACCCCGTACACCACAGTATTGACCAAGGATCTTCCAGAGACGTCAACAGGTTCAACTGGATTTCTGTTGGTTGCCTCAGATGACATGGGACCTCTTCCGCGCTACCGGAGATTGAGGCCTGCTGTGATTCGGCCAGCTTTCCAAGGTGAATACCATTAGCCACACTCTGCATGTCTCTGCACTGTCTGCATATCCCTCTTTACGAAATCGCTCGGAGGGCCTCTTGTCCGACAATTAGCCATGGCTGTGCTTGCCTTTCCCGACCGGTGTGAAAAAGCTTTAGCTGCATACCCCCATCCCACGAAAATAAGGGAAGGTGAGCCTATTCAATTACCGCAATGTCATTCGCAGCGGCTGGAGCGTTGTCGTCATTCTGCGCCGTCCTGTAAAGTATACGTACGTATGCTCGTGAAGAATTTTTTCTGTTGTTCAGGGCAGACATCAACCTTGTCCATCGAGGGAGCAGATGACCCTGCCGTTTCCATGCAGCCTTCGTTTGACATGAGCCCTCAGATTACGAATGACGGCTGGGCAATGCGAGAGAGGATAAAATGCGATCTTAGTCGATCTTAGTCTGATGTCGTACATGAGGGACGCTAAATGCCAGCAGCTGCTCGACATAGTGTGTAGTCGGCATGCCTAGCAAGGAACAAGCGTTGGTCTCCAAGTCAACTGACTCGATCAAACTATACTCTAAACCAACTGGAACATGAACCTACATCTACAAGAAAGCCTCATGGTCTGCCGCATCGAACGATACGCGCTGTCACATGCAAGCATGCTAATCTCAACAGCCATCGACTCTCCTCGATTACTTGGTGAAACACTCTATCGGTTTTCAGCTTTAGACCCCGCAGCATATGGCATTACATGTGAAATATTGATGCAACGACTTTAGGTCGATTCCAAACCAGGTTCCAGAAGTTCTTGAGCGCCATCAGCAGCAAGTCATGCCAACATCTTGATTGTTGCTCAAGGTCTGGAACACAACACACGACGTCTCAACGGCTAACAGGGATAAGCGATGAATTTTTTGAGGGCTTCGATTGTGCGGCGAACCCCCTTGCATACACGATAGAGTGTGGTAAGCAGCCAACCTGACTGACGGCTCGAAAGCAGGTCTAAGATGCACGATCCGGGATTAGTACCCTTTCTATTTCAACAGTCTTGATTGGTCTACGCCTAATCAGGGACTCGCATGCACGACATCGGTCAGTGAGTCGGATTCAAGCGAGGAGGTGAAAAGGAGGAACATGCCGTACGAGGTCTTACCGGTTTGCCCGGTCAGACGCGGTAACAATCCAATACACCACTCCATACAGTAAGAGGAATCTTATGCAATAGGAAATCCGGCCGAGAAAGCGACTTTTGAATCTGCATCAACGCAGAAGGCTGTATTGGGCTACTCCTGCAACTCATGTTACACGACTGTCGCTTCCTGCACGGGCAATTATTCCACGTTGCTTGGCAGTGTAACTTAGCCACAACAGCGGCGCCTTTACGATCCTGCTGCTACCCGTACCCGTACCAGCCAGAACGCCATGGCTGAAATAACACGCGATAGGCGATCGATATTACCCAACCGTCTGGAGAAGTTCCGCGGACAGACGGCCACTAAAACCTTCACTGCTAGTCCGACATCCTTCAAAGAGAAGTCATGGGGGGAGCAAAAGGTGTGCAAGCCAGGTATACAACGCAGGGTAATCGCTCATCGTCTATTGGCTACGCAATTACTACGCTAGTGGCTGCGGGGTGAAGGACGAGCACCAAGACGCCGTTCTGGCCGATGTCCAGACCGTCTGTCAGCTGAGCGAAGCACGCCAGTGACGCTTGCTCATGCATTCGTCCCTATTTGCACGATAGATTCCAGCTTGATCTGCAACCAGCAACACATGAAAATGCTGTCTTGTCCCATCACTGTTTTCCACATACTCCTTCGTCACACAAAGATGTCATAGCATCATTTCACCTTTCCAATGATCTTAAAATCTCGGCGACCACTGAACGAAGCCATTGTCAGCAGTGCAGAAGTCGCTAGCACCAACAGCCTCTGGATTGGTCGCCGGAGCTGTTTGCCGACCAGTAGGGCCTCATAGTGCACGAACTATACTAATGGCGCATATTTGGACTTCAAGCAACCTAGATCAACAACGAGCGGGAGAGACGCCCGTTACACAAAGCTCGCATACCTCTTCACACCCTCAACTGCGGCTCTTGGACCCGGAACCAATACGACGAGAGCAGTACGAAGGCGAACGGTATGCAGAAATTACCATCATGGTTCTCGAATTCTCAGAAACGATGTTGGGGCGGGTAAACCGTCAAGAATTTTAAGGGTTCTTCCTCGTGGCCTCGATCGATCGATTCAGCGGCAAGAGCGGGATTGGTGTCAAGCTGCATAGAACGGGCTTGCGTCGGCAGAGGATTGCCATGCGGTCAACTGCAAAGCAAAGAATATCGGTCTTTTTGTGAGGGGAAATATGCATCTGGAAATTTCCCCACCACGTCGCATTGATCGACAAGATCTGCGCAATGTAAGCGGGGCCTCTTGGCCCCCAGCAAGAGCTGCTTGTACCAGGTACGACCTGTTCGCCAGATACACTCATGTATATCTCCCAACAGCCTCATCTCTAGATTGTATATACGTTCGGATGCATGGTACAGTCTGTATGGAAGTACGCGTGGTAATCTATGCCATCACCAATCTACTTCCCGTCATCCGTTCGCCAAGAATACGCCATCATCCACAAGTGTTACACCTCTTCGGTATGATTATCGGGACACCTATAAATCAAGAAGTATAATCCCATTATCACCCCAAGAATATAACCTTGGACGTGGTAAATCGTCAACAAATCTTTTATACATGAAACATACCCATTGGTCTCAACCAGCGATAACATTTTGAATATTGCATAAATTCATTATTTCTAAAGAATACCAGCTATCTTATGCCCACTGCCCCGGAAGCAATGGCGTGTGTGAACAGTCAATTGCCGAAGTGTTCGCCCCGCTCGCTACCAGTTTTGTTGATGCCGACCCCTGAATTCTCGTAAGCAATGTGGCTCCCGTTGGTCAATATATATCATTAATCTAGCCTGTGCATGGACCTACCGCTTCTGTGGTTGCCTTCATTTGTTGTGGGTGCTAACGTTAGATTTCACAGTTGTGCAGTGATGATCGAGCACTGCTTCAGTCAACAGACGAGTCATCCATGATGAAGCTTGAGTTCAACTACTGGACTCTCCATCGCTCGCGAAATAGTTTCACTGACGGTTCAAGTATGTAGCTACAGCGGTGCTCTAGCAAACGCTATGTAGTGGCTTACATGATCAAGACTATATACATAATCCGAAACAAATCATATCAATGCTTCCATTTGGTATCGACATTTATATTCACGAGCGATGTATTCTAGATGTGACTACAAAATTTACTCTCTGTGACAATTAGATAGAACGGAGTTATGTAACGATCAAAATGCTATAGGCGACAAAAGAAGATCCGTGTAGAAAGAGTGGCATGGATCCCACCCACAGAAAAGATCAGCGAGCTCACCGGTCTCGGACATGCACGTCATTCTCCAACATGATCGCCTTGCTAACGTCGATCTCACCGATAAAAGCAGGAGGTACAGCTAAAAAAAGTATACCAAATATATCGTGACCTCTAGACCACAACCTCATACAAAAAGTTCCATAACAATACCGACACTTTAACCCCCCACCCACTCCAAACCCAATACATAAAAACGAACATGATCATATAATCCCCCCATTATACTCCGACCCCCCTTCAACCCTTCCAATAACTAACCCTCCCAAGAACCCCCTTCCTCGCTTCCTCCTCGCCCACCCTAAAAGCCTCTTTATACCGCGCCCTCTCCGCCCGCAGTGTCGTCTTCTCCCAATCCTTCATAATCTGCAACGTCGTCACCACCACCGCTGGATCTACATCCCGCGCCCTCACATTAAGCGCTTCATCCGGTAATACATCCCCAGCCCCAGC